ATTAAATTTATTTTACAATTTTATTTATTAGATATATATGTATTAGTATGAAAAGAATATTTATGAAGAGAATTTTGATTTGTAGAACTTATAAATATATAAGTATTATATGATTTTAATGAATATTGACTAAAAGTACTAATTTTTTATTTATATTGTGATTTTATTATCCAAATCTTATTTTTTAATAAATATTATTATTTATTTTCGGATTTTATATAAGTTTGTGTTTTTTTTTTTTTTATCCACCCGCAACCGCGCAACCGCAAACGCTTGCGGAAAGGAGCTTTTGATTTTCAGCGATATAGAGCGGTACAGAGTGGTATAGAGCGATTCAAAGCGGTTGTCGTGATTGTTATAAACCGCCGAAAACCGCTACGAACCGCAAACGCTGCGTGGTAGCGGGAGAACCAATCAGGCCCTAAGTAAGTACCGAAGATCAACTACTAAACTCAAAATTATCAAGATTTACAAGAAAACAGAAGTTCAAATATACAGAGTTGGGCCTTGGGCCTAGTTAAATGCTGAGAAAACATAAAACGTGATCCGAATATAGAATCAATCAAAAAGCAACGGGCCTGGATACCTTCACATCGGGTCGGATCTGATGAGAAGAGAGAGCGATTGAAGTTCCGATCTCAGTCAGGTTCATCGCCGAGAGAAGAAGAAAAGTCAGAGCTTTGTGATTTTCCACCGTCTCCGAGCTCAATTCACACAGCTATCAAAGCACTGATGCTCCCTGGTTTAAATTCCACAAGTTAATTAGAGCTTCGTCAAAAGCTAATGAACGAAGTAGAGAGTTTTGGGCGCTGAGTGGTTCTGTTTGAATTTTGCAGTTAAGCTCTCTTGGGGTTGGGGCTGTGGCAGAGAAAACAATGGAAGGTGCTGCAGTGGCGGAAGGGCTGTGGGGACTAGCGGATCACCACGAGAAGCTTGGTGAGATTGGGAAAACCATAAAGTGCTTAGAAGCAATCTGCCAGAGCCAAATCTCTTTCCTTCCTCTTGTTGAAGTCAAGACTCGACTCCGTCTCTCTGCTCTTCTGCTCCGTTACTCTCACAATGTAAACCACGCCAAGTCCCATCTCGAGCGCTCTCTTCTCCTCCTCAAGTCTATTCCTTCCTCGTTCGATCTCAAGTTCCGGACTTTTAGCTTGCTCAGCCACTGTTATCACCTCCTCGCTTCGTTCCCTCCTCAACGCAACCTTCTCCTCAAGGCTCTCGAGCTCGCGTCCTCCGCTCCTCAGGATCTCTCTGCCTACCTCTGGTCTTGCAATTTCAACTCTCAGCTTGCTAACACGTTCGTCATCCAAGCCGATTTCCCTTCTTCTCTCTCTGCTCTCGAGGCTGGTTTTCTCTCTGCTTCACAGATCTGTTATCCTGAGCTCCAGGTAGATAGATTTTCTCTTGTTCATTTTGCATTTGAGGTTTATGTGATCTTTGTTGTTAAATTTTTTGTTTTTGGCAAATTAGATGTTCTTCACAGCTTCTATGCTTCACGTTCATATCATGCAATGGACCGATGATTACTCAGTGGAAAAGGCTGTTCAGCGATGCGATGACATCTGGCAGACCGTTTCTTCTTCAGATAAGGTACATTCTTTGCTCCTTTTTAACTTGTGCTTGCTTGGTTTAGTCCCGAGTCAGCTAATTTCCGCTGTCATTTGTAGACTGAACGCTGCCCTGGTTTGTTCTTCTACAATGAGATGTTGCATGTTTTCTACCGACTCAGGCTCTGTGATTACAAGAACGCTCAGCATCACGTCGACCGCTTAGACCAGGCCATGAATGCTCACTCGCATAAAGCGGAGGAGATTCAGCAGCTTCTGGATGAGCTCAGTTCGTTGAATCATAGCCTCTCCCGTTACGATCTTCCCTCTAGAGAAAGATCAGCACTCTCCGCTAGGCAAACTCAGCTTCAAGATCGTGTAAACGCATTGTCTCCATCTTCCTCTACCACTGATAATTCACTGGAGCCTGCATACTTTGGCAACACTGATCGTGCATGGACAGAGAGGCTACTGCTTTCACCGTCTCCGATTGATGGAGAGTGGCTACCCAAAAGGGCCATCAATGCGTTGGTCCATCTAATGGTTGTCATATCAGGACGCCCCAAGGGACTTTTTAAGGAGTGTTCGAAACGTATTGAGACTGGAATGCAGATCGTTGAAGGTTGGTCTATTATCCTTATCACTTGAAGTTCCTGTTTTCTCTTCGTTTACTTCCCTACTATTGCATTTTATGTGAAGGACGTAGATACTCTCTTTTTTCTTTGTCTCACTGAAATCACGATAAAACCATTCTCCTCAGAATTGAATCAGCGTAATGATTGATCCATTCTCTTAGTTTATGTGGCTTCAATGAGGAAATCAGCATTCTGCTTCTTAGGCTTTGGGGATTCCATCTGATGGCATGACATGTTGTGTGGTGTTTGCAATGTTTTATGCAGATGAACTGATCAAGCTTGGAATTACGGAGGAAGTTAGAGGTTTGATCTATATCTCTATTGTAACTAATCTTGAAGCAACAATTCTTTACATTGAAGCTCACAATCTCTCTGCAGAAACTGATTTGCGGCACACGGCTATCTGGATGTCTGGGGTTTATCTTATGCTACAGATGCAATTCCTTGAGAATAGAGTGTCTTTGGAACTTACAAGGTCTGATTATGTTGAAGCAGAAGAGGTATTTCATCTATTCTTTTTTACCAAAAAATTGTTTGTGCTTATCACTGTGATATACAGCCACTGTATATAAATTCCATCTGGTTCCCCTCACAGTGAGGTCCTATCAGCTGTTTCTCTAGCGTAAGGCCTTGTTGAAGGAAAAATTAACAGTAACTGTACATAACGATTGTGCAGGCTCTGGTTGAGATGAAGAATTTGTTTACTCGGTTTCCAACAATTTTGCAAGCTTCTGAGTGTGTGATTGAGATGCTCAGAGGGCAATATTCTCATTCTGTTGGTTGCTACGATGAAGCTGCTTTCCATTGTATTGAAGCGACCAAGGTAAAATCTGATAAACTCGTGTAAATGGAAGATATTTGCTTTAATCTTGGAATGAGGTCTATGTTCCTATCTAATATTGTTCAACATGTGTAATTTCAGCTGACAGAGAGTAAATCTATGCAAGCTTCATGTCAAGCTTTTGCAGCTGTTTCTTATCTTGCTATGGGAGATGCTGAATCATCATCTAAGGTTTGGCATTTCTTTCACGCATGTTTAATAATACTTGCTTTGCTTTATAGCCGTGAGCTCAAGAAATCTGCTTCCCATCCCTCTTATCTGTCTTTAGGCACTTGATTTAATTGGGCCACTCTATGGAATGACAAATTCATTATCTGGTGTTCGAGAGGAAGCTACTATTCTCTTTGCTTACGGTCTCCTTTTGATGAAGCAACAAGATCTCCCAGAAGCAAGGTATATCAAGAATATTCATTCACTAAATTCATAGTATGTGAAAGATATGTGATAGTTCATGCCTATAGCCACGGTGTTAGGTGCTCCTCCATTGCACCCTCATGTGTTAATGTAATGTTGTAAAATGGCAGAAACCGCCTTGCCAAGGGTTTGCAGATCGCGCATACGCATATGGGCAACCTGCAGCTAGTTTCACAGTACTTGACACTCCTGGGAAATCTAGCTCTTTCCTTACACGACACGGTACAAGCGAGAGAGATCCTGCGTTCCTCGCTTACACTCGCAAAGAAACTCTCTGATATCCCAACACAGCTATGGGTTCTATCCATCTTCACAGCTCTGTATCAGCAGTTGGGTGAGAAAGGGAGCGAGATGGAGAACGAAGAGTACAGGAAGAAGAAATGGGATGAGTTGCAGAGTAGACTTGCTGAAGCGCGTGGATCCATTAGTCACATTGAACTAGTAAAAAAACCAAATCCAAATGACCTCTCTTTTGTTTGTTATTGCAATAAGTAAACTAAGAATCATCTCAAGCAAACAATACTGGTTATACAGGTTGCAAAAGCTAGGATAGAGATGCATCAGGTGGAGGATGCACAAGGACAGGGTTATGGACAAACGATGCAAGTGAATCTGGACATACCAGAGTCGGTTGGTGTACAAGGTCCATCACTGGCTCAGTCCTCGTCCAAGCTTGTTGGTTTAGACTCCCGAAAAAGATGGGGAAAGCGAAGCTTCTTGTAACTTTACAAAGACAAACCTACGGTTTTTGTGTATGGAGTATAACTTGTGTTGATTATATATTAAGGAATTGTGTTTTATTTAGGGGCTAAATTGTAAAATATGGAACAGAATTATGCTTTTTTCTGACGATATCTCGTATCTGTAATCTACTAGTATATCTAACATGTATCTGAGTGGATAAATCATTTTATTACCACCGTTGTGTTTTCAAGTTTTGTGCCAAAAAGGCATAAGATCATTTTTTTTTTAATTATAGAAACTGGAGGTCAAATGTGATATTATTGCTTTAATAAACTTCAAAAGCTAAAAAATAAAAAATCGATAACACTAATTACATTGAGTAAACTTCAAAAGTGTAATTAAAGAAAAGAGTAACTCAACTTAATAACGATTTTGAATATATAAAAACTGAACTAAAAATAGTTTTTGGCAATATGCGGATTAGTGCTAAGAAAATTAAGATAATCCCAGTGTTTAAGGCTAGTTAGTAAAGTGGAGTGGACCCATTTATTACACAAATTAAGTTGAGATGTGCATAAGACTATTTGTCTATGTATTTCTCAGTCAACTCTTATCCCACCGTGATACCCATTAACCCCAATTTAAAAGAAAAAATAAAATAAAAAACACTTTATATTTTATCTAAAATAAAAAATTCGAACTCTCTTTCTCTCTCTCTAGTTTTCTCAAACATCTCTTTCAAAGTATCCGTTAGAACAGTTCGTAATCTAAGAGAGATAATCGCCGCTAAGAAGCAGAGAGATTCGAACGTAAAGCAGAGAGAAGAAGGATCGATTCGAGATTGATTGAAGATTCGAACAATTTGTTGTGGAAAAAACGATGTCGTTTCGGGAGAAGATGCCAACGAGTCCCAAATCGCCGCTGAGAAGGAGACGCCTGAGCTGGTCAGGCTCTTGGCTAAACCATCAGACGACGTCTTTCAAGCAAGTAATCTCCGCCGTTGCCCAGGCTCAGTCACCAAGATCCAGGTCTAAATCTCTATCTTCCGATTTCGATTTCCCCGACGTGGATCGAACACTGTCCTTGCCCGATTCTCTCCTCCTCAAGATCCTCGCAAAGCTTCCCGAATCACAGAACGACGATTTCTCTCTCGTATGCAAACGCTGGCTGGATCTCCAGGGACGGCGTGTACGGACTATGAAGGTTTTCGATTGGGATTTTCTCTTATCCGGGAAGCTCATCTCTAGGTTTCCCAAGCTCGCGAATGTCGACTTATCGAACGCGTGTGTGAATCCGCCGAGGAAATCCGGCGTTTTGCTATCTCACAAGTCGATTTCGTTTCATATATCTTCTTCGGATTCGACGAATTGGCAAGTGAATCTGTTGCAGAGCGAAATGGTTGATAGAGGGCTTAGGGTTTTAGGTAGAGGGGGTTGTGATTTGCTCAAACTCGCGGTGACTAACGCTACTGAATTGGGATTGCTGAGTTTAGCCGGAGATTGTTCTGATCTTCAAGAGCTAGAATTGCAGAAATGCAATGATAATCTCTTGCGTGGCATAGCTGCGTTTGAGAATCTGAGAGCTTTGAGGTTGGTTGGAACCGTAGACGGATTGTATAGCTCGTCGGTTTCCGATATAGGTTTAACGATTTTAGCGCAAGGGTGTAAGAGGTTAGTGAAGCTTGAGCTTAGTGGTTGTGAAGGCAGCTTTGATGGGGTTAAAGCAATTGGGCAGTGCTGTGAAGTGCTTGAAGAAGTGAGCATTTGTGACCATAGAATGGATGATGGTTGGATAGCTGCGCTTTCCTACTTCGAGAGTTTGAAGACGCTGAGGATATCGTCGTGTGGGAAGATTGACACTAGTCCTGGACCGGAAAAGTTGCTGGGATCTTGTCCAGCTCTGGAGAGTTTGCAACTCAAGAGGTGTCGTTTGAGTGATAAAGAGGGGTTGAGAGCCTTGTTTAAGGTGTGTGATGGAGTGAAAAAGGTTATTATTCAGGATTGTTGGGGTCTGGATGATGATTCTTTCAGCTTGGCTAAGGCTTTCAGGTAATTTCAATTATTGAGTTCATGGATTGTTATTAATGTTACACACAATATGGTTAACATAAGACACAAGCTTTTGCTTTGATTCGATGCATAAACCTAACAGCTTCCACCAAAACCCTGAAAAGATTTTCCTTTGCAATAACGACTCTTGTTTTGCTAAGTTTGACTCAGATAGGCTTTTTGATCATCCTTTTATCCTTGCAGGAGGGTGAGGTTTCTGTCTTTGGAAAGATGCTCAGTGCTAACAACAAGCGGTTTAGAGTCGGTGATTCTGCACTGGGAAGAGCTTGAGAGCATGAGAGTGGTCTCATGTAAGAACATAAAAGACAGTGAAATCTCAGCGGCGCTCTCGTCTTTATTCTCGCTGCTCAAAGAATTGCAGTGGAGACCAGACACAAGGTCGCATCTCTCATCGAGTCTCGAAGGTACCGGAATCGGAAAACGAGGCAGCAAATTCTTCAAGAGGAGATGATGATGCATTGATCAATGTATTCTTATGTGCCCTGAAAACTTCTTGATATATATAGACAAACTCTTAGTTATATATCTTCTTCTTGAGGGCATTATTACTCTGTTGTAAAATCAGCCTTTTGATGACAAAATTGTTATTTTATTGCAATGTTGTGTGGTTATGTATAATAGTAAAAACTATTTGTTGTCCATTGTAAGAATTTTATAAAGAACTTTCTTTGGCTTTTGATTACAGTTTGTGTAGAATTTACGAGATGTAAGTTAGGGATTATTTAGTTTCGATCTCTAAAGAAAACAAGTCTAAGAAAGTCAAAACATTCACAACAAAATAATCTTCTTCTGCTTCCGCTTCCGCTTCGTTTCGTGTTTTGGATCGTTCTCATGGCTTCGTCACTTCTATAAGCTCTCATCACCGAGTCTTGTTCCACTTCGTCTTCTCTAAACATCAAATCCGTCACGTCATCTTGACCGTAGAAGACATTTCTCTTTCGGGCTTCAACTAAACCCTTCCGTCGACGACATGGAAACGTTGCAAAAGCTCGTGAATCACCGTCGGGAGTTGAACCAGAGTCTTTTCCGATCATCTTCTGGAGATTGAATGTGATTCTTTGTATCTAAAGAATACGCAGAGCAAAGGACTTTGCCTACCTAATTTCGTCGTTATCGTTGCTTATAAGAAAATGTTTGGTTTTTTGTTCTTTAAATATGGGCTAGGAACTGCGACGAAATAATGTTCAACGTTTAACGATTCTTTTTTTGTGTTTATGTTTATCCAAAGAAGAAATAATTTATTCAAATCAAGGGATGCCATTACAACAAGCTACGTATAAGTAGAATATTTCAAATCAGATATTTTCTTAAAACTTTTTAACAAAATCTTAGCTGGTTTATTAGTTTTTTAAAATGAGATTTTAAAATGTTTAATGGATAACAAACGTGTCATGGAATCTTATTAATTATTTAACTATAAATTTTAAGAAATACACCTTTTGAGGTGCAAATTTTTAAAACTACACGTATAGTGTGGTAATTTTCAAAAATACACTTTTTGTTATTGATTAATTTGGATTTATGTTTATTTTCATTTCTTGTCTTTTATATAGGTAAATTATTTATGATTTCCTAAAAAATTTCCAAATATTAACTATCAGTTTTGGATATGATTAAACTTGTTATAATGAAAACTGTTTTACTTGAGGACATTTATAAAAGATGATGAAGAATATTAGTAGAACAACTTTCTATGTTATCAAATTAATTATTTCATTTTATTTTCATAATTACTAATTTTCTGTGTTTGTATGAAAGATTCTATATGTTTTATATATCCATTTTTTATTATTCTGAAAAAGCTAATTAATCTTTGTTGTTTTGTCTATAGATGTTTTGTTTTGTTGGTATTAACAATTGTGTAGGAATTCATGTTCTGATAGAATTAGAGAATTAATATAACTAAACTAACAAGATTTTGAATGAAATTTAAAAATCTTATACACCCTTTATTCCTTTAAGATGAATTTTTTATTTTTTTTTCGTTGTTCCTTAAAGATTGTTTTTATAAGGTTCCAAGATACATTTTCTTGATTAAAGTAAAAAATTCAGATTCTAATGTCAATAGTTATGTTTCTTTTACTATTATTGGTTTAAAGTTGTTTAATTTTTTAAAACATTATACATTTATGATTGAAATTTAACTTTTTTAATATGTGTAAAAAAAGTTAGAAATGGAAAGAGTAATTAATAAAAAATTTATAAATCCATCAGTGTCCAAAATTTTCAAACATCTTTCAAAATTCATTTGCCAACAACCTAAAAGAAGCTTACTACATAAAGTTAAAGTTGGATATGCACTGATTACCACACATAGAACAAATTATTATTAACTAGATCGTTACATGTGTCATCATTAATTAAAATAGTGACATGAATAAAATTTTGTTTTCAAAGAAAAATCAAATACTACGAATGACAGTTCACAAGTTTACAGTATAAAAATGTAGGATATTCTTAAAGAAAATGGCAGTTACGTTTTGTTGTCATATTTAACACAACATTTAGAAAAAACTTTGGAAGAAAAAAGTCATAAATGACAAAACAAAGAAAGTATTAATTTTAATATGTATTATAATTCATATGCATGTATATAATATTTAAAAAAATAATAGATATGTGTTAACACATAAGCTTAATTAAAAAACTGAGATAGAAAACAAAATAAAAACTTACAAAATAATTAGCATACATTTTTTCAATAGTCTGGTTTTTGTAATATCATACTGTGTAATTTTCATATAGTCCAATAATAAATACAATCTTTAAATGCAGATAAGATATTTTGCTGATAATGTGTATATTATATCATTTAAAAAAAATTACGGTTGTAAAATATTATGTAATATACGGGAAAACTGCCATAAAAATTCTGAACTTTCAAATTGTGGCCAAAGAAAACATGAATTTTTGTAAAATCATATTAAACCCAAATTTTGTTGACTTTTATATTTAATCCTTAACTTTTGTTGATTGAGCCAAAATAAACACACCATAGCTTAATTCGAGGATTTAACCTTGTTGGCCATCTTAAAATCTTCTAAACTAAAACGATTTTTCCTAAATTCTCAAATCAACTTCACAAACTCTAAATCGCAAATCTATTTTGCCCTCTTCTTCTCTCAGTTTCTTGGAACAAAATTCCAAAAATCAATTTCACGAACTCTATAAATTGATTTTGCATACGTCTCTTGATTTCTCTCTAAGCCAAATATTTATTTTCATCATAATCATTTTTTCGAGACAATATGCTCAACTTCGGTCTTCAGATGCAAAAATGATTTATTTTTTTAGGGTTTGTACATTCAAATTTTGGAATTTAAGAGAAAATAAAACATTGTCGTATTAATTTAACCTAGTTTAAAATGGGGCAACATCATATTTTTCGCTCGGTCAACAAAAGTTTAGGATTAAAGGAAAAAGTCAACAAAAATTGGGGTTTATTATGATATCCCAAAGTTCATGCTTTTTTGGCCAAATTATAAAAGCTGGGAATTTTTATGGCAATTTTTTCCAATAAAAAACCCTACATCACACACACATGGCCTAATCTAATAATATCATGATTATATATGTAAAAAGAAAAGCTAAATACGGTTCACAAACAACCATATCTAGTATATGAGTTTTAAACAGCCAAATCGGTGTACACATGATCCTCATTATGCCAATCATCAGGTCCATACAATAACAAAACAAAACAAGACCTTTGATCAGGTTGCAAGCAAGCAGCATTGAGACTACAATGGCCGCATCTCCAGATCAGAACTATGGTGTGACACCGGAACATGGTCACGGTGGTCTCTGTCATTAGAGGCACTCATCTCTTGAACCGGTGGCGGGTTAACCACGGTCATTGGCATCACAAAGTTGTCGGAAAGACGGTTCTTCATCTCACGGTGCTCTTGACAAACCGCACAAAAGTGGAGAACACAATGCACCATACATGGGTCACACGGAGAGTTCTGTTTAATATCAATAAAAAAATACACAACTCATGTACCGATGTAACACAAGCAAAGGGTTTAGGTGTTATGGAACTTGTGATTACCTGGAGATGATATTTCCTCTGTAGAGTTTGGCGGACGTTTCCAGTGTAAATCCCACACATCCACCAAACAAACAACAAGCCTTCCCAGATGAGAAACGAGGTGTGCGGATCTATACCCGGAACACAAGCGACGATCGACGCGGCTGTGAGGCCGCCTTCTACGACAATCGAATGGCAAATACACGCTTTGGTCCACGAGGTTTCCTCGTCACTCAGAGTTTCATAGACACGTCCGAACAGAACACTTGGGCAAATGAGTCCCTGCCAAACTGTTAAAAGAGTTTAAAAGCCATAGACGCAAGTTACAAATGATATTTAACAAGAACCAAATTTAAGATTTTCAACTAAGCTCTTATTTCTAGTGGATCAATTTTACAGATCTGTGGAAATGAGAGCTTACAACTGCTCATGTCCTCAGTGCAACCGAATATTCCGGTAGTCCATGGCTCGTCTGCAGGAGCTTCAAAATTCTCAGGCAAAGTTTGACCACACTCATTGCATTTGTGAACAGCTAGCTGCGGAGAAGTTTTTTTTTGTTTTTTTGCAGGCAATCAGAGATCATTAACTTTCACAGATCTAAATAGTTCGGATTGAAATATGTAAAATTGATGCAAGAGTCAAGCACGAAACACTAATCGACACAACATAAATCTAAATCAATGAACGCAAATCACGGATCTCTGGCGGAAATCATAAAATTCTAGTTACATTCTCGATCACAACAGTTGAATCCAATAAGGCAATAACTAACTGATATTCTTCAGACTTGAGATGCGTGATTGTAAAATCAGATCAGTAGAGAGAGAGAGAGGAAGAAATCATACATGAGGAACCTGAATCGGCTGATTGAGTTCGCCGGGATTAACCTCATCGACCGGAGCTTGCTCCTTCGTCAACTTCACGTACCTCGACGGCGCTCCTCCGTCCGACATCTGAATCCAAATATTTTTTTAACGATGATCAGCCGAAATCAAAATTGAAAAACAAAAAAAAAGCCAAATTTCACGAACTATACGAAGGAATCGAGAAACACTAAAGAGTGATCTTACAGATTTCGTTTCGATTGTTTGGATCTCTGTTTTTTTTTTTTTTTTTTTAGTTTGTAATAATAAAATTGAATAGATTTGGGGCTGTTTCTACGCTTTTAACCAAACTGTTACCAAACGAGTTTAAAGACTCATTTGGTCTTCTCTTCCGTTGACTTATCTAAGCTACGTCTCACCATGCGGTGCCGTTTGTGGGCCAGTAACGAAACAATTAAACAAGTATAACAACATAACATAAACTTCCATTGTAAGAAATAAAATAAAACCAGTAAAAATTTCAGAAAATAGGAAACTAACAATTAAAATAAAAAATTATTACATTCATTAGACAAAAGGAAAGAAAATAAAAGAAAAATTGGAAATAAATGATGTTTTGACTATATGTTTGGTGATCTATATCATTTAACAAAATCATTTAACATATAGTCAAAACATCATTTAACAAAATATAGATCACCAAACATTAATGATGTAAAATACATACCCTAACTAATTAAAATTAAAAAAATCATAAATATTTGTTAAAAAAAACAATCATAAATATGTAAAATACAAGAGCTGCAAATTCTGTAGCAGACTCTTTGGCGAAAAGAGCTCTCCAGAACTTTCTGGTGAGAGAGTAAAAGACATTTAATGAAAAAAAGGTTTTTGAACAAAAAAAAATATATATATATATAAAATACATATACAGCCACGAAATTCTTTCGTCTCCATCATTTTTTCATCATCGTCTCTATCACACACATGACATAAAGAAAGAGCATTAGGTGGATAAAATGATTGACTACGGGTCACGATTCGAAGTACTTTTCTACGACGAAGAGAGAGAGATCCCTGAGCTCAAGAAAGAGCTTAACTCGCCGTAAAATGATTAGATCTGTCTAGTTTTAGATTTGATTTCAATCGACAAATTCGATTGTTATTTAGTGGAATGGGTTTCTTTATTTTGTGGAAAAAGGGATGAATCCATACGTCATGGTGATATGTTCAGTAATGATACAAACTCTCTCTGATAGCTAATTATGGTGTGAGCATAAAGCAACTCTGAACATGATGCCTGCTGCTGCTCCAAGGAATTCTTACAAATGGGACTCGCCACCTCATGGCTTGCTGAAATGTAACGTTGATGCATCTTGGTCTTCAGAACAGGGTAGTTGTGGTTTTGGCTTGGTTTTAAGAGATGAAAGAGGAGACATGAAATGGTGCGGAGCTAAGACCTACCATGCTCTACTATCTCGTCTTGAAGCGGCAGCGGCAACTTTGACTTGGCCTGGGCAATGAGTCAATGACTGTCGATGACAACATGGGAAAATAGAAGGTGATGTTTGAGAGTGAATCCAAGAACCTCACACAGGCTGTCAAGTATCCTGAATTATGGCCAATGCTTCAGAGCTTCATCAATGATATCCAGGACCTTGCAGGAATCTTAAGCCTCAATCTAGGTTCGGTGGTCGAACCTCACAGCAGATACTCTCGCAAACACATAGCTTTCTCAACCTTTTTACTATTTAGATTGTAGTCGAAAGGGGAAAACATTATTAAATCTAAAAACTTCTCGACACATCACACATTTACTCTGCAAATTCTCTATTTATTACCAGTCCAAAATACTTGGTTATTCTACTCTTCAATGTAGTTATATTTCCCCTTCTCAATGAACTAAAAACTGCTGAGGTATGTCACAAAAAGGGAGCCTTTGTCCACACCTTTGTAATCGCTTGAAAATCTCCATATGGAACGAAAGCTAAACAAAACTTCAAATTTCAAATATGATATAACAGAAAGATAATTAGAAAACGTGTAACATTTTGTTTTTACATTTAAATTCATAAAAATGTTACTACGGTGTTTTAAATTTTTTATATTTTTATCTACATCTCCCTGAATTTTAAAACAACTATCTGATTATTATAATATTTTTATAAGGTTTATTTAGTTCAAAAATGAACAAAATACTAAAAGGTGTAGATTACCAACCATACACTTCATAGGTCCCCATTTCAATTCTAAAAGAGTACCTCCCAAAGATCAGGAACTGCCATTCTAACCCTTCTTGGGGACCTTTATTTCCAACTAGGGCTAAGTCTGCGCAATGCGCAGGTTATGTGTATTACAAAGTTTTAATAATTAATATATAAAAATAATGACCTATAAATAATTAAATATTAGATATGTAGACACACTGTAAATAAAATAAATATAAATTGAATAATAATTTTCGTCAAATCAAAATCTATAAATAATATGTATTTTTTTGTGGGTGTAAATTATATGTGAGGGTTATAAGATGTTGGTAAATATTTTTTTAATCTTTAACTTCGGTCAAAATTTAGAAATCTAAAACAAAAATTTTATCTTTTCATTTTATAAAATACTATAATATTTATAAATATAAAGTTTGATTCGGATATAAATTCATCCGATTTCTTCACAGGTACCCTAAATTCAGATATTCAGAATTTTTGAATCGACATCTGGATGTCCTGAAAAAGCTGGATATCTGAACCTTGTCCGGCCTAAAAGGTTTCCGTTTTCTGAAACGTAATTTAAAAAATACATTCATAAGAAGTCAGATTAGAGTTTTCATCTTAATATCACCACTGTATCATAATCCATCTTCAAATTTTGTAGGGAGTAATAAAATAGTATGTGTGAATTGTAGAGGAATCCATGTTTAAATAAGACAAACACTTGTTCTTCCTGTAAATCAATATTTATAAATTCAGAAAAGTAAAGTCAAAAATCAGATTAGCTTCCCTATAATTTTCAACTTGACTTCATTTTGATACAATATAAAAACTAAAGTCTTAAAACCAAAAAAAAAAAGAAAAAAAAAACTAAAGTCATTATAATCACAATAAGGTAATATCCAAAACTTTATACTTTTACATTTTAAACTAACCGTTCAAGAATCAGGAGCAATCACAGCGAGGCTTATTACTAATCCCGTGGAGTAGAATCCAACGAAGAAGAGTGTCACATAAGATCTGAGACCTTAAGCAGTGCAAGAGAGCTGAGAAAGAAGACCGTTTCTCTGCCGGACAAGCTCGTGGAGATCATGCACGATCTTGAACACAGCGTCTGGTCTAGCTAGCCTCAACGCATTCCGCAACATTATCTCCAACTCTTTAGACTCAGGTCCAAACCAATCCGCTACAATCTTCGATATCTCTTTTGGTGATTTCGAAAACTTCCCGCACCCGTTCTCCACAACATACGGCACATTCCCTGCCTCCTGCAAAAACCGAGATTGAGAAATTATAAAACCATGAAGCAAAAGTGTGCACCTTTTGTTCTCTTACTCGGAAGAGAACTTACTTGACCAGCAATGTAATCGTTTAAGATTATCGGTAGCCCTCTTATCATAGCTTCAGCTATAGTTCCTGGACCAGCCTGCAGAGAAACAACACTATACTAAGAACAGAGACAAAGCAACAAACTGTAGTCACAACTGTGAAGGTTACCTTTGTGATGATGCAGTCACAAGCACCCATACATTCCTCCATTTTGGTTATAAATTCTTTAACTTGTGGAAGAATCTTATTTCAGCGACGTGTTCTTCATCGTATGCTATTATTAAGAAGGCATATATGATAGTAACCTGGACTGGGATTTTTCAATCTATGGAACTTAATCTACTGAGATGTTTCTTGTTCCTCCCACCAATGATAAGAATCTGGCCTTCTGGCTCCCCGAGAGTATCATCATACAAAGCATCGCCTAGAGCTCGTGTTGTAGAGCTCGTGTTGTGGCCTTGATCAGACCCATGCCTTCGACTCCACCCATTAATCACATTTAGGACTACATACTTAAAGCTATTTAGGAGAAATTCGAAAGGGCGAGGCTGTTACAGCAGAGGTATGATTGATCAGAATAAAATGAACGTAAATGAATGAACTTTACCTGTGTTTCTCCGCTTAGAAGCCGTTACAGGTGAACTGAAATTCCATCGTTGTCCGTTAGCAGTTGGCTGAAATTGCGTCCGCAAAAGCTCAGAAATTTTAGAACTAACAATAGGATTTTAGAACTAAAGTTGAGATGCAAGAATCGGAGAACAATATTTAATTAACTATGAATACAAAGTTAGTGTTTCGCACACATTAATGAGTTCACACAGAAGGACGCTCATCTTATAAACAGTCTCATAATTTTCTAATGGGCCTATGAAGAACAAAAAGCCCAAACCAAAAGTCTGCAATATTGGGAGTTAATCTGAGCCGTCCAATCATTTTCATTAGCCATCGTCACAGATCTTTGTCGTCTCTCCGAACCCTCGTTCTCGAGAAATCCTCTTCCTCTCTCACCGAGCCCTCACCGGCGAGCCGTTCTCTCGTTGGTAAGTACTGAATCCGATTTCGTTCTACGTATTCATCTCTTTTATTCGATTTTCATCATTCAATTCGGTTTCGGCACAGATCTTCGTCGTCTCTCTTGTTCTCGAAAAATCCTCTTCCTCTCTCATTGAGCAGGCGAGACATTCTCACGCTTGTAAGTACTGAATCCAATTTTGTTTTCGGTATTCATCTCTTTTATTCGATTTTCATCATTCAATTTCTCGGTTGAAGATTCTGTAGCCATGCCTGCATTACCTGATTAATCTCTGATTAATTTCCACATCGTGTCAATTGCGTTAATTGTATTTCATAGTCCATTTGATCTGCAACTTCGTTAAAGTTATTTCTAACTTCCATTTCAAAAATATTTTCATGAAGTATCTTTTTACAGTGGCCTATGTTTATTTTGAAGTCGACTTGATAATCGCAGTGTTGGCCGGTGAAATCAGACGCAACGAAGTGACCCCGCAGGCAGCATGTGTTCGACGTTAGGGTTAGGAGTAGGTGCGGGAGAGGAAACGATATGAGTTAATGTTAGGTTTTTTTGTAAAAACAATTTTTTTTAATAAAACAGTAAATGCTGCCACGTGGCAGCTCGATTGAAAATGGGAAAAAGTTGAGGTGGCAGAAATCTGGAGAGAGTTATTTTCTCATTATATATAAAGATTAGGTATTTTACCTGCGCTACGCGCGGGTTCCGTTTTTATGGTTTTTTATAGAATATTTATGAATTTTCTAATTTTCAGATCTTTAAAAAGTTCATTGCTACAAATGCTTTACAATTTTTCTTTTTTAAAAATATTTTTAAACATTATTTTATAAAATCTTATTATTAAATTTGTTTATATTTTTAATTTTAATGAATTATTTTAATTCTTATATAATTAGTCATAATAATAAAAGGAATTTCATTATGATAATTTCTGATTAAAAACATATTACAAACCTTTCTTACAATTTCTCGTAAGACATAGAGGCCTAGTCATTGTAGAAGTTACATTAGTTCTTAAAGTTTATTTTCCTAACATGATCATGGTGATTATAGTAAACTGATGTTTTTATTCTTTTTCATTTGTTTTTTTTCTTCAGTCTATTCTCATTTTATTCGGGATTTTTCTTCTTCTTTGGTTTCTTCTTCATCTTTACTTTTCATCTTCAGTTTCTTCGTCCGTGCAGTTTATTATTTTGTTATTCTGTATGCTTCTTCATCCTTGATTTATTTTTTGCCTTTATTCTTTGATATCTTTGTTTTCACTTTTTTTTATGTTTCTTCTTATTCTTCATGCTCGGTTATTGTTCTTTTGTTTCTTAGATATATATATATATATATTATTTGTTTAGCTTCTTTTTTTTGTCAGAATTATTCTCTGCTGGAAAGTTTTCACAACTTTTTCCATTTTATAAATAAATTTATTGTAATCGTTTTAATTTAATCTAATGTAGAATAAAATTTTCACTATCTTATACACTTGACCAAACTTAAAAAATAAATAAGATTCATAAAAACAAACAAGTTAGAGATAATACAACTACATCTTCACACATATAATGAACAATGTCTAACAATAATATAAATATTTCAATTTATATGATCATAAAAATATAGTTAAACATAGTTTTCAATTTTATATTGGTTTCCTGATTTAACTTTATCTTCTTTGGTTTTTTTTATGTTTTTGTTCTTTGCTATTTTCGTCTTCGTTTTCCTTTATTTACTTCTTTTATTAGTAATAAATTTTCCCACGAAAAAATATATTTCATTATCAGAAAAAACGAAGAAAAAAATTGAAAACAAATAATAATAATAAAAAACTGTTACATCCATTACAAAAAGAACACATCAAAAGAAAGAAAAATGGTTGTATTAAGAGCTTTAATAATTTTTATGTCGACAATATATTTTAGTTTTCCTTTGGCAAAGTAAAATTTGTGCGACAGATATTTCCCAACTTACCTCGAAGTAACAATATTAAATTTTTAAGAACAAATACTTAAAATTTAAAATTAACTTATCTGCATATCGAAATAAAATTAATATTCTAGCACAAATGTTAAACACTCATATCTTGATGAAGGTTTGAAACTTGGTAGCGGAAAAAAATGTTTTTTTCTTTGGTTTTCATAGATGTAAGCAAGATGAAAAACTGTTTCTTAAAAAGAGAGCATTCAAAATATTTGATTCTATAATTATTTTCTGTTTAGGATTTTTATACTATGAAAACTGAAATAATGTTAGTTATTGGATTTTGTATTGTGCCCCGGATATATCTGGACCGGCTCTTTGTGTTGCTTTCATTTCTGCGAGTGTTTTGACTTTCCTTTGTGACTGTTTGTAATCTTGCGAGTCTGGACTCTGGTGAACGTTAGAAGAATATGGAACACTTATTTTAGTTTGATAAATACATGATCTAGTTTGATTTACCAGAATTGCTCAAGTGCCGTTAAAATGCAGAGGATATATTTAAAAACAACATAAGATGTATCATGACCATTGGGTGATCCAAAGACAAAGATCCTAACTTTTGTGTTCGTTTTTCTCGTGCTAAAAGATGTCATACAGTAGAGTAGAACCCACACTTGTGGATTCAAATGTACAAGAAGAGGAACACCTTTTGCTGCTCAAACCGCGGTGCCAGCTAACCAAATTTTAAATCAATCAGCACGCAGATCCATCCAGTCTGTCCCCTGAATTTGCTGAGACTCCTTGTACATTGAAGAAGGGCTTTTTGTTTCTTTGCACGCAAAGTTTCCAAGAAATGTAACAGTTATACCTAAACCCCCAAAGTCAAAGATTATTGTTCCTCCTGCGTATACACCTAAGTGGCAGACAGAGAACTCGAAGAAAATCAACAAAATTTACTGAACCCAAGGATGAGTTCTGTCATATATATTTGTTACCTCAATATAGTATCTGTCATTCGAGCCCCAATATTCCCAAATCTGTACTCTTAAATCAGAAATAGAAACAGGTACCAAAGCACAAAATAAAAGGAAGCTATAGCATCTTAACCGTTGAGGAATACAATGAAAAATGTAAAAAAAGTTTATACCTACCTCAATGCTTTTGGACCTCTTAACAAATAACCGGTGAAGGATTTAAGGTCTCAAGCTGTGAACCGGTAGAAAGATAACTTTTGACACGGAAGTTCCATAATAAAAACAGAATACATGCTCATGAGACTAAGGAGGGATGTCAACAATTTCTACCTCATGAGTTTTGCAAACGTTCCTGGCCCTCAAAGACATAGGAGACGACATGACAACACGTTATCTCAAACTAGTACTGGCGAATGGGGCTTTTCGAGACCCTTCTTTGACCAGACCTTCCATGAGGAGACCGTGACCTGCTTCGATCATGACGACCCTCTCTCCCACTCCTGGATCTCCTGTCATAAGGCTTTCTATGGTCTCTACCACGGTCTCTGTGTCTGTCACCATCTCTGTCTCGATCACGGTGTCTTTCTCTATCACTCGAACCACTCCTCTTGCTCTCGCTTTCCTTGTCCCTCGGTTTCCTCTGATCATCAGCTTCTTTTCCCCTGACTAGCCTTTCTTCTTCCTTTCCTCTATCTTTAGCAGCCTGCAATTTTGAAAGACAATTGGTATCCCCATTTTCCAAGGAAGAGCAGATTACATGAAAGCAAGTTTCAAATATTCATTCAGAGACTTACTTTTTGTTCAGCGAGAAAATCCCGGACCAAGCCATAGCCAACATGCTGCTTTCCAAGGACATGAGACTGAGTCCTTTCTACAGCATCATTAGCCACAAGGAATGAGCCACAAACCTCACACAGTGCCATCTTCTTCTCATGTGCCATCGCTAGTACCTTGTCACTTGGTCGTTGTAACAGCGCTGCCTTCTCGGCATTAAGCGCTTCCACCTACACGAGTTGCCAAAAGATAAGCGCCTCAATGCACTAGATTTATGATCATAATAAAGGTGTGAAGGAATCGAAGCAGAGCACCATATTAAAATATTCATTATAGTTGTCAAAAATTTGGAATTGAGCTTCTTAGAAAGTCAACAACATGGTTTAACAGAATAGTACCTTCCTCATTAGCGCTTCAGCTTCATCCACTTTGCCTTCTTCACCAAGTGCTTCCACTTGTTCAAGAAGGTTCTTGATTTTCTCCTCCAAAACAGACAACTGTTCAGCCTTTTCTGCAGATAGAGAAGGTGGCGGAGGAGGTTCAATCTCTTGCGCAAGGCGTTCTCGTCCACGCCTTACCTTTCTGTCAAGATCATTCACCTGAAAACCAATTCCACCTCTTAGCCTTGAGAAGAAATCGATTTTCAATATAAAAAAAGTAATAGGAGTTGACAAGCATCACTCACCAACTTCTCGCAAAACTGAACAAGCTCTGCCTCGAATTTAGGAACATATGAATCATGCCTCGGAGAGTTCTCGAAGCTGAAATAAAGCAAAGCCAAGAACACCAAAAGTTAAGACTCATAGAGATGGAACATTGTTGATGGACAAACAAGCAACAACGATAAAGGAACTATTTTTCTTATGACTTAGATGCCATCAATATTGGTTACCGCCATGGCCAGACATCATAAAGCACTGAGCACAAACATGCAAGATAACATGGAAGCCACAAATTCTTTTAGTTGTAAAACACTACTGTAAATGGTTTATTTGAGCAATTGCTTATTCTAGTTACTTCACAAAAATCGATCGAGATTTGTAGATTCATCATACTGGAAACATGAACGAATACTGTAATCAAATATACATAATGAAGAATCCAATCGAGCCTCACCTCTCTTTCAATTTTGGATCATGAATTCTCGAGCATGCTCCTGAGAAAAGAAACACAAAAAAAAGAAAATGAATAGAAAGAAAAGCAAAAAAAAATTTCAACAAAGCAGCAATCAAAAACAGTGAACTAACCAAGATCGCTTCGGGTGTTGACAAAGAGATCATGAGGACAAAATCGAACCATATAGAATGCACAGACTTCTCTATCGTCCCACTTAATCTCCTTGAAACCTCTTCTCTCTTCGTCGGTCAGATTACGAGCTGCGAAATCGATATAATTCGTTTTCCTTATTGATTGATTAAACAAAAAAAAAGACTCAAATTCGGGGATGAAACTTAAAACTAGATTGCTCCTCGATAACTCACCTGTACCCATAAGTTCGTCCAACAGAGCTCGCTGAGCATCCATGGCGGATTACGAAGAAATTGAAGTGAATCCAGAGAAAGAATAAGCAGTTGCGTGATCAAATTCTAGCTAATTTCGAGAGGATGATGAACAAAAGTGCACAAGTAGTGATGATTTTAGGGTTTCGTTCGCCACGAGAACTTGGCAAAGGGCGTCGTTTTATCATATATAATTATAAACTGTATCCCCCTAAATAAAAATGTCCACCTAAGCAACAAAAATAGAGTAAAAATTAATTTACTCTATAAACCACTGTTAATGTACCTCGAACGGTAAAAGAATTCCAAATTCTCTCTTTTTTTTTTCTTTTTTTTTTTTTTTTTTTTGGCATCAGTTCCAAATTCTCTCTAAGCTTAAACACTTAACCATAATGATAAACATCATTCAACGTACTCCTTCGTAATTTTCAATTTATGACAACAAATCGTGTAAACCCCTAAAAAAAAGTTACATTGTCAAGCTATACTATCACTTCTCTGAATCAAGTTCAAAAGTGTAAGTAAAAGATAAGTATTGCATTCTTTAAGTCCTATAACTTTATTGCATTCATTAAGGACACCATTCACTACAAAGTGTGAAACTTGTCTCTTTTTTTTTGTTCTTTTTTTTCTTGTACTTCAATATCGCATCAAAACATTCACAATGTGTAAATACAATATCACAATGGCCGCGAAAAGTACAGTATCACAATGGCCGCGAAAAGTACAGTACGTTGAGTTTGGAGCCAACCAAAAATTGAAAGAAAAGATTTACGAGACTAATCGAAACTGATACGACGCATCTTACAGACGAGATTAGCTGTAGGGAAATCGAGTTCACTACCAGCTTCAGATTTCATCACATCTTTGAGCTCATCTCTTGGTGTAGCCAAACACGTCTGAAAAGTTGCAAGAACAGGCGGAATCGGCATGGACAAAGCCGAAAGCACATTGCTCAAATACTCTATATCTACAGAGAGTTGTTGTGCTCCTCGGTCTGTAATGTATTGGATTCCTCTCAGTTGGTCCATGTACAGAGCCGTTGCGCCTTCTGCAACCTGTTTATTTTTCATTTCAATCGTTACGGTCTTTTTGCGATTTCGAGGTGAAGACTAAAAGCTTAAGTTAGAAATTACCTTGAACATCCACTCGGTTGCAAAGAACTGTGCGTCCTCGTTGTTTGAATCGCCATTGGTCGAGATTCCTTCAGCTAGAGGCTCAAGCTGCTGAGGCAAAGTAAGGAGATATTCTCCAACACTTGTAACGTAAGACTGAGGGTACGAGCTGAAGTTTGGTAGAGGAAAAGCGGTTTGTTCTTCGACTGAAGACCAGATTGGTAGGCGAGATACTTCTCCGAGTCGTTGCCTGACTTTTGATATGAGGACGTCATAGACAAGTTCGTTGACTGTCTCGGCAAATAAGGCCACTCTCTGAGATGCCAAAGGCAGTGCATGGAACCGTGGATCTTTAGACTGCAACAAAACACGTAGGAAAATTATTATTGTACAGTAAATTCAGTGTCTTCGTAAATTAAGACTACTGTATGTTTTTCTTTTTTCAGTACCTGCTCCAACAGGTTTAGGAGTTTGTGAGCCTTCTCCGGAACATCAACCAACCGAATCGCTGCGACATCAAGGGAAGCTCGTCCAGCCATAGACAAATCACCAGCTGACTGTTCACTTGTCAAATGCGACAGGTTCTGATCCAAATTTGTGCCAAATAACGAAATAGACAAGCTCGAGTTCAGTCTAGCTAGAGTGGCTCTCAAAGAAGCTTCAAATACAGAAGACCTGCTCGTAAGGCAATCAGCTACAGTCAGTATCTGTAGTGCTCCCTGAACAATGGACCATTCTTCATTTGATGTCAACTCCATCTTGCGAGAGCTCTTTCTTTTCTCTGCACTTCCCTCTTCCTTTGAGCTAACTCCGTCACCTGTGCCATCCACTCCATACACAACTCTCAAAGATTTAAGAGTTTCTTGAAGCATAGAGATATACTGCAACATAACGTCATCTAGTGCAAGTATCAGCTCGTCTGCCTCTGAGCCCCCAGTGAAACCAATACACCTCTCAACGGCAGCTTCAAGAAGAACAACAACTTGAGGAATAGATTCTTCCATTCTACGTACTGTTTCGCTGAGTTCAATTCCTTGAGCTCCAACACCACGAGTGACGGCTCCTCTCAGATCCACAAGTGCGATCTCAGATGACAAAATAGCACGTTCCATCTTCCCATACCTAAATCATGGTCAATTCTAATGTCACAAGCAGCCTTGAAGAACCATCGAAAAATGAAACGATCCATAAACTGCTAGAAATGGATGATGTGGGGTACATAGATCTACACAACATGAATACTTACTTTTGCTTAAACGATTCAAAAGGTGAGTACACGGCTTTCAGCGTATCAATTAAGACCCTAAGTTCAGATTCGGCAAACAGGTGCTGAATATTTCTAGCAAAGGACCCAGTTACGTTATGCAGTTCAATCAGGGCCTCAAGATGGTTGGTCTGAATATTAATACCCTTGGGCAAGTCCCCGGATAATAGATCCATCACACCTGCTCAAGAGAAACATCAGAACTTTCGGTTCACAAATAAATGTAAGACAAAAGAAATAATACTTTGGAAAATTTGCAGTCACTAAATGAAAAAGGCTACAATCAATTTCTACAAACTTCTCTTGCAAATTGACAGATTCATCACATTGGCTATTATTCAAAACAACAGACAAGAACAACCAAAAGCAGTAGAACATATAAAGGTAGAAGAAACTGATCCACCTAGAACTATCTAGCTAAGCAAGAGGCTGGCAGAGTAAAACCACCACGGAAGCAATGCAATCCAAGCCATCTGGGTAAAAGAAGTACACTAAGAAGAAAATCGGATAATCAAAATGCACTGACATCATATCCAACCTTTGGCGAGTGTTTTTGTTTCAGGAACAGCATCTCCTGTTGCAAGGTTAAGACGAGAAACAAAACTAGCCCCCAGTACCCCCATGGTCTCAACCAAGAGCTTTGGTACGAGAGTCATGTAGTCATCAGGGAAGGCAACCATACACCTGAAAAATTATAAAGCAAAAACGTATTACAGTGATTGATACTTATTCTAAAGCAGCAATCACATGACCTGGGTATAAGGGTCTGTAAGAAGAAGTAGACAATTACCATTTCCATTCCTGCTCAAGATAGAGAAGCAGCTCGTCGTAAAAGCTTGGCAGCCAACTGGCAAAGGATGTTTGAGTTGATGCCAAATGAAACTCATCGCCGCTAGTCAACCTTTGGCTTTCACTTCTCTCACTGGCAAGCTTGTTGGCTCTTTGCTTCGTGTCAAAATCATCCCAAAGTTGTTTTATTGGCTTTAGACGGACTTTCGAATATTGCAACTCCAGAGACTTGAATCTCCCAATCCGGAGTAGAATTCCTCGTAAATCTTGGGCAACATCAACCTGCCAATATGTTGGAGAGGCTTTTCAATCCAATAATAGCAACAAAGAACCTAAATTGTTTGGGTTTTCTACACCGATGGGTTCCAACCTTGTGATATGTTAATGCATCAGTAAGACGTGGCTGCACCATCGCCTCCAGCCTATCCTCCAACACTTCTAGTTGCTTTCTAACATTAGCAAATTCTGCAACCTGTTGATCAAAATTGGAGTTGAATGCATTACCTCATGAATAAAAAGACTTAAAAACCGTTACACTAGTCAAGTGGATATTAGCATTACCTCTCCAACAGCAGACAAGCAATTCCTCATGCTGGCAAGTGTCTCTGCAGCGCGAGGAAGATCGCCACTAGCAAAAACATCCTCAACCGTCGAGCTTAACTGAGTTAACCCAGCAGCATCCTGTCCATATACCCGAAAGAAGATAATCAATTCCAGATCTTCTCAAGTGTGCATATGATGGATCACAAAATTAGTATGCATACTGACCTGTAGCGTTTTATAGGCAGCTTCCATTCTCTGTTTGACATTGTCCACTCTTGCAAGGGCAGCTATACAGTCTGCTGAAGAACCCTCCGCCTGCGAGTACCAATTTCGATAAGAAGACTGATTATCAGACTCTGTTGAGAAAGAAACGTAATAGTACAGCTTGAGGAAGGACTGAAATTATTGAAAATGCACAGAATTTTGGTTGAAGTAGATCATTTGCAAGAATTGATCATCTAAACTAGTATAATATGTTCATCTTTCTCGCCTTTTCTTATGACACTACCCATGATTGATGCATAATAACTTGTGATCTGATCTGATATAACACTGTTTAGTGTGACGCTAGAGGAGATCCAAACGAAAGCTCAGATTCAGTCTCCAAACGAAAACAGAACAAGTGAAGGATACAAGAAATCCAAAGAAGCAGCACAATGCATACCTTTTTGAGCTTCTGGAGGATACCGGCAACGGAACCACGCAGAGACACCGCATCATCACGGAGCCGCAAGACATCGCGAGTGGCTCGAGGGACACGGAGGAGAGCACCTCCGCTCTGCTCTTCTAGGGATGCTCCGATCTCCTCGGAAGCAATCTGGAGCTTCATTTCCAGATCCACCAGGTGTTTCTCGAGCGAGTCCTGCGGGTGACGCGCTTGGCACGACGAATTAACCCACCTCTTCGCATCGAACTTCTCATCTGAGAACGGACCCAGATCCAGCATCATCCTGATCACCTGGATCCCACCGGTATTCAACTTCGAATTCGATGATGTTGAAGAAGATCCTATGAATCTCTCTTTCTTGGAAAAATTTCTGATATGCCACAAATCAGTGAACCGCTTGCCAAAATGCCATAGCTTAAAAATTAATTTTTTTCCATTTTCTTTTAAATAAAAAAACAAGTAAAAGTCATTAAAACCTAAGTAAAGTTCACCTAATTACGAATTGAACCAGGGTTATACCCGAAAACCGCAAACCCGACCCGATTTTAATGGATATGAAAGAGTAAAAATCCCTAAATTCACTATGTTGGTTTTATTTTGTTTTGTGTAAGAAATTTGAAATCAGAAAAGACGAAGAAAGGGAAATCGAAGAATCTCAACGGAAACTGAAATTCGTAAGTGGAGAATTGTAGAGTGAAGCTTCGAATCCAGTCCAGCAATGGTGGTTTTGAGAAACAACAAAGTAACGACGGAAACGCCAAAGACGACGGAAATGGCGGAACCGTCGAATTCCACAAAAATGGCGGAACCGTCGAAGTCGACAGAAGCGGCGGAATCGCCGAACCCGACTGAGGAGTCGACAGAAGCGGTGGAGTCGCCAAAGCCGACTGAGGCGACAGAACCGTCGAAGGCGACCGAAGCGGTGGAACCATCGGGGTCGAGAGAAACGGAGGCGGAACTGTCGAAGTCGACAGAAGCGGCGAATCGCCGAAGACGACTGAGGCGACAGAACCGTCGAAGGCGACCGAAGCGGTGGAACCGTCGAGGCCGAGAGAAACGGAGGCGGAACTTCGAAGCCAACAGAAGCGGCGATTTCCACCGATGAATCTCGCCGATAGAAGAAACGGAGGTGACAGGAGAAGCGGGAACCAAGGAAGCAAATCCCAAAGCAAAAGAAGCCCAAACTGAGGAGAAGATGAACTCAGAAGAAGATGAATCGGAAAAAGAAGATGAATTGGAAGAAGAAGAAGAGCACGAAGAAGAAAAAGAGGAAGAGGACAAGGAATTGCTGGTGACCAACTAGAGAACAAGGTATAATATTTGAATCTTGTTTATTATGTTTACTTGGATTCTGAGTTTGATAATGGAGAAGATGATTATGTAGTATCTGGTTTGAATCTATTCGACTAAGTTCAACTAAGTTCGAATATACAATAGTTGATGTTATCAATGCAAATTACATTAATGTTATTGCGAAGTAAAATCACATTGGTAATTTTTTTGAACATGCAGGATGAGGAGTATAATGATGACAATGATGGCGAGGAAAATCGACAATCTCCACAACAGCAGGAAGAAATTCCTCAACCGGATCAAACCCCACCGGAAGAACCACTTCAACCGGAACAAACAGAAGACGCTGAAGCAATGCCTTCAGATGCACATGTCTCTTCTTTTGCACCGGTCATGGTAATGTAGATTTTTAGAAATTCAATTCCGCAAATGCAAGTTCGAGTAAGTTCGAGTAGGTTCGGGTAAAAGTATAATTAGTAACACTACATTGTTTGACTTGGCGGCAGGTTGATGATGAATATATACCACTGCCACCAGAGAAGTTTTACTTTCGTCCAGATCAGTATAGAAAGAGTTGTAGGATATCATCGAGGTGTTATGTGAATGATACGGTCAAGGACATCAAGGAAATTCCTCAGGCGTTGGAATGGTTTTCTAGTCATCCTCAGTTTAAGCATATCTTTCATATGCCTCTGGTGGAAAACCGTAAATCAAAAGGATTTTGGATGCTTCTTCTGCACCTAGCTTGTACTGATAGTGACAGAGAATTATGGTTTGTGGTTAATGGAGGTACTCCATTAAGGAGCATGCGCTGCTGAGTGGATTGGATTGTCATGACTACCCTAGCAACTATGGGGAGCTGAAGGACAAGGATGCTGGCGATTTCAAGTTTGTTGAAAAGTGGTTCAAGAGAAGGACCAATATTACCATAGCAGATGTGAAGAAGAAGCTACGGAAAGTGAAGAGCGCTGTTAACAAGAAGAAGATGGCTGCGCTATATTTCTTAACCAATGTCTTGAAAGCGAAGTCCAAATATAAAGGAAACATAGAGCCATTCTTTCTCAAAGTCGTGGATGATTTGGACTTGTGCGAAAAATTCCCTTGGGGCCGTTTGACCTTTGATGATTTGGTAGATGAAGTTAAGAAAGTAGCGAAGAAGTTCAAGGGAGGCGTCGTCAACGAGAAGGATTCATGGACCTTTTCTGGATACATTCTTCCTATTGAGGTAATTCTTTTAATTATTTTCCTTAAATTTACGTGGATAGGGTCGTGATATTGTAGTACTCTCTATGTACAGGCTTTTGCGTATGAGTGCATTCCTGCGCTTGCTCGAACCTTTCGAGAACCTGTTCATGCAGAGAGCGACTGTCCAAGGTTGTGCAAGCACAATTTCAAAGCACTTACATGAAAGGTTATCCACTGTCCGAGATAAACGAAGCAATTGGGAGCAATAGGGTGAGTATTTGTCATCATATAGTGTACTTTATTTTATCTTAATTGAGCAAGCTTATCATGAGTGTATTTAATGTGTTCATAATCGCAGGATATCATAAGCATCTTGGAACCAACCTCAGAGGAGGAAACCCTTATGGAGCGCATCATAGACCCTGGTTGTGATGATGGGATTGGCTACGTGGATCATTTAGTCGACCTTTGGAGAGACCATCTAATCGTCCAAAAGAAGAAGATATGGTGGGAGTCTCTGTACAAGATTGACTTGGCCGGCAGAGGTATCACCGAGTTTGCAAATGAAGTACCAATGCAGGCACCTGACAACGGTGGATCAGTTCAGGGAATGATGGAAACGATGAAAGCTTTGATCGAGGAAGCAACAAAGAAGTTGGAGGATAAGATGGATGATGTTACCTCAGAGATTAAGGCAATGGTTGGGGACTTAGATGAGAGACTTGATATGGTTGAATGTTATGTCAATGAGCAACGAACCAAGAAGGCTCATGATAGAAGCGGAGCAAGTAGTTTTCCTCTAGGTTCTGCTTTTCGGACTCCGGCCGAGAAGGTGGTAGCAGGGGATATAAGTGAGGCGGAGGAGGAGGCGGAGGAGGAGGAGGAGGAGGAGGAGGAGGAGGAGGAGGAGGAGGAGGAGGAGGAGGAGGAGGAAGAAAAGAGAAGAGGACAATCAGACCTTCAGCTATTCTCTCATCTCCATATGTGGCTGGTCAGGCAAATAGAAAAAGAAAAGCAAGACAAGTGGAAAAGGGAAAGGAGGTGCAAAGAGCCGTACAACACACGTAGGAAACAAGGATGACGATGGCTTTGTGTTTAGGAAGTTATGTATTGTGTACCATCTCTATGTTTTATGACTTTGGATTGTGTACTATTTCTGTTTTTGAGTTTGGTACAACTGTGTTTGCATAGGTTCGACTGTGTTTTTGGATGGTTCAAGTGTGAACAATTTGGTTTGGTACAACTGTGTTTGCATAGGTTCGACTGTGTTTTTGGATGGTTCAAGTGTGTTTGCATAGGTACAACTACGTGTGATGGTAAAGATGATATAAGTTTTAACTTGACTTCTTGTTTGACTTGTAATGATTTGTTTTTTGTTGACATGAGTTGCAAAGACATAATGAAAGGACATAATTAGAAAACACATAGTTAAAACATAACTAAAAGACATAATTAAAACATAATTAAAAGACATAGTTTGCAAACAAAGTTTACACAAATCTTAAACACAACTTAAGAAGACCTCTTAAGTAGTTTGAAAAACAGAGGTCTTCATCCGCAGCAACTAAATTGAAAAGAAGGTTTTGTTACTTAAACCAAACTAAGAACCAAGCAAGAAGAAGTAAAACTGCAGCAATCGCAAACGTGCTCTCCACAGCTTTGTACTTCTTGTTGAAATCACCAATCACCAACTCCAACCTTGTAATCTCCGCTTTGCTCTGTTCATGTTCTTCCTTCAGGTCGGCAATACGTTTCTCCGCAATACGCATGTCCATGATGATGAATGTTAGCTCGCCGTCCTTCAGCTCCGAGATTAACTCCTCCATTCCGGCACGGTGGTGAGTTTGAAGACTCTCAATTTCCCCAGAAACCCGCTTGATTCAGAGTGAAGTATTTCTAACTCCTCTTCAATCACACGATCCCACCACTTCCGAATATGATAACCGGGTTTCTACAATCAAAAATAACAAAGTTCACCATGAATCTAACAGAACCCTAAACCCTAGAAAGAACTACATTAAAAGAACCCAAAACAAAAAGAATTCGGAGACATGATTATCAACTAACCGCTCGGAATTCGCAGGAGAAGTATATTTTCCAGGGTCTTGTTCGGTGCGAGACGTTTCCCTAATGACCCTTCCACCGCAGTAACAGTAGCTCGGCATACCGTACTCACCATCTCTGATGGTATTTTCGTCGAGTGAGTATGAAGATGAAGACGAGGTTGCAACCCAACTGTGAGGTCCCATCTCAGAAAATGAGAGAGAGAGAGAGGAATCGAAGAGAGGAATTGAAGAGACAAAGGGAAAACCTAAGCGAGAGAGAGAGAGAGAGGAGAGAGAGTGAGATCGAGAATAAGAACCCTAGAAATCAATTTGGGGAAACTCCTTTGTTTTTCCTTTTTCTCCTTCTTTTAAAGTATTACCAAATAATGAAAATTGCGGCGGAAATATAAAATAAAAAATTTAAAAAAATAATAAGATTCCCGCTTACTTTTCCCGCCGGCGGAAAAGTTAAAAATTTGCAAAATTCGGGGAAAAATGGTCATAGTTGTACTCATGCCATTCGTCGAACCAAAATTAGACATAGTTGAACATCTGCGAGTTTTGGGTTTTTGTAGTAGAACCACATTTCAATGTGTAATGGTCAAGTTGAACCAATGATAGTTCATCTTATTTTATCATTACAAACATATCATGTCAAAATTTTAGACAAAACTCGTTTTCTTCTTAATTTGAATCACATCATTGACACATTACCTACATATTCCATATATTGTATAGGGTGCTTGATGACTAACATGCTTATCCAGTAGGATAATTTTTTTTTTATCAATTTTTGTTCTTTCTATCAAATAAGTAGACATAAATATGTTTTTTTCTTAATTAACTCCTCTATATTGCATATCATAAATATATTCACTAAACATTTGCCGTTCGTATATAATTCGAGCCGCATAGTCGAACCTATGGGAGCTAGTTGTACCAAATGTACTTGAAACCAAAACACGTCCACATTCACAGACGCAATGAACATTCTCTATACACGCGGGAACCTGGCAGAACCATATCAGAACCTAGTTCTGAACAAGTCGTTTATCAGCTAATTCCATAACCTTTACATAATTCAGTAATTCCATAACCTTTACCATATTAGAATACAAACCCACATTATTTACATACTTGAACCTACTTGAACCTTGTAGAACCTTGTTCCGAAATTTTGATAATAAAAACACTGAATATTAGTACATACTTGAACCTGTTAGAACCCATCAGTACAACTTCAAGTAACACACTGCAGACAACATGACTGCAACATTGTTCACACAAACTTCATACAACATAATTAAAAACAAATTCAAGCGGTTAAAGCAAGCCAATTCAAATCCAAACAACATAAATACCAAATCCAAACAACAGAATTGCAATTGTTACTCGTTTGGAGGTTTAAAAAAAAACACCCAAATCCTGATGAGGCTTACACTTGTTACTCGTTTTCTTCTTCTTCTTTTTACGACTTTCTCCTTCTGATGGATGTCGTTCTTCTTGGTTTCTTCCTCTTTTTGCTGTGTAATCAGGAGGATAAGCGAACAATTTCAGAACATCCTCCGGGATTGCCCAAGTTGAGATATGGGGCACTGTATAGATCGTTTTCACATATGCTCGTGCCCATGTCTCAACCAAATAGTATCTGGAGCACAAATCATATACAGAAAGAGTCGACATTCTTCCATCCTTCTTTATCTTTGCCATGAGTGCGGCAATTGCATGGACACACGGGTACTTGTCAATGTCAAACATTCTACACACGCAAGTTTTGCTCGCCAAATCCACAAGATATACCACACCATCTGAACCAAATACGTCGAACAGAAATTCCTGACCATTTACCTCCCTGACCGTTAAACGCTTAGCTATTGGACATCTTTCGTGAAGAACATTCTCCACAAAAGGCACAACGACCTTTGTACTTGGCATTGAAGCGCATTCGTTCCTATACTTGTTGGACCAAAAAGCGAATTTCTCTATTATCTTATCAAGCATTGGTAAGAGAGACAACTTTCTGTCTTTCCTAAACACACTATTCATAGATTCGCAAGAATTGCTGGTGTCTAAGTTATACTTTTCTCCTTCAAAAATGCACCTTGCCCACCTTTCCACATCTATCTTGTCAACCAAAAACTTAGCACACGCAGGATACAGCTTCCTGAACTCATCAAACTCCTTTTTAAACTCAGACCCAGTATAAGCATGAGCGCATTTGATGAACTTATCAACAACATCGTCTTTCTTAACACCTTGCTGAGCATGCCCTTTTACGTTCTGAGCCAGATGCCAAATACAGTGTACATGGCGAGCCAATGGATAGACCTTCGAGACTCCATATATGATGCTTTTATGTCTGTCACTAACAAAAACGAGTTCAGGATCATCTGGTACAACAGCTTTCAGGTTTTCCAGGAACCATGGCCAACTACTATGATTTTCGCTATCAATTATCCCAAAGGCAATAGGGTAATGGTGATGATTAGGATCTTGAGCAGTGGCAAACACAAGCTGTCCACCATATACAGTCTTCAGAAACGTTGCATCCACAACTATCACTTTTCTCATCCATTGAAACCCTTCAATGCTCGCTCCCAAAGCAACAAACAGATACTCAAACCTGTGCAAAGCATCTAGTTGCACATTCGTTTTGCTTCCAGGATTTTCCTGCTCCAGCATGTACAGATAAGAAAATAACATCTTGTAGCCTTCTTCAGGAGTGCCTCGAACATCACTAACGTGTAGTTTTTTTCCTCTCAAGCCGTTGAGTATGACACATTCACACCAAGTCTACGGTGAACAACATCGACAATTGTTTTTGGAACTGGTGTGTCAAACTGACCTGGATAGTCTTCATGCAAAACCGATGCCACTAATCGTGGGTTGCCTCTCCTTCGAGAGCTGTTACTACTTTCAACAGCCCGTGAGCAGTTGTGCTTGTTCCAGTATTTTCGGACACTGAAAAAATCTGATCCACCTTTCCTCGCAGCATATATATACCAATTACAGCCTCCGCTCTTCTGAGTGCACCTTAGGATAAGTCGGCCAGTGTCAGACTTGTAAGTGCGGACACCAAAACAATGCTTGTGTGAAGCTCTGTCAACCAAATCTTGCAATGCCTCCTTTGATGGAAATTCTTGTTTTATTTCAAGACCAATACCATCTTCCCATTCTTCAGCCAACTTAATTTCTTCTACAGGACGTGAAAGCTCAAAATCCTCATCAAAGAAGTTTAACCCATCTTCCTTACTATCTGGTTCTGGACGCTTCTCGTTGCCATCCTCTTCTTTACCATCAGACTCAACCTCTTCGATATGTGGCTCTTCAATATGTGGCTCTGGCTCCTCAACATGTGGCTCTCTGAATATGGTAACGACACCATCACCTCTGTCATTTGGAACCGACTCCTCCTCGTAATTCAAACCAAATGAACTTTCTGCATCCGTTCTAGACAGGTGGTCGCTCCTATGATTTGCTCTGTTCGTGTTCTTGGTTACCTCCACATGCAAAATCCTCCTAAATCCCAGATTATCAATTGTCGTTAGATAAGCAAATAGGTCTTCATCATCAAAAATGTACATCTCTCTCGCAGGATTATTTGACATTGGAATGTAACTCAATTTCAGCAGCGGCTTAGCTCCATCTCTTGCAATCTTCCTGCATATCTTATCCACAACCGCCGAGTACGTAATCTCCTCCAAAGATGAGATCTTGAATGTTATAGCGCAAGTGGGATTCTTTGAAACCCATTTCAGTTCCTCTTCTGCATAATGACCTCCGTGGTCGAAAAATATGTTTGTGATGATCATGCTCATTGTTACCCTGCAAATATAATGAAAATAATCAATTCCCAATTACAAAACATCTCACAGTTGTACTACGTGTACCAGTTGAACTTTTACTACCATTACTTTTTAAAATGCAGTTGTACCTATATGAACCAGTTGAACCACTTAATCAACTAAGTCCCATTTGTACCACTCGTACCAGTTGTACCATCTCTGCAGGTTCCGATCTAGTTCAAATACAGTTCACTCGCTGCGATTCACAAGCTACATTACTCAAAAAGCTTAATCTACCGCCTATTCTATCAATGCATGTATACCCAATGCCTATACCAATGAACCACCCAATGAACCAATTTAAAAAAAAAAATTAGAAACTCACTTTCAATGGACTTGAAGCTTCAGCAATGGTCAAACAAACGAAAAGGGAACATCCACTGTCTACGGAGGTGAAAGAGGAGGCGGAATAGGTATAGATGAGCTCAGGTCGAAGAAGATTTCGAGTTCAGTGAAGATTTTGAGTGAGAGAAGCGAGCTGAGCTGAGAATTCCGACCACGCGATTTCCGATTTCCGAAATCAATCATTGGATTTTATTTTTTTTCTTTTTTAATTTTTTCGATTTCATTTTTTATTTTAAGTTGTTTTTTAAATTAGAAATTGAGAAAGGTGAAAAGTAAAAGGTGAAAAGGAAGAAGGAGGGAGAAAAGAGTAATTGCACATCATCTTGTGGCATTAGATCATTCTTTGGCACAGAGATTAACTTTCGCAAATTGTGGCAAATCAGTCGCGCGCTCCTCTTTCTTCTGTTTTCGCCGAGACATTGAAGAAGAAACTGAACCAAATCAATCTAAACCGAATTTCAATTCGGTACAAATGTAATTCGGTTTTTAATCGGTACAAATCTTCAATCGAAACAAAACCGAACCTAAATTTAACCGAAAATCAAACCTGGGCCGTATATATAGTGAATATCATTCAGTTATATTTTTTACCTGGAAACCACGCATTTCTAGAACCATCTTTCTCAGGAACGACCATTTTCTCCATTACTATATAAATCTTCTCTCTAACAAAATTCTTCGCTCAATGCTTGTAAAAATATCTGATCAATCGATCTAACGTTGCAACTTCTCTTTAGCGAAAATGGCGTCATCATCTCTAACTTTCAGAAGACTTCTCTCCTCCCACGTCGTCCCTAGATCTATTCGTACGTTGGGCAGCTACTATTCGCCTCTTCAATACCATCGCGGTCAGACGCTATGAAGACGGAGATGACGGCGTTGAGAGGAATCATAGGTCAAACCACTAGTTTCTCGCGATTTGTTCTCAGCTAATTGTCTTCTCCGCGATTGAGTGCTGTTGATCCCGATCAATAAATTCAATCCGGTTATTCTACTAACAAATGTAGAAACCGGTTATTGTTTCATGATTTATGTCACACAGATCCGTTTAGACCAAGGAGGAGTTTGAGCCAGAAGCTGAATTTCATGGACCAGTTCGACGAAATTCGTCCACTAGTATCAGCCAGTCGTTGAATGGGAGCCTCCATGGGAGCCCCCGGAGTGAGACCCGGCTGGGACGTGAAAGAGAAAGATGAGGCGCTGTACCTGATGAGGATCGATATGCTGGGACTGAGTAGGGAGGACGTGAAACTGGCTCTAGAACAGAACACACTAGTGATCAAAGGAGAAGGGAATTAAAGCAGAGGCGGAAGAAGATGTTTCAGGCGGGGATGTACGGAAGTTTACAGGCAGGATAAGATTACCGGAGAAATTATATAAGACCGATGAGATCAAGGCGGTGATGAAGAACGGCGTGTTGAAAGTGGTGGTTCCTAAGATGAAAGAGAAGGAATGTAACAATGTTCGCCAGATTCAGGTCGATTAGAGTTTTGTCCTCTTGTGTTGTTTTTGTTTGGATAGTTTATGAGAAATGGCTTTGCGGTTGTTTATCGAACAAGTTGTTCGTCTTCTCTTCCCTTTTTGTTTATTTTTTTGTCAAAAATGGAAAATGGCTATTCACGTTTCATAGAAGTAAGGCTTAGAGATGATTTGGCTTTTGGATCCGGGTGTACATATTTTGGTTTTACTCTCGGAAATATGTACTGTGTTTGGCTATAATAGTGAACTAACGCTAATGAGATTATGGGGGGAGATAAGTCTAAGGGACAAGGCTGTAATAGACTAATAGTTTCCTAATGGGGATAAGATATTTGCAAATGTCCATGGCAACAACAGCTTTGAGCTTTGTGGGGTTACAAGTCTGGAATGAGTTGTCTTTGGATAGATCTAGTCATCTAGAGCTGATGGGATAATCACCAAGAACGTTTCTTTTAGGGGATTCTCAAAGGTCCTTGAGCTGCTTCTGGGTTCTCGCACTACTATTGCCTTGCAAAGCAAGTTTCGTGCTCAATGTGCACATTCTTCTGAAAATGTACATGTTTCTTCTTTGACGAAAGAAAAACCATATTTTCTGTGACTAATATAGTTATGTTTTCTTGGATATATATATTTTGTTGTTTCTGTTAATTTCTGCAAAACAAAATTTATCTACCATTTTTTACTCTCTTCGATTGGCATATATGTAACATCCCGGTTTGTGATAAATGAAGAGAAACTTAAGAGATTTGATTTGGCTATCTATGTCAACAAAGTGCACTTACCTTTCCGGTCAAAGATCCATAAGTAATTCCAAAGTTAAGTGTACTTGCTTGGGCTGGAGTAGTGGAAGGATGAGTGACCTTCCGAGAAGTGATTTCCGAAACCGTGTGAGTGAGGCCAAAACATGGGGAAAGGTCGGTGTTGATTGCAGGGATAATAAACAAGTCATTAGAACCTCTAAAAAAATAGTGCACCGGTTGTCGGACAGGGGTGAAGCCCATGAGCCGGGCGTGGGTGACTCACCGGGAGGGGCGGTCGAGGCGTTATAATTTGTTATCAGAGCCAAACCCAGAGGAGAGTGTGGAGTTAGGTGGAGTGGCATTGACTCACACCATCAGAGGGTGACGATTCAGGTGCGCAACAAGGACGTTGCGTGAGTGGGGGTGAATTGTAACATCCTGGTTTGTGATAAATGAAGAGAGGCTTAAGAGAATTGATTTGGCTACCTATGTCAACAAAGTGCACTTACCTTTTCGGTCAAAAGTCCATAAATAATTCCAGACTTAAGCGTGCTCGGTTGGACTGGAGTAGTGGAAGGATGAGTGACTCATATACCTCTATTTTACATGATTTTTATACTATTTTATACTATTTTACTATGGTTTTCTGATAGTTTTTAGCAGGTTTTCTATCTAAAAACGTAGTTTTATTGGATTTATACTGTCAAGAGTCTAAACAGGTGAAATGATGCATTTTGGAGCAAAACCACAAGAATTGGACTTCATCCCTCTCCATACCAAAGTATCAACTTTGAGAAAGCCTGAAAAATAATCTACTCAATGGATTTCATCCAAACCGCGCGTACCGGTCGATCGTGGGACGACTCGACCCGCGCAGAACGCCACGTTCGTCCCACATGAGTGCACGGCCGAGCGCACATATCGACCCGGGAAGCATCCGCCCGCGGTCGACCCATTTCAGTCCCACGACTATGTGCCGCTCACGACCACTCTGTCCGAACAAGGAAGCATCATCCCGCGTTCGACCTGCCCGCTTATCACGATCCGACCAGGAAGGCATCGTCCCGCGTCCGGCCGGACCCGACGATCAAACATGAATTCTCTCGGCCACGATCAACCCGATTGTACCGATAGCCGATCATAACCCGAAAGCCGGCCGAACATCCCGACCGACCGTCCGAACGGACTGGTCGACACGAAGCCCGTTTCACACGTTTTCACGGCCCAAATTAACCTAATGCCGCCTATGAAGACCTAGCACTATAAATACACATTTTTAGCCTTTTGAGAGAGAGAGCCGCACATTGTATCACATTTTACACTTAAAGTTTTGTTCTAGTGATTTCAAGGAGAAGATCTCTCCTCCTTACTTCAATTTGGAGAAGTTTTCTAAACCTTTATCTATCTATGATGTTTACTTCATCTCTTTGTGTTATTGCTTTGATCATGTCTGAGTAATCCACTAGTTAGGTTGCTAGGGTTACTAATCAAGGAGTTGCTCTATTAAGAGAAGAACATCGAGAAATCGCAGAACATTGAGAAATAAAAAATTGAAATAAGGAAGAGAAGAACATCGAGAAATCAAAATTGCATACCTTTGATCGATTTGCAGACGTCTCTGATGGAGGAGACATTGAGAATCGGTGGATTGGAGCTTCCAGTTTGAGTTAATTGAAAATGTAAAGGGATTTAAGTTGAATTTCGAAAAACCTTTCTCGACAACTTTCTCAGTTCGAGAACCGGAAGAGACTAAAGCGGCGGTGGCAGATAAAACGATCGATGAAGGTAATAAAAAACTAAAAGTAATAAAACGGTCATAAAAAAGGTGATGTGTATTTAGTTCGGTTTCAAACAAGTACCCACGGGTTAGCCGGTTATTACCCGGAACCGACTCGATAACCACAGTTATTGAAGAAAGTTAACCGACAGGCAGAACAAGTTCTAACCGGAACCGGGTTTTTCTGGGTTGGTTCCGGGTCGGGGCCGTCGGGTCGGATTTTATGCCCATGCCTATTTCAAGATTTGGCTAGAGATCGGCTGGAGCGGTTAAAGTCATCTCCTTCTTCTACACCCTGGACATATTTTCGATTTCTCGATGATCATGGTTGTCTCTGTTGATTTGTTATGGTATTTCGAAATTGTGTGGTATAATGTTAAAATGAGTATGTAGTTATCTCAAAGGAGGGGGAACAAATTTACCTATGTCTATGCACATAGTTTCTTGTGATAGCAGTGTGGTTTGATGCTCTATTACAAATCAGGAGCTTTAATATGTTCTCGCCCACCATTATAAAAATAGGGATATGTTGATAGCAGTGTGTGTAGAGTTCGCATATGTTTTATTAGACTTTTGCTCTTGTGGGATAAATAAAGCTCTGATATCTTGTTGAACTTTGGAGGTAGTAACCAGTCAATGTGAATGCACTTTTGGACTCATGCTACCTCCACTTGTGTAAGAACGGTAATTTTACAATATAATTAAAAAATGTTAGCAAGAAAAAGTGTATCGTGTAATTGATCCAATAGATTATTTGTTGTATCATCAATAGTGTTAAAGTCTTGCTCAACTGTTTCCTTAAAGCTGGGTCCTCCTGTCTACTCTACGCTGGTTTCATTAGCTTGAATTTGCAGGTTTCATGGATTCTTGGAGCAGAGTAAAGACATTCTCAGGGAACATTCTTGGTCCAGATGTTGGGTTCTTGGTTCTTGAAGCTCTTTACTTTGTAGTACTAGCATGTGTTATTTAAAAAAAAAAAAAACAGGCATGATTTTGGGCAATTCAAGATGAATGATTATGAATTTTTGAAGACAACATTTCTCGCGGATTGTGTCAATATCCCAAAAAGCGGTGTTACTTAAACCGCTAAAGAGGCATACATTAGTCATCGTCAACCTCCAAACCATTCTCGAGGCAGACAAACCCCTTAAGGTCACTAAAATAATGCTATCAATAAATTCCTTGAAGTATTTAATTAAGATACAATTCCGAACTAGTTTGCATTTTCTTAATAAAATATTAACCTTGTTGGTCGGTAAGTTTTGGTATTGGTCAAATGAGTTGTGTGGAGACAGACAAGAAGTAGTGAATCACTCGTTTTTCACCGAGGTTTAAAAATGTCCTTTTCCTTTTGTTTTTATTCTCTCTTTTTCTACTCATCTTTGGCTTTTCCAATCAGCTTTTCCAGCACATTCATCTGGATTGATAATAAAAATCACTTATAATTCTTGCTTTCACTTGTTTTAAAATCTTTATATGTGAAGTTGCTCATATTATATAGTGTCTACTACACTACGAAGTCCTTTTACATTTCATAATCCTTGATTAAAAATATTAGCCTTGTGAGTTGTGACCATTTTTGTTGAGACCAATGAGCTCAGTTCATGTTGCTTATTCAGTCCTTCTCCTGTTTCTGCTCTTACATCTTTGTGATTCTCGGCACCTCGACAAAGTTCACATCAAGGTTCTTGATCCACATCTCAATTCGTTAGATTTCAAATTTACATTCGTATTAGAAAAATATTGTTTTCACCATCTTAAAACTAAGGTTCCTTTGTTTGTTTTTATTGTGTGGTTTAGGATCAAAAAGTCGTTTCTGGTCCCACATCAAAAGAGCCGGCTAGAGTTTCTCTGTTTGTGCCAGACGAAAAGAAGAACCACCATCGTCGGCCGCCGCTCTTCGTAGCAGATTATCCGAAGCCGTCCACTCGGCCTCCACGTCATAACTGAGACCTCTCTCTTTAGTTTTTCATCTTTTTAGAGTTTTTGTATGGGAGAGATATAAATAGGTTCTTAACAATTTTCTTAATGTTTCCAAATGTAGAAGTTTTTTGAAGTATAGGATCATGTTTTCAAACTGACAAAATCTATCCATTTTCATTAAATTCCCCTAAAGGGTATATATCTATTTATGGTCCATCTGCAGATTTATGTCCAATAGGTTTACAAGTGGTTTTGATCCATATATCTATTTATAGTCCATATGCAGAGTTATGCCCAATATTTGTCTTGCACAGCAACAAAATTATTTTTAAAAACTGATAATAATAATAATTTATTTAAACATAACTAATTGGGTTTACAAGTGGTTTTGTTTATCGGCTTTTATTCTTGTGTTTTCTATAGGTTTTGTGTTCTTTTCTAATCTATTATTTATCTTTTAATAATTCCAATTTCTTATTTTTTCATATCCTCTTTCTAGTAATTGTAAGTTCAAAGTGGAAAAATGACACACATAGACATTGTAAAAAAGGGACGATGTATTAAATTAAGGGAAACTAAACTAAATAAATCCCTAATATACTAAAGCACAAGTCACTCGCCCAATGGCAGAGTGACATGCGGCAAGTTTAAGAAAAAAAAAACGCTAATCAATTTAAATTAACTACGTGTATCGGTTATCTGATTTAAAAGGGATCAGGTTAAGAATATCAAACGAAAAGAAAATCTATATATATAAAACACAGTTGGAGTTTCTTCTGGGAACGCCACGTCAGCAAACTCTCTTTTAAACAATACTTTTCCAATTCTCTTTTAAGACTAATAATTTATTACATCTATCACTTAATCATAATAGAATTTGAAAAGTCATTTTGTATAAGAAAATAGTTTATATATTGATCTAAATAAATTCTAATTTAATAATTTTAGTTTTATCAAATAGATTTTAATAGTTTAATACGAGAAAGGATGGGATGGGGCAATACAAGACGGAAAAAAACAGAACGAGGCTGAACGGGACGAGACAAAACGGTATGTGAATGAATAGGACGGGGAGGAACGAGACGAGAAATAGAACGGGATAAGAGGTAAATTTTGCCTACCTCTTATTATATTTAGAGACGGGACAAGAAGAAACAAAAAGACCAAGATGGACAAGACAAGACAGGAAGAAACATAATGAGACAGGATGGGACTAGACGGGATGGATATGACGGGATGAAAAGAAACATAATGGAACGGAAAAAACGTGAATTTAGCATATCCCTAATTATATTTTAGGACATGACGGAAAGAAACGGAAAGAACGGGATGAGACTGGACAAAACGGGATGGAACAGTCTCAGACATGATGGGATTGCACGTGACGATACGGACATGGCGAATGGGACGGGAAAAAACGGATATGATAAAAAGAACAAAATGGGAGGAATGAAAAATGATGGTTCAAAATTTTTGCGTAAACTTAATTATATTTAATTTTCGGAAATTTTTTAGTAACCCTAATTATATTTGATTAATATGTGTATGACATTTTTAAAATAATAATAAATCATATAATTAAATTAAATTTGTGAAAAATAATAAAATCAACACAACAATTTCAATTCCCGCGCGAAGCGCGGGTCACCCCTAGTTAATAATAAGCCAAATAAAATAGTAAATAAGAAAGCCCAACAAAGCAGCCCAAATATTGATACACCAGACAACTCTTTTGTGTCTTCGAACACAGATCTCGAAAACTTCCTCATCACAAAAGATCCCTAAATTTTCGTTTCTTAACTCACCATTGTCACGATTAAACAAATCCCTAAACTGCCAAAAGACAGCGTGAAGACATTATACAAGAAGAAAGAGCTGAAGAATCTTCGACCAAGAGTGACTCAATAGCAAAGTCGGGAAAAGCAACCAAAAAATCACTGTCAAGAAGGAAACACAATATGAAAGGAAGTGCAAATACACTAACAGGAAATAGTCTCTCATATCCTTGCATGATATCATTCGACTCTTAAACACCACGTCTTCTTCACTTGTGTAAATCATTTCCACTTCTTTCAGTATTTGTATATTATTTTAAGTATTAAAGCTGCGTGTTTCTTTAATTAAACTACGTGTAACGTTTCTGTTAGTACAATCTTTATATATTAATTGAGAAGTACATTCTAATGTTTGGATACAAGAATTAGAGAAACATCTATTTGGATAGAAGAATAAATGGAAACAAAAGTTGTTTGGATATAAGAATAAGAGAAAAATCTATTTGGATAGAAGAATAAATGGAAAAAATTGTTTGGATACAAGAATAATAACTTAAAATAAACCGATGGTTTAGAAAACTTCCGTTTTCCATCTCTTAAAAATCTGCAAAAAAGAAAACTTAACATAATCTAACGATAATTCCAAATCAATAGAATATGCTTTTTGGATTTTCGGGTTTTTATAGACAAGTTCGGGTTTGGGTGAAAATCTGAGACATAATTTTATAGAGATATATATAGAGATATAGAAATTGTTCGGGTTTCTTTGAAAATTTCTGTTCGGGTTAGGTTCAATTTTTTTTTTCAGTTTAGGGTTTTCCGGATTTTTTAGATTTCTGGTTTTCGGGTTTAGATATATTAAAAAAATTGAGTATTTTAAAATTTTGATTAGGTATTGGGGTCGGGTTCCGGGTGAAAAAGTTTCCAGATTTTTTTTGTTCAGTCAGGGTTTTCGGGATTTTTTTATTTCGGATTTTCATGTTTAGACCTATTAAAAAAGTTTGGGTTTTTAAATTTTTTGATTAGGGTTTTTTGTCGGGTTCGGATTTAGGGTTTAAATTTTCTACACAAAACAACAACGTCACACCGCACAAACGTGCGGGTACTCTACTAGTTCTTTATTAATCTATTTCGTTTACTAATTTAAATTATGCAGAGTTATATATTTATATCGAGATTAATATTTTAACCCCTTAAAAACTTGCAAAAAGAACTTTCACTTCAAATGTATGCCAACTTATGAAAAATAAATAAACTAACTAGCTTAAGTTTGTATGTAATAAAGATTGTTTTTAGAATGTTTTCATTACTCTCATATTTATGTACTTTGTATATAATAAAATATATAGTTTTAGTTTTACAAAAATTTGGTATTATTTTAACAAAAATATACAGAGTATATATTAAAATCACAAATTGTCCCGTGCGTGTATGCACGGGCAGTCACACTAGTATATTCTAAACCATAATCTAGAAACTAACCATAACAAGGCTAGAATACAACCTTTAGTTTATATAATAATACCAAATTTTCCCTTTTTATTTTATGTGAAAATGAAAGTTTGTACCATTTTTCTTTGTCTATATAAATTAAAGGGGTTTTGTGCAATAAAACCCCAAACTATATTATTCTTGCAACCAAAACCTTTACCTCAAAAAAATACAAGTCAAACCACTCACCTCAAAAATCAATTGCAATATAGCTCCTAACTATATTGATGATTTGGCATTGTCAGAATCTTTTTCAAAATAGGTTTTTATGCAAAAAAACCTCGAACTAATTTTTATTTCAAAAAATGCTCTCGTCTCAAAAAGCTGCATTTTGAATTTTGTGTTGTTTTCACTTTGCACAAGACATTTAAACAACTATTTACTGTTTACAAGATTTTAATTTTATTTTTAATAAAATATATATGAAAAACGAAAAAAGAGCTCATCTTCATCGTCTTCATTTTTCTTCATATCTCCATCTATCTCTTTTTTTTTTTTTTTTTTTTTTTTTTTTTTTTTTTTTTTCTAATGACCAGTGTCTGTTAAACATTCAACATAATGATTTTATTACTTTTCAAATATGCCTATGGCTTTCTTACCTCGTCACAATAAATCTGTTTGGGAGTAAACTTTTGGCTTGATCCCGACTCAGATATAGTACTCTTATTCTTAGTTATCTCCGGTACAATTTCTTTCAAACGGTTTCATTTCCGAAAAATTATTCAATTTGAATTTACAGAAGTTTGTTCAAATAAATCTTGTTTCATTGACTTTTCAGATATGTGGATTGACTTATATTTGTATGATATAAAGGTTTTTATTGCAAAATAATTTAGTTTGAGGTTTTTTTTTGCATAAACCTTTTTCTTAAGACATTTGATAATGTCACGTCATTAATATAGGCTGGGGCTATATTGCGGATGACTTTTGAGGTGAGTGGTTTGACTTGCATTTTTTTGAGGTGATGGTTTTTCTTGCAAAAATAATATATTATGGGGTTTTTTTGCACAAAACCCTAAAATAAAACAAATTTTTCTTTTCTCAATTAGGGTTGAGAAAGATGCAGTGTTGGGTTTAGCTTCAAGTAATAAATTTACCCAACCTACACAACTGCAAGTGCACACAAAAGGCAATAGTATAGTTTGGGGTCGAACCACAAGAAGATTGTGATTTCGCTTCAAACTGTTATATATTGAAATATAGCTAGAACAAAATTTTAAGGCTGCAGTTGTTGTGTACATAAAAGTAAAAGAAAACAAAGCAAGTAAGTAAATGAAGATGTAAACTATAAAGAAAAGAGTTAGGCCATGGGATAATATTTGGAAACATGCAATGAAATGACTAGGATTGCTTGGGATATCATGAGTAACCATCTTGAACACTAAACATGGTTGTATGTTCTTCCCACTTTTGTGGCTCCGACCACCATGTTCACTAAACCTAATAGACTCAACTTTTGATGGCTATTATAAACTGAAAACATGCATTAATGGATCAAGTTTTGATAGAGTTCACTAGACTCCTTAAGTCAACTTTCGATGCTTAAGACTAGCTCACCAAATACTAGTTTTGGAATTTAGATGCAGCACTTTCGAGTTTCCATTTCCTTATGATCAGATTGCTAAATGCGCGGTAAAGCAATCATGCATTAGGATTAAGTAAAGATGAAGAACCATACGTTAAATATCATTTATGCAATCATATTGTCAAATCATGTTATGCAACCATTGATTTCCCTTAGCCTAACAATGGATCTACTCGCTCATGAATCATGATGCAAAGAACAAGACAAGACATGGATGAAAGCATAATGATATTATTGTATAAAAGAGTTAAAGGTTAAGAAATCTTCTCTATTGTGAAGAACAAGTCGGAGACGTCCCTTGTAAAGTGTTTAGATTTATGTGTGCTAGGGTCTTGAACGGCACCTATTCTTTCTTCCTCCAGGGCGGCGCAGCTCTCCTTCTTCTCTCTCTGATCGAAAGCCCTAGACACAAGTCGTGGACTCCCTTTTGCAGAGGGTAAAAGCAAGTATTCATAGGTAGAAGTCGCCTAGGTAAGAACCAGAAAAAGGAAAATTTCCCATGAGCCGGGCTTGATTGTATAAGCTTGTGTGGGCCGATATCTTGCTCAAGAATCCACCCAGAACAAGTTAGGTTCATGTTAACATAAGCCAAAGCCCATCTGGGGGCGATTGGGTCACGGGATACACCAAATCTTTCACGGGCTTTGCTTCTCTGCCAGACAGACATGTCTTTGGTAAAACAGGTATATCTCTCTGATGATAGCTCCAAATGATCTCATTCCACTTCGCCGTGATGCCAAACTCAATTATCTAGCCAACAAGATCAAGATTATAATTTTTGGACGTCAGGAAGACATTCATCTGCAGCCATACTTAGGTTTTGTCTGATCACGGAAATTGGACTCTTGGAGTTTTATTGATGCTTTTGACTTGGAGTCTTGGCTGGATCATGGTTTGAGGCTCTTTTGCTCATTTTTGTATCCTTTTTGATATTTGAATCTCTTATGACTCCAAAATCCATAAATACAAGAAAATTACCTCTAAAAGTATAAAATCTTTATGAAAATATTTTAAAACATATAAAAAGGAGAAAATGAAACGAAATAACTTTTTTTTTTGGTGAGTGAAACGAAATAACCTTGAAAAGTTATTTAATAACTACAATAACTCTTGATCTATCAAAGGGGTGAAAAGACATGTAAAATTTTGTAGAAACCAAAAATTAAACTAAACCAAAATTTAAACCAAAAAATATTTACTATTTATTTAAATATTATAAATCGAAAATTTAAAATTTAAATAAAATTTTAAAATAAAAATTAAAAACTAAAATTTAAAATTTAAAATTAAAAAATTTAAAATTAAAACTTAAAAGTTAAAAAAATTTTAAAACTAAAAACTAACAATTTTAAACTAAAACTTTAAAATTTAAAATTTAAAGTTAAAAATTAAAAAAAGATTGAAAATTGAAAATTGTGATTGTGATGGTTATGCCGACGGATCTCTTTTGTGTGTAACATTGTGACGGGTAACCTTCGGGGAAGGTTATCCCGCCAGATCTTGGTTGTGTAGGTGCATCCAGTGGCGGATCCAGAACATAATTTTATATGGGGCACAACATATATAACTACTAAATATAATTTATTTAGTCATTATATAAAATATAATATATGTAACTATAATTTTAAGTTATATTTTTTTTAAAAGATAATGTAAATTGAAGTGGGAAAAGGCAAAAAAAAAAAAGAAATGATGAGAAAAAACAAGGAAATGGTTTGAACTTAGGTGCTTAAGGAGCATAACTTAGCTATAATACCAGCTGAGCTAGAGAATTTGTAGCTGTTCTCTATACATATACAAGAGATTTATAAATTTAGCATGGGGCACTTGCTACACCTGCTTCCAACGTGGGTCCACCCCTGGGTGCATCTCTATGCATCGGTGGTTTGAGAACATGTGGTGAGTAATATCCACATGTTGTCAAGGGAGGTGTAGTCAAGTGCATTCTCGCACGTCATAGCCTAATTGGATTGGCAGCAAGGAGGCTCTGCATGAAGGGAGGATGACTCGGAGGATAACGTGGTCAGCTGCCTTGGCCGAGTATAGTATCATATGACGATATGGGATCCAACCAGACATTGGCATGGTGCGCCAGTAAGGCCAATAGACGGAAGGATGATCCGGGTACCGCGAAGGATTGTAGTATCCGGGTGAAGGCGTCTATCTAGTTTCTGTGTGATTCCGGATGGGTGTGAACCTTTACAGGCGTGGGCAGATAATGTAGCTAATGCACCTAGAGGCCTCACTGCATATAGCAAAAAAGTAATCCCTCCGTTTCAAATTAGTTGTCTTTAGAAAAATGTATCTGCAATGATTTGGATATATATGGATGTGCCTTGAGTTTAATACGTCCAAATAATTGAAGATAATTTTTACGACAACTAATTTGAAACGGAGGGAGTATTAGATACTTGTCTAGATTTGCATTGCATATAGATTGCATTTAGGTTGATTGTTTGATTGCATGATTGTTTGATTGCATGATTGATTGATTGCTTGTTTGTTTGTTGATATAGCCTTGGATTGATCGTACCTATTCTTATTTGATTGGGGTACGGTTAGGCTTAAGACTATATCATCAATATTGCATTATTGCTTTGTGTTTGCGGGTGGCGGATGAGATCCCGCCTCTTTCTTTTGGGGTTTGGGGAATAACAACCATTGTATAGAGGGTCCTGAACTCACTGAATAACATTAGGTTACTTATGATGATTATTTGTCTTACAATTAGCTCGGAGAAGAATCCCGTGGACGGGAGGCAGAACAGTCGAAGACCTGAGTAGTTTGGTTGGCTTTTGTAAAACTTGGTTTTCGGATAATGTATGTATAATTACTTTTGGCATTAGGCCACAGCTGCAAAATAAGTATAAATGGTTTGTAAGGATTTGTTTTACAAGTTTGTTATATGAAACTATGTTTTATTATAAATCCGGTTATTCGGAGGATAATAGGCTACTCCATGCCGACACAACTCAACACCACGGTACGGGTTGCAAAGCCTTACGCTATGATCGAGAGGGTCGGCTGATCTGGACTCTGATTTGTTCTTTGTTCTGGAACGGACTATTTGATGAATCTCAACAGTTGTGACATATGTGGTTTAGTCTATGTCTTTAGACCGAACCGGGGGTATTACAAGGAGAGACATCTAAACTTCCAGAAGATCCATCCAGCCGTCCAGGAAGTCTCACTATCATAATCCCATGCACCAGCACCCACAGAATCAGGCGGATTCTCATGTTTGTGAACTTTCCTTTTCCGGATGCATTCACACTTGGAGGAATAACTCTCCAACGGCTATATTGTCTAAGCTGCTGCTTTTGGAGACTTGTTCAATGCATCTAGACGTCTCAAGATATTACAGCTTCACGCCCAAGCTTTCAAGACTCAAACTTCACCACAAGTTTCCTTATTTGGCCGAGCAATCAAGTCTCCAACGGCTGGATTATCAAGACCACATCTCTTTGATTATTTCTTTACTTTATTTAATGTTTTAGAACGTTAGAATAGCCTTGTTACTGAGCCTATATAAGCTCATTTCGTTTCTCATTGTAATTCACCTTTCAACCAGCTAAGAAATATAAAAGTTTGTTCTTCTTTTTATTCAAAGAGTTTCTTTGTCTAGATTGTTTATCTTTAAGTTTCAGTTGAGAGATTCATTTGATACTTTGAGATTATAGGATTAGGATTGTTTGTGAGATTCAAACAAATCTAGTTCTCCAATGATTGAGAGAGTCCATCATCCCACCGATTGAGAGAGTCAATCAAGTGTTCTTATCACCATCATCTCTACCATCTTTCCACTTCCACAAGCCTTAAGCTTGGAATCTCTTGATCATCAAAAGATCTTAAGTTGGAGTGATTCCAATCTTACATGATTTTGGTATTAGAGCTAAAAGATCCTATCCCCAGGTTGTATTCATCCAACCTTTATCTATTTTTTTTTTGTTTTGTTCTTTATCTAGGTGGTAGGCCAGCGCCATGCGCGGGCAAGAGATGTTTAAGAACTCCAATCCTTTCAATTAATATTAGATTAACACATTTTCTTTTTAATATTTTTCATATTTTTGTAATATGTTTATTTTCCAAGGAAGTAATACCTTAAGATTTTGTTAACTTGTTATGAACTTATAAATTGTGAAAGCACAAAAAATTAGTTAGATTTTGTAATGGTTGTTTTCTTCTCCCTTTTATTGTTTTCCAGTGATCCCATCTTTTTCTTTTATTCCATTTTTTTATTCGCTGTCATCATCTTTTTTTTTTTCTGCTTCTTCCTTTTCCAATTTTTGTTTTTCAATCATTTCTTGTGTTTTCATATCCTCTAACTTACTATTAGTCTTTTTGTTTCCAATTTTCTTTACATTTCTTTTACGGTTTTTCTTCTTTCTCATCCTCTCTCTCTCTATCTTTATCATCTTTATCTTCTTTGATATCATCTTATTCTAGTTTTTATTTACCTCTTATTTGTTTTTTTTTCTCTTCACATTTCATTTTTTCTTCTTTGTTTTCTTTTTTCTCTTCGAGTTTTCTTCGATTTTTTTTCTTCTTCTCGATGTTTCTCATCTTATTTTCCACGGTCTTCTTTTTTTCTACTCGTATTTTTATTCCTTCTTGTCTACGTCTTATATTTCACTTATCAATTCATTCGATTGTTTAGATTTTCAAGGATTCGTTAAATAGTTTATTTTATATAGTCGAGATCTTTTAAAAATCTATTTAATTTGTGTTTTTATCTTTTGATTATGGATTTCCTTTACTTGTTTTAGTTTTTTCTATTTGTGAGTATATTTTAGAATGGTCGATATAAATTTATAATAAGTGATTTTTAATTTTGATATAGTTCTATAATAATTCAAGTTTTTTAAAATGCACCATCAATATAAACCCTAAACATAAACCCCACATTATAATACCCCCTGCCCCTAATTAAAGAACCTACACCCTTAAACCCAAATCCACATTATAACTTCCCCCTAAATTAAACCACACACTTGAACCTCACATTTTAAATTAGTTATGGATTTGCTTTTATTTTTATTATTATTATTATTATTTTTTTTGTAATGGTTGTTTTCTTCTCACTTTTTTCTTCTCTTCTCTAGTGATCCCTTTTATTGTTTTTGCTATTTTGTTCCTTCCAAAAGATACAACAATAAGATACACTAGTAGAGTACCCGCACGTTTGTTTGTGCGGTGTGACGTTGTTGTTTTGTGTAGAAAATTTAAACCCTAAATCCGAACCCGACAAAAAACCCTAATCAAAAAATTTAAAAACCCAAACTTTTTTAATAGGTCTAAACATGAAAATCCGAAATCAAAAAAATCCCGAAAACCCTGACTGAACAAAAAAAATCTGGAAACTTTTTCACCCGGAACCCGACCCCAATACCTAATCAAAATTTTAAAATACTCAATTTTTTTAATATATCTAAACCCGAAAACCAGAAATCTAAAAAATCCGGAAAACCCTAAACTGAAAAAAAAAATTGAACCTAACCCGAACAGAAATTTTCAAAGAAACCCGAACAATTTCTATATATCTCTATAAAATTATGTCTCAGATTTTCACCCAAACCCGAACTTGTCTATAAAAACCCGAAAATCCAAAAAGCATATTCTATTGATTTGGAATTATCGTTAGATTATGTTAAGTTTTTTTTTTGCAGATTTTTAAGAGATGGAAAACGGAAGTTTTCTAAACCATCGGTTTATTTTAAGTTATTATTCTTGTATCCAAACAATTTTTTCCATTTATTCTTCTATCCAAATAGATTTTTCTCTTATTCTTATATCCAAACAACTTTTGTTTCCATTTATTCTTCTATCCAAATAGATGTTTCTCTAATTCTTGTATCCAAACATTAGAATGTACTTCTCAATTAATAATATAAAGATACTTTCAGGTATCTGTTTTCGGGAGCTTTGCTGTGGACTCATGGCATTGATTGTGTTCTTCTGTTGCGAGCTACTTTACATCAGAAGCTCTTTTGTTTTCTTGTTCATATTTGGCTGCAGAATCTGCTGCTGAGGCCATCACCCGAGTTTTTTTCTTCTCTGACATTATTCGCAGGTAGTTGGCTTTGTCCTTCTATCTGCAGTTTGAGGTTTCTTTAAATCTGTAGGGATAGGAAAAGAACAATATTTTGATCCAAATTCATAATACGATTTAGAATCACTTTCATATTTTCCACTATATGCAGCTTCATAAATCCAAAAAGCTTAAACACAAACATAAAAACCAAAATTATAGGCAAAGGTATATACTCATATAGATAAGACAAACCTCGAGATGTGTGTCTGCTTGTAGAGATGTTTCTGTACTTCCATCCGAAGTCGCCGAGCCTCTCTATTCCCATGTGGAGGAAAAATATTATCTCACATTGCAGAGACGAAGAGACGACCTTACAGCTCCTCTTCCCGTGCGATTATGCCCAAGAGGTCTGGAAACTGATACCCTGCACCAAACTACTGAATTCTCAAACCATACAACAGACAAGGAAGGGAATGGAAGAATCAAAGAAACTAGTATGTTTACCTCCAACGGGAGTTGGATCCGGACCAATATCACCATGGGTGCTTTGGTCTCTCTGGAAAAGCCAGAATAGGAAAGCTTTCAATGGGACGGAATGACAATACACACCGGAGGAGACGATGACACAGGCAGTGGCTAGTGCACGAGAATGGCAAAAGGCACAATTGAATGAGAAAGCCAGCTGTGCCAGACCGCGATTGGTAACCAAACCCCCAATTCGACTACATGCAACACGCTGCAACTCGGATGCGGCATGGATGAAGGAGACAAAAATAGCCGGATTAGGATGGGTCTTCACCAACACAAGAGCAGATCAGCTCGGCCATGGATCTACATCTGAGAGCTCTGTTTGATCGGCCCTAATGGCGGAAGCACTGGCAATGCTCAGAACCCTCCAACAAGCCTGAGAAATTGAACACAACTACTTATCAGTCGCTTCAGATTCACATAAGTTAATCGAAGCAATCAACAGAGGAAATCCTTCAAAGGAAATCCATGGGATTCACCACGACATCCTAGAAATTGCCAGATTGTTTAGTTCAATCTCCTTTTACTTTGTTTCGAGAGATGAAAATGTGTTAGAGGATCGGATCGCAAAAAACGCTTTGATAACTCACGGTCAAAGACCGATTTAAGATTAATAAGAATTATTATTATGCACAAAAAAAAGGAAAAATATTATCAAAACCTACAGATCGTTTTTCATTTTATCACCATCTCTCGTAAGATGCTAAGAATCAGAGTCACAACTTATTCTCAGTTAATCAATTCAATGACCCACACTAAGCAAGGAACATGACTTATAAATAGATATCAAATCAAAAATAAATCTGCAAAACACACAAAATAAAGTAGTTCCATGATTCATTAATGTTTGCACCAAACGAAGGAAACATTAATGAATCATGGAACTACTTTATTTTGTTAATGAAGGAAACATTATTCTGTGGAAATAAAATATTACATTCCCATTTTTAACTAGTATAAAATAAAAAGAAGAAACTATGTTTCCCACACTGTTTTTTATCTATAACAGATTTACTGGCATTAACAACGTGATAAAGTAGTTCCATGATTCATTAATGATTTTGATATCACGTTGTTAATGCCAGTAAATCTGTTAAAGATAAAAAACAGTGTGGGAAACATAGTTTCTTCTTTTTATTTTATACTAGTTAAAATAGGAATGTAATATTTTATTTCCATATCTCCGCATTGATTCCAAGAGTCCATTCGCCAATAAACTATCCATGTTTTTTGCTGCTAGCTCCAGAAAAAGAAGATATTTATATCTACATGATATTACTTCGTAAAGGGGAACATGTATAGCGAAACATACATATGTAGAAAATAGATTCTCTACAATAAAACTAAATTACTAAATTATTTGTAAGAGATGTTGAACCTCAAACAGAGCAGAATCCACAACTAAAACAAACTTAGTTATATAGAAGTCATTTTGCAAATATTAAAATATTATAAATGTCATGACGATTTGAGTCAACGTTTGTAGTTATGGACAAATACATATAAGTTCATTTTAGCAGTGACTTTCGACTTTGCAGGTTTGACTTACATATTTTTTAAGTTTAAGGTTAGATTTGCACACAAAAAATAGTTTGCGAGTTATTTTGCATAAAATCATTTTAAATTTTGTCACAAATATAGAGATGTCTTATATTGCGGGGTTATTTTGACTTCACAGGTTTGATTTGCACAACTTTAAATTGAGGGTTTGATTTGCAAAATGAATTTAGTTTGAGGGTTGTTTTACACAAAACCCTAGAAGTATCTATAATGCACGAAGCAGCTAAACCAATTTAAGAGCTTGAATATCATTGATTAATCATGATTATCATACACATATTTATTTGGAACAACTTTTTCTTAACTTTGCAATCGTCTGCGACATCTAACTCGATGGTAGCAATTTTTTTTTTTTTTTTTTGAAGTATTGTATTAAATTAAACTCAAATAGGAATGCCAAACCAGAAATATCAAAGCTATTTATAATCACCTTTTGAAAGTTTGTGCTTTCCATCTGTTATCTCTTTCTGATCTTTTTGTAACCTTCAATTCCTCTTCATAACCTAAAAGGTGATGCAGTTACAAAAAATAGATCTAAAATTGCAACAGTTAAACAATTATATACATAAAACATGCTTGCAAAAATAAATAACTTACCTGCTACATCTAAAAAGGATCGTGAGACCATCTCCAAGCTGTAAGAACTCAAAAATTAGTTCACGATCAATTGTGGCATAAGAAGAAGTAAGAACTCAAAGAATTAAAAATCAGGTCTAAAAAAGAAGAAAGCCGGTCAAGAAACCTAGGGCTTGTTCCCCTTTTTCTTTTTCCAATATTTTGGCACGATAATATGGTAGTTAAGGTGTTTATCTTCATTTTTTTTGATAAACAATCAAATTTGTGAATAATAACAAAAAGGAAATTATGAAGATTTAATCTAGATTTTCATTAAGGGTATCTGGGTAATCAACCAGCTGAGAGCGAACATGGTGCCTCGAAACGAAATTCTAACTTCGCAAATAATGATATGATTTTCTTATAAATCTAAAACTAAAACAAAAATTGTTTCTTTCATTTTATTTCAATTTGTTTTCATTTTTTTTCTTGGTTTTGCATTATTAAACCATAAAAAAACAAAAACAAAAATTCTTCAGTTTGATATTTATTTCTAATTTTCATAAAGAAAACCCCATAAATTTTTTTTTTCGGATTTATTTTAATTGTTTGTTAATTTTATAATTCTGTTAAATCCTAAAAAAAAGAAAAATTGTCATTTCTTTTGTTAATTTCGAAATCTTAATAAATAAAAAAGTTTGGTTTTTCCATTTATTATCTAATCATATATATGAATTTATGCCAACTCTCTCCATATGATTGACACTTGGACATTCAGTGGGCTGACACTTGGCAAAACTTTCAAAGAGAGAAGTCTCTTCGCATTTTAGCATTACATATAGGTTTCAAAATAGTCGGTTGCTTCACCTTCCATGTTGCATCAACTCTCCATTAATTGACATGTAGCATGACTTTTTCTCTTCTTTCCAACTAATAACTCTAAATCTTATTTATATGTTAAACATTTCAACTTATGATAATAAAACCACTATATTAATCCAAAGCTATTACATTTCGGCTTCCATCTTAAGTTATTACTCCCAGGTCCGGGCCTAAGCCCTTTCCAACAATTCTTGGGAATGGGGCCTCAGCTTTTCCTCAATATTCTAGCCCATAAATATTGTTTAGATTTTCTTCTAAAAAAATAATTAAAAACAAAACAAAAAACTGAAAATACGAACTATATCGTCGCCAAACGCAAACTCACAAGGGATTGAATCATGGAGAAGAAATAGAAACTGGATTTTGGAAAGCTTAGAGATTCTTTTTTGGTTTTCATATTCGTTTAATTGTTGATTCATATAGGTATGTGATTATTATATTTCAATTTCAATTTTTTTCTACAAACATCCTTTTCAATCTTTGTTTGAAACTGGAGTTTTCAATCAATCTATGTCTATGCTCATAGCCTCATATATATTACTAATATTGTTGTTTTTAATTTCAGAATAATGAAGTCTGAGTCTCGAGCTCAGAAACGAAACAAGAAGAAGAGACTAAATCTCGATCTGGTTATATGCTCAAGTTTGTCAGAAAAGCAAAATCTCCTAGAATTGATCAAGATAGCAAAAGAGTCAAGGCTGTTGAGATTGATAATAGACACAGGACACCGTAAGACTTTTAAGAAAGAAGAAAAAGATGAAATCAAAATGGAAGATAATTTTCTTTTATGCAAACTTAGATTTTTTTTTTCTTATTTAGGGCCCATAATTTTATTTGGAATGGTACCACGAATATCTCAGGCCAGCACTGATTACTCCCTCTGTTCCATATTATAAACAGTTTAGGAAAATGTATCTGCAATTATCTGGATGTATCTGGATGTGTTTTGAGTCCAGATACATCCAGAAAATTGCAGATACATTTTCCTAAACTGCTTATAATATGGGACAGAGGGAGTATTAAACATCTAAATTCTCATAATATAGGAGAAATGGATCTACCAAAAAGCGATGGCGGAAATCAGAGTACGTTCTATGTGGTGGTGAAAAAACAAAGAGAGTTAAGGGTACATAGACATGTAATATGATGCAAAAATATATGTTTGAAAATCAGTGGTTAACAAAATAAATTGGAATTAAAATGAAGGTGTTATTTGAATTATACTTTATAATATTAATCGCAAATCCAAAATTATTTTCAAGCATTTTTTAAAACTATATCAACAATAAAACCCGCGCATATGCACAAGCAGTCTAGTTTCTTTGAAATTTCTACACACAAGAAAAAAAAATAGCAAGACAAAATTTGCTTTCCTTTATTTGCTATCTCCCACGATCTTTGCTTTAGATTCTGATCTTAGTATTTCTCTTTTGCAAGGTATATCAGGGCTACAGCTATGGAGTATGAAGAAGCTGAAGGGAATGAATTCTGTAAAAACGCAATTTCTACAATGGACGACTGATAATTGTAAAGTATAAATAAAAACAAATTAATACTCCCTCTGTTTCACAATATAAGGGGTTTTGGAGTTTTTATTTTGTTTCACATTTTAAGGGGTTTTAGATTTTCTAGACAAAATTTAATTTGTTTTTGTTACTTTTGATTATTTATATTCTTCAGATTATCTTGTCATTGGTTGAAATGTTTTGGAATTGATAAAAGTACAAAAACTAAATTGCTTCTTAATCTATGTGCTAAAACCTTAAACCCTTATATAATGAAACAGAGGGAGTATAACACAATACTAGAATGATACAAATAAACAAGAATTGAGGAAAAATAAAACCGGATTTGCAGAGTCGAGATATTATCTCTTTCCTTAATTCTGTAGTGTGACGGTTGCATGGTGTTCCGAATCCCAAGATAAAACTGCATATTTTTTATGATTGCATCACTCAATTCATAAGTTTGCGAATCATGTTTTCTGTGATATAGGGCCTGATTGGTAAGTGCTCTGAGTGCTCTGAGGAGCAATAATTTTTTCTAGAGCACTAGTGTTAAACCAATCAAGCTTTGATTTCATTTTTTAAGTTCAGAGCCATTATTCTAAATATGGAAATATTTTGGCTCTGCAGAGCACATTTTTCAGAGCACAAATTTAAGGACTTTAAGAATTCTCTCTCTTCTCATTCCTTAATCTCATTTTCTATATTCCTTTTCTTAATGTTTATTTCATATATCTCTTTTATTTATTTTTAATGCTACATTTATGATTTTTTATAATAATAGAATAAAAATTCTACAACATTAAAATTTACAACCACAACAAAAAAATCCACAGCTTAAATTCTACAGCAAAAAATTTAAAGCTACAGACACAACCAATCACGCCCATACTCTCATAAGAAAAACAAAACAAAAAGAAGAGAAGTGAGGGAGACACAACCAATCACGCCCATACTCTCATAAGAAAAACAAAACAAAAAGAAGAGAAGTGAGGGATTTATTTTTCTTGTTTGATTATGTGTTAATCTATATGTTAACAAGTGGAGGAGACAAATGCTTTATATAGCCTAAAGCTTTTAACCAATGTATATGGCATTAGTGGAGTGGAGATTTATTCTTTCAACATGACATTTTTGATGTTACAAAATCAAATAACTTAATTGTCATTTGACACAATTTAATTGGAGAAGATATTAGTTGTCATTTGTCATTGAGTTTAACACAATTCAAAAAGGATCTTGACCAAAATGATTAAATAATCATATGGACCATTCCCAAGGCCCGAAACATAACTTCAGCCGGATATCTCTTTTCTCCAATACACCAAAGTATACACAAGTTTTTAAACTTTACTTTAAATTCTCCACTTTATATACAAGAGGATTTCTTCTCAAACTTCTAATGTGGGACATTTCACAAATGTTACATTTTATGCCATACAAACAACCCACTTGAACCTCCATTTCTCATTCAAACAAACTTCATTTTGACATATCAAAATTGAGTTCCAACAAATTCAACACCTCAGAAGTTGATTGGGGAGAGAAATCAAACCACTCATGGGGAGGAGAAGAAGGCCACAACCTGACTCTGAAATCAGTTTTGGAGATGAAGTAGATGGTGATGATTTCGAACCTGAGCCACCAGACTATGGCCAAGGCAGCACGAGCCATGAGAGTTGGTCCAGCAAAGAAGATTACATAGAAGGCTATAAGGAAGAAAATCATGAGAGCAAATCTCAATTCAGTCCAGAGGAAGGAGATCACGAAATTGAAGCAGAACTTGAACAACTCAATCATGAAGACCAGTTCATTGAGCTTTACCATGAAGAAAAGCCACGGTGTGAAGAAACTGATTCTCAAATCAGTTTAGAAGAGACTGAGCCGAATAATGAAGAATCTGGATACCAAGATGACTATGCCCATGAGAGTGAGGATAACAATGAGGCTGAGAGATGGGTAGAAGAGAATCTACGGCGTGGTGACAAGGAGCCAGCCCCACTGGACCAAACTTCACATTACTACACCCCTAAATCCAAGAGCAATCAAGGTAATGGTTGTGAAATTTTGATTTCCAATTCATAACCTTTTCAGGTCACAAGGAAGGACCAGAAGCTTACCTACATTGGGAGAAGGAATTGGAGTATTGGTTTCGATTTTACCACATCCCAAAGGAGGAGAGACTGACCCATGCTGTTAACTCACTTGTTGGAGAGGCTTCTACATGGTGGTTAAATGAAGAAGCTATGTCTTGCTACTATAATCCAGTCACTACTTGGGGTAATCTTAATCAGCGCATGCACAAGGAGTTTGTACTGAAGTTCCATAACCTAAGCTACACTCCCAAGAGGCTTTTGTTCCAAAAAACTACAAAATAAGCTAAGCAATCAGTGCAAGCAAAAGGGGTTCAACAAAAGATGATCTACACATCCCCACTTGAGCCTAAAGACAAATCACTTCTAAGTAAGTCCTCACTCTAACTCTGTGAAAATAAAGGAACCTACATGTTATAGATGTCATAAGAGAGGACACTTTGCTGTAAATTGTCCCTCAAAGAAATTGTTATCAGTAGCATCACTTAAAACAAGTGATAGTTTTGCTCAATCTGATTTGCCATCTCCCAATTCTAGAATCATGTGCTTGTCTTTGTCAAAAGGATTTGAATCAGGACTAGGAAAGGAGGACAAAGGATTGAGACTACAGACCACGACATCAACCTCTAAACTCACTGATCTCAAGTCAGAGATAATACTGAATCCCTCGCTTGATAGCTTAGTAAGTAACAACTATGTTCTCATACAATATTGGAATAACATTCAAGTTAGACATAGTTTTACATACTCTGTTTTCAATGATCCCACTTCTAGTATAAAGCACTTGATCTTTTTCTTAAGTGTCAATAAGGAAACAGGTGTTAGAGGAGTATGCAGTGGATGGAGAGCTCATGATGATCAACAAGTAGTCATCGCCAGCAATGTGTTACCCCAAGAAGAGGTCAATGGCGGCAACAAGTGTGAAAAAGGAGTTTTCACCAAGACAACAACCTTACTACTCAAAGAATTCAGAAAAAAAACTTGGAGAGGAGTAATTGCTAGTTCACTGATCAAAGAGGAACCACCAGACACTCATTCCTCTTCCCACATATACAGCCAAAAGTATTTTGGCCAAGGTAAGTTTCTCTGCTCACATTTTTCCAAAGATATGATATGACCCAAAGCCTTAGCCCTAGATCTTGTAGTTGCTCCTTGATAAGCTATGATGAATAAGAGAGATAAAAAGAGATATCAAAGAGATTAGCTAAGCTTCCTCTTAACCACAAACTCTCTTGGGAACTTTAAGGTTAATTCTTGGAAGTTGATTCTTATTGATGATTTGAGGATCCTTTTATAGATCCTTATACAACCGACTAAACCACACTGAATAAGTAAACGTAGCAAAACTTAAGCCTAATGTTAAAAGGAAAACTAACAAAACCACTAAGAACTCATAAATATTAGTGTCGTATCATTACTCTCCTCCTCGCCTAGGAGCTTATCCCCAAGCTCCAACTCTAGGAATGCTTCTAGCAGCCTTATTCATCCTTCCAGTTTTCTTCGTCATATGGCTCATCGTCTTGATTATCTCCATCCCTAACTGGCATTATATGAAAAAGCATTGGACTACAAACGTGATCTCGTTTGAAGAAATCATCACAATTGAAGCAAAGTCCCTTTGCTTTTCGCTCTGTGATGTACTTGCATTTTACATAGTTTTAGTACATCTTTTATGCATCTTTTGCATAGTTTTAGCATCCATTAGCATCATATCTTGTTCCTTTTCTCTTCTTATGCATTCATAGTAGTTTTAGGTTGCATTTGCATACATATGCATGTTTGGTCCTTTGAAATAGGTCTTTTGGAGCATTCTGGAGCATATGGGACGTAGGAGCATGGAGGGACTTGGCACATGGACGCAGCTCAACTGGATACGCAAAGGAAGAAGGGAGAAGCCATCTTGAAGACCAGCTCGACCGTCTACTCGACCAACCGGTCGAGTTCCTCAACTCGACCGGCCAAGCTTCAACTCGATCGAGCTGAGAAGTCAACAGTCAAACCCGAAAAATGTTGCTTCCCCCTTGACTTTCCTTTGACCCTAAACCTAATCCTCTTGTATTTAAAGGCTAAGCCACGAAAAAACCACCAAGCTTTAGATTACTTTTTGTTTTAGTTTCTTTTAATTTATTGTCTTTTACTTTTTAGAGCTCTAATCCCATCTTTGTGTTCTTGAAGCTCTTGCTTCTTGAATCCTAGATCCTGGATAATCTCTTTGTATTTGCACTTGCTTATTTCAATAAAAGTTGTTTAATTTCATCTCCTCTTTCTTATGATGTCTCTTTTATTGCATTTGCTTGTGTTTACATTCATGTGTAGTGAGTAGTTACCCATTAGGGTTTGAGATGGGATAGATTAGAGGTTTCATATGCTTAATCCTTCTTGCTTATGGTCTTAATCTAGATTCTCTCTCTTTTGGATAGATCTTAAGGCTACATGACCACTACCCCTGGCTTGTAAGTCCTTAGGCGATTCTCCACATGGAAGTGATGGCAAATCGCTGGAAAAGATCCACTAAGAGCTCCAATATCTCTTGCTCTAGAAATAGAGGTCTAAGGGGTTGGATGGATTAGTTTGGGCAATGATCCTATGGCCTCCAAGGTTTGATTCTCACTGGCTAACCCCCTGTTTCTGAGATCATTCCTTGGTTGATAGCTTTCACCTTGGGAAAGGGTTGCTAGGCATTGAGAAGCCCAATATCAAGAGAAGCCTTGATACAAGGAGTTTTAAGAGCAGATTGATTAAGTGTAGATTCCTCTGATTGCAAAACCCTGTCTTGAACCCTAATTCTCGCATTAGCTTGTTAAAGTCGTGCCTTTAGCTTTTTACTTCAACTCGACCCTAAACTCGATCGAGCTACTCTGTTCCACTCGACTCGAGTCCTTGGTCGAGCTGTTGCTCTACTGCTTTATTTACTTTTATTGCATTTCATTTCTTTTATTTAGGTTGTTAGTGTTACCAAATCTTTACTGCTTGCTTGACTTCTTGTTGTTTCATATTCTCATAGAGTGACAAGTTTCCCATTTTGGATTGATAACCTTTATACTACATGACTATGATGGTTAAGAGGAATTGATTGATTGTGATTGCACCATACCATCATCTTTATTACCACTGTTTGCATTCCACCTCATATCATATCACATCCACACAAAATCCTATCATCAATTTGGCGCCGTTGCCGATTTGGGAATATTTTTGTTGCATTTGAGTTTCAAACACACTTGGACGATCAAGCTATACCACCCCTGTTCTATTGTACTGCTGGGTTTTTGTCTCTTTTTGCAGGTGTATGCGAACTCGATCGAGTCGGTCTACAGAGGACTTGGTCGAGCTAGACTTTACAACGGGTAGAAAGAGGGTTCAGAGGTCACAGAGGGTACAAGAGGAACCTGAGGTGCTTGTTGCTGATACAATGGATGTACCAGAGGGGAATGGAAACCCTTTGGGCAATGGACTCGGTCGAGCTAGGCAAACTCGACCGATTGGTCAAGGAGATGCTCCAAACCGCCACCAACAGAGACAAGGGATTGTTCCACCACCAGTGCAGAACCACAACTTTGAGATCAAGCTGGGAATGATCAACCTTGTCCAGAACAAGATGTTCCATGGATTGCCAAGTGAAGACCCCATTGACCACCTTGATGAGTTTGATAGGCTTTGTGATTTGACAAAGATCAATGGTGTCTCTGAAGATGCCATCAAGCTGAGACTCTTTCCTATGTCTCTAGCTGACAAAGCTCACCAATGGGAGAAGAGCTTGCCCCATGGCACAATCACCACTTGGGATGAATGCAAGAAGGCCTTTCTTGCTAAGTTTTTCTCCACCGGTCGCACAGCCAAGCTTAGAGGAGAGATATCCAGCTTCATCCAGCGAAACAATGAGACATTCGCAGAGGCTTGGGAGAGGTTCAAAGGCTACACAAGTCAGTGCCCACACCATGGATTCAACAATGAATCACTACTCTCCACTCTTTATAGAGGATGCTTGCCTAGGTATAGGGAGATGCTAGACACAGCTAGCAATGGGAACTTCCTCAACCAGGATGTAGATGATGGCTGGCAACTTGTGGAGAACATAGCTAACTCAAATGGAAGCTATGGAGAAGAGTATGATCGCACCAACCGGAGCTCGACCCACCACTCGATCGAGTCAGACGAAAAGTTGAGAAAAGATGTTAAGGCATTGAATGAGAAGTTGGATAAGCTGATCCTAGCTCAGTCCACAATGAAGAAAGTCAACTTTGTGTCTGCTGAGGAGATGGAACCAGTCCAAGAAGGGGAGGATACACAATTTGCTGAGGTGTGCTACATGAGCAATGGGCAAGGAGGTTACAACAAAGGATACTATAATTACAAGTCCAACCCTGCCATGTCATACCGCAACACTGATGTTGCTAACCCTCAGGACCAAGTATATCCTCAACAACAAGCAGCTCGATCGAGTCAGGTGCCACAACATGGGTATGGTCAAAAGAACAATTACCAAGGACCACAAGGCACTTTCCCTGGACAACAAATGAATATCCCACCAGGCTTTCCCCACCAACCACCCCAGCCTGCACCTTCACAAGAGAATGAGCTCAAGGCAATGCTAAAGCAACTACTTCAAGGGCAAGCTGATGGGGTAGTGGACACAAGCAAGAAGCTAGCTGAAATAAACTCCAAGATCGAGAACTCAACACAAGGGTTTACTCTCTGGAGAATCATGCTTCTTCTGTTGCTGCTGCTACAAAGCAAGGACAACTACCTGGTAAAGCTATTCAGAACCCCAAGGAACAGTGCAAGGTCATCTTCACTCAAGAAGGACTTGTTGAAGAAGAGGATCAAGAAAGGGTCATTGAAGATTTTTGTTTACTGCTGAATGATGAAGAGATTGTTGCTGCTGAGGCTCCTGGAGTCCAGATTGATCAACCAGAAGTGCAGGCACCTACTGTGGCCATTCACACTTCACCAGTTGAGCTCGCACAACAAGCTCGATCGGCAGCTCGATCGAGTCCAACTCTAGCTCGATCGAGTCCGACCTCTTCTGTCCCAAACCTTTTGCTTGATCCTTACCAACCGGTTGCCGCTTCCTCGTCTCGCCTACTTAGTCAAGGTCACAAGGAAGTGATTCACAAGTTCAGAAGAGATCTCAGTGGGATTGGAATTGAGTTGCCTCCTATGGATAGCATGAGTGAGGCATTTGATCAAATGCAAATGGTCAAGGATGTTCTAGCCAACAGTGATAAAGTTTCAGAGGTCCTAAAGAGTCTACTCATCAGTTCAACCTGCTTACTTCACCCACCTTCCTACCAAAGGTCAAGGATCAAGGGAAATTCACTCTCCCTTGCACACTTGGGCATCTTGAGCTTGACAATGCCTTAGTGGATTCTGGAGCAAGCATCAATCTGATCTCTCTCTCCATGGCAGAGAAGCTAGGCATTGCTGGAGCCTTGCAGCGCCCTACTACTTCAATCATGTTTGGAGATGCAACTTCTAAGTCTCCTCTTGGAGTGTTCAAGAACTATCACTTGAAAATTGGAGAATGCATCATCCAAACTGATCTCACTGTGATGGAAATGGAAGAAGAGAAGGATTACCTCTGTTATTGGGAACCCCTTTCCTTAGTACAGTTGGCGCTTCAATAGACTTTCACAAGCAAGAAGTGATCCTTCACAAGGTGAATAGTTTGGTGTCATATCGCTTGCAGCCTAGAGGTTCAGACTTTTGTGCCACAATTGACAGTACCACTCTCAGTTCTAAGAGTCATGGAGCTACAAAGGTTGTGAAGGAAAGGGTTGACAAAGAACCAAGAGTTGGGAAGGATAAGGTTGAGAGAGGACCAAGGATTGAGAAGCCACGTCTTGAGAGGGCTAGAGTTGAGAAACCACGTTCTGATAGACCACGAGCTGATCGACTTGTTCAAGCCCCTTGTGTGCTTGATGAAGAGAGCCTTCAAGCTTTGTTTGATGAGCCACTAGGAAGGGCTCTAAAAGAAGGGGAGGATGTAGCCTCTAAGGCAAGACCAGGGATAAAAGAAAGGATCCACCAGCTCAGGCCCCTTCATCAAGCCATCTCAGCTCACAATGACTTTGTTCCCCACCAAGTTTGAAAATGGGAAGATTGAGTACAAGATAAGGTACAAGGGGAGATCAAGGCCATTCTCTAGAGCCAAAGCCTTGGTGACTTCAGAACAGTCCAGGGACCCAACCAAGCTAAAGGAGCTTCTGTCTCAAGTCCTCACTATCACCCTTGATGGTGGGACTAGCTCAACCAATGCCTAAGAAGGTAAAGGTCAAGCTATGGGACCTTAAACAAGCTCACTTGGGAGGAAGTCCCATGTTTATCCTTGTACATATTCTATTTATGCAATTTCTATCTATTTTGTGTTTTAACCTTTCAATAAGTTAAGTTTAGGTGACAAAGGAGCCAGCTCGACCGACAGCTCGATCGAGCTAGAAACCAGGGCAACTCGATCGAGTTCCACAACTCGACCGAGGTAAGTTTTTGAATTTCAAATTCATAACCGTTTTCTTGGTCAAGGGAGTGGGTCCCACAAGCTGATTTTGGTCCCCCACTACCCTAATTGATCAGAAAAATCCCTAGCTTTTGTCCCCTCTTTATTTCATCTTTTAATCTCAACCACACATCTCAAACACTCCCTCTTCCCCATAACTCGATCGAACCCACTTCTCCACTCTCCCACACCTAAAATTTCTGAAACCATCTCTCTCTCTCTTCACCACAAGAAAATTTCGAATTTCAATCTTTCTCTCTTAAGTTTTTGCGATTTCCTCTTGTTCTTCATTGCTTTGTTTTGGGTTTTAGTTTACTGCTCTTCAATTCATCATTCAACAAGGTATGAACCCTAAAACCCTTGATTCCTCCATCTCGATTTCCATTATTGCTTGTTTCCTCTTTGATTTTTGATTGCATGTGCCCCTTGTGGATTGTTCTTGAGTAATTGCTTTCATATTTCTCCTGCTCATAGTTTTTGAATTTGCCTCACCTCACCTCTGTTTTGCCATTAGAACTTGTTGCATGTGCTTAAAAATTGAATTTGAGTTTGGTATTGGTTAAGATGCTTAGTGCTTCACTAGAATTGCTCATTGTTCCATTTACTAGTTGTTCTTGGTTCAATTTGATTGATTAGCATCCTTTCCAGCTCTTAATACTTGAATTAGGTTCGGTTATACTCTGTTTTCACCTAGCTCGATCGAGTTTGTCACTCGAGTTTTTTGACTCGATCGAGCTGAGTGTCGAGTTGACCAAACCGATCATTACAACTCTAATTCTTTGTAATCTTTGATGCATTTCAGGTACTTTAGTGAAGAAACAGTGTAACAGAGATGACAAACAGTGAGGGAAGTCGTGCTTCACAAAGGAGAATGGTTGAGGGTGAATCAAGCAATGCAAGGGAAAGAAGGCTTAAGATGCAAGCCGATTTGGAGAGGATGATCAAAGGATGGAAGAGTCTGATGCAGAGGGTATGTGTACTCTGAGGAAGAATCTGAGAGTGAGAGATTGAGGGAGGAGAGGAGGACCAAGAAGAGGAATGACCCCATTAGTAGTGAGAGTGAGCAAGGGGAGTTTGAGATTGGAGTGAACCTTGTTCAAGAGGAGGGAAATGGCTCTCCAAGTGAAGAAGGAAGTGATGAGACTGAGAGTGAAGAGGAAGGAGAAGAGGTGAATCAGTTGGTTGAGAGAGTGAGCAAGAGAGTAACCAAGATGAACCTATGGAGGAGGTTGAGCCACAAGAGAGCCACAAGAGGAGGAGAAGAACTCCCTATGTACCAAGAGCACTACAATGCTCTCTTCTCCATGGACTTCATGGATACCAAGTACCCACATGTTGACACAATGAAGGCCCTTGGAATCTTTGAAGATGTGGAGCTAGGTTCTCAAGAACATGCACTTGGCCAAGCTCTTCTCTTATCACATGGAATCCTACAAGGAGCTCACTTGCGAGTTCTTAGCTTCAATGAGGTACCACATGTATGAGAGGAAGATAGAGCTGATTTGGACCAAGGATTGGGATGGATCACGTTCTTGGCTAAGGGAGAGAAGAGAATGGTGACCTTTAGGCAGTTGGAATCTTGTTTGGGTTCAACTATGGAGAAGGTACCAAGTGGAACTTCAAGGAAAAGGAACTCCAAAGGGTTTGGGCTACAATCGCTGATGGAGTGTACTCTTCCTCAAGGTCCAAGGCAGCTCAGATCAGGAGCCCAGTGTTGAGGTATGTGCACAAGGCACTTGCCAACACCTTCTTTGCAAGGAAGGCGACCGGGACCATCAACGAGGGGGAACTCAAGTTTCTTGACATGGGAATCAAGCCCATTCTCTCACGCACAAGCGATGGCAAGAGGATAAGGGGAGATAGATCTGACACAGGAAACTTGATGCCTTTCCTTGACCATCTCCTCACCTACAAGATCACAGCCTACAACACTAGACATCAACGAGGGAGGCGCCTAAGTGTTGGAGGGCTCATCACTCCTATCTTGTGTGCTGCTGGAGTGAACCCAACTGATAGGAAGCCACTGAACCAGGTTGGATGGACATCAAGTTTTGCAAGACCAACCTTCTCATTGAGCACAAGGAGTTGGATGGGAGGTTCCAATTCAAGTTCACACATCCATTGGTTGGACCCTCCAAGTTTCTCCTGCCCAACCCAGAGCTCACCACAGTAGTAAGGGGTGAGAACATTGACTTCAGACCCCCTGTGTACACATTAGTTGGGCATGAGGATGATTTGCGAGAAGAGGAGCCTGAGCTCGATCGAGCTGAGGATCGAGCTGAGGATCAGGTCCAGGAAGTGCGGATTTGGGTGAGCCTGAGTGCTATTACTTTGAGGAGTATGAGGCTCCAAGGATGAACCCCTCTGTTGTGGCTGCCCACAAGAGGATTGGACTTCTCCAAAAGTTCAACAAATGGCAAGGGAAAGCCATTGAAAGATGCAAAAGTCCATGGACAAGATGGTGAGCAAGATCACTAATCCCATCTTTGTGTTCTTGAAGCTCTTGCTTCTTGAATCCTAGATCCTGGATAATCTCTTTTGTATTTGCACTTGCTTATTTCAATAAAAGTTGTTTAATTTCATCTCCTCTTTCTTATGATGTCTCTTTTATTGCATTTGCTTGTGTTTACATTCATGTGTAGTGAGTAGTTTCCCTTAGGGTCAAAGATGGGATAGATTAGAGGATTTTTATGCTTAATCCTTCTTGCTTATGTTCTTAATCTAGAAATCTCTCTCTTTTGGACAAACCTTAAGGCTACATGACCACTATCCCTGGCTTGTATGTCCATAGACGATTCTCCACATGGAAGTGATGGAAATCGTTGGAAAGGTCCACTAAGAGCTCCAATATCTCTTGCTCTAGAAAATAGAGGTCTAAGGGGTTGGATGGATTAGTTTGAGCAATGATCCTATGGCCTCCAAGGCTTGATTCTCACTGGCTAACCCCCTGTTTCTGAGATCAAGTCTTGGTTGATAGCTTTCACCTTGGGAAAGGGTTAGCTAGGCATTGAGAAGCTCAATATCAAGAGATACCTTGATACAAGTCGTTGAGAGCAAGATCGATTAAGTATAGCCTTCCTCTGATTGTTAAACCCTGTCTTAGACCCTATTGTTCGCATTAGCTTGTTAAAGTCGCTGCCTTTATTGCTTTTTACTTCAACTCGACCCTAAACTCGATCGAGCTCACTCTGTTCCACTCGACTCGAGTCCTTGGTCGAGCTGTTGCTCTACTGCTTTATTTACTTATTGCATTTCATTTCTGTTTCATTTAGGTTGTTAGTGTTACCCCAAATCTTTACTGCTTGCTTGACTTTCTTGTAGTTTCATATTCTCATAGAGTGACAAGTTTCCCATTTTGGATTGATAACCTCTTGTACTACATTGACTATGATGGTTAAGAGGAATTGATTGATTGTGATTGCACCATACCATTTCATCTTTATTCACCCCTGTTTGCATTCCACCTCATATCATATCACATCCACGTAAAATCCTATCATCACTCTCCCATTTCTTCCACAGTTAACTTCTTCAAATATAATATTTCTCGGTGGTGCCTTTTTGCTTCTTGGTGAGGCATCAGAGTTTCTATGTCATTCCCGTTGTTCATGGCCATCCTTGATCTAGTTGTTGGAGCTAGATGTCCTCCAAACGTCCGTGTTCTTCTGTCGTTATCAATCTTATACTCATTGTCCCGTGCATACTCCATTGCTTTAAAGATCGTTTCAGGTCTGAGGTACTCGACTTCCTTTCTTAAACTGTCAGTCAAACCAGCACAAAATTGCCACAATTGTTGTTCTCCCGTGAGCTGTGTCTGCCTTCCTACACATTCTTCAAACTAGTTACAATACTCGTCGACAGTTCCAGTGTGTCGAAGATTAAACAAATTCCCCCACCGGATTGACGGAATCCGCTTTTCCAAAGTGGCTTTTGCAAATCCTTTTGAACTCTGTCCAACTCAGGTTGCGGTTAGCTAATCGTCGAAGGTTGTTGTTCCAGTGATAAGCCTGTCCTGTTAGTACAAAAGTTGCTTGGCGAATTTTTTGCTTCATCACTAAAGATCCTTTGATCTGTAAAATAATCATCACACTTGTGCTACCACTCCATAGCGTTTGTTGTACCATCATAAGGTGGGAACTCCATCTTTGCAGCCATCAGAACACGTTTCTCTGGACTGAGGCTCCGTTCATCATTAGTATCATAACCACCTTTTTTAGTTCCTGTTTCTGTGATCTGAAAATCACCATGAGAAGAACCTTTTTGCTGATCATGAATTTTTTCCCCAATTGGGCTCAGCCTCCACCACCACCGTTTGAGTAACAAAGATTGGTGACGAGGAGGGGAGTAATGATACGACACTAATATTTATGATACTACGTTGACGAGGAGGAGAGTAATGATACGCCACTAATATTTATGAGTTCCAAGATACAACACTAATATTTGGTATCACAGACTCTCCATCCTATGACGGACAACGCGTCTCTCGCATGTCTCCATCGAGGAGGGGAGTAATGATACGACACTAATATTTATAAATATCAAGATACTAACTTGTTCTATCCTGGTGCAGGAGAAATAGTTTCGAGGTCAAAACCTTTTCAAGAGCGGGAGTATGGTGAGGACATCAAGTCATCATCAACCAAGGAGCACGGAACCAAAAGCCATGAAGAGGAGAGAATGAAGCTGAGGAGAGCTAAGGAGACAAGTGAGCTGAGTTCAGTTCAAATGGAGGCCGTGATCAAACATCCAAGCTCAAGAAACACTTGGAGATCATACTCAACTCATCCAGAGTTAGCCACGAAGAATAATCAGCCAAAAAGGAGTTCATACGAAGCAGATATTGAAGATACATTCTGGCAGATCTTCAATGGACTCGATGGAGACACGCGATGTAGTAACCCTGGTGTGAGATGGGGAGATTTGACTAATGGACTTCATGGAGAGGAGCTAGAAGTCAAATAAAAATTTCGATCGAAGAAAATTGGGAAACGAACGAGAAGAAATCAAGATAGACAAAGTTGAGCGCATACGGACGAACGCGGAGTATCGAGGCGGACAAGTCCGGAACACGAAAAATGGAAAGTGTGGCATTGAGATAGAAAATTCAGGACAACAAAAGGAAGACAAAAAAAGATGTTCGGTCGAGACAGAAGTTGATTTGACCGAGTAGATCTCGAGATATAAAGCTGGCCGCTTGATGGCTATGCCGAAGGGCGGCAAAGCTTATATCGGCGAAGCGGGACGTGATTTAGACCAAGGAGGATGTTGGCGTGGACTTAGGGAAGACTAAGCCGATGTTTTGCGTGGAAAGTGAGGCCAAGGACATCACGGATTGATCGACCAATCAGGACGTGATAAGTGGCGAGAATGTTCCCTTTAAGGAAACACATGCCTAAAGAAGAGGAGAGTGGTTTGCCATTAAGAAAGAAACATTCTTTCTTGCATGGGGAGAATCTTGTCATCTCTACAACATTGTTGACACCTAGAAGATTCTTGAGAATGAGGAGAAGAGAAGAAGACACATGCTAGCTTCCAAGAGAATGCATGTGGAGCGATGTGATGTGTAACATCCAAGAATGTTCATACAATGAACATGGACGTGATACACTGTATTTGGCACTATACTAGGAAGAGTATGTGAGTTAGTGGAGGTGCAGACCTAAGGATAGGTGCATCTTTTCATTGGTTTGTTCTCTCGTGGAGTGCGCGGAGAAAAGACGAAACGATGGGGTGTGGACATTTGGCGGAATGTTTGCATGCATGAGGACGTGATGAGACTCAAGAGAGGAGAGTGAGAGTGAGACAAGAGATAGAGACACACATGTCGAGCCAGGGAGCAAAATTATACACACAAAAAGACATGTGTTGATTGGATGGATCAAAGGAAGGAAACGACGACAAGTGTCATTCTTTTTGACAAATGTCAAAAGAGACATGACAAGTGTCACAACCAAGGTGACTCACGACCACTTAGCCTATAAATAGAGTGCCTCAGCCTCACTTGCTTCCATTTCCCCATTCATTGTGCTCTTCTTCTTAAAGGCGAGAGAGAGAGAGAGTTTTAGCGAGAAAGTTTGTGAGCTTTCTTTCTAGTGAGTTTGAGTGAGTTTAGTGGAGTTAGGGAGAGAGTTCTAGCTAAGGAGTAGCTAGAGGAAGTGGAATTTTGGCGTGTGGTGGTGTTAGGCCGTTCATCAAAGTGGTTTGGTGAGTACGGTTAAGTGGCTCCGAGAGTAGTCACTGTCTGTTTCTTGTTTGTTTGTGTGTTGCATTCTAGATCATTTAGAAACTTGTGGTTTCTTTTGATTAGATGCATGTGAGTGTTGTGGTGGTTGTTAGTATGTGTGATACTAACTTTGTGGTTGCAGGAAGTATGAACGCTAAGCAGGAGGCTTACCGTTATACTTTTGTGTGTTTGTGTGGTGATAGCTTTTGTTAAAGCTTGTTGTTGCATGCATGTTAGGATCCAAGAAGAAACGTGCGATGTTCTTCTTGGGATTGATTGCATGATTGGTTGTGTGTGTGGTGTGGTTAGTTTGTGAAACTAACGATTTGTGGTGTAGGGAAGAGGAGAAACGCCTAAGTGTTCAAAGTGTGATTAACGAGTTTTGTGCAGGATGGAAGAGGAACACTTAGCGCGGTTTCTTGTTGTTGTGTGAGAGATCATAGTGAAAACTATGGATCTATTTTGTGTGTGTGTGTTGTGTGAGATCATGGCGAAAGCTATGGATCTATGTTGTGTGTGTTGTAAGGGGACATAGCGTGTTATAAGCTATGGACCCATTGTGTGTGTGGTGTGTGAGATCGTAGCCCAATGCTATGGATCTTTTGTGTGTGTGAGATCATAGCCCAATGCTATGGATCTTTGTGTGTGAGGTCATAGAAACCCTATGGACCTAGTAGTGCGTAAATAGATCATTGTGTTGTTTGATCAATGATCTTAGCGGTGTATCGTGATGCTCCTCCTCCCTTGCGGTTCATTCACTGAGAAACCCTCTTGGATGGATCGTTAGGATGACTCAGAGGGTACTTGGGTCGCTCCCATGGCTGAGTACTACACGACGGTGTAGCCCGGGTGTCTCTTGTCGGCGATGGCAAGAGAGTCGGGGGCCGAGTTCTTGATCATGGAAGGGTCAAGAATCGGTGTGAGAGTCCGGTCAGGGTTACTGTGTGTTTCTCTGACGCGGATATCACGGTGAGGGGAGATCCGTGCATGATAGAAGCCGTTACCACGTAGTTTTGGTGGTAGTAGCTTAGTGAGCGCTGTAGAGTGTGTGAGTGGAGTGTGGTTGAGTGTTGTGTAGGAAAGTCTCTTAATTGAGACTATCTCCTTTGTGTTGTGTGGTTGTGCATAATAGTTGGACGCAACTATTATGTTTATGTGATTGTGTGTTTGCAGGTGTGGAGAAAGTGGTGATAGACAATACTCGCGTATTGGTCTATGGCATGACTAAAGAGCTTTGCTTCGGCTATGTCTTTAGTATGCGTGTGATGTGATTGTTTTTTTAAAAGCTTCCGCTTGTGCTTGCTTTGATTGAGTTGTTGTAGTCGTTGATTGCTTGATTGCATGTTGTTTGTTTGGGGTGTTTGGGTAGAATTGCTTGTGTAGTATGGGTAGAGGATCCCGGCTCACTAAGTAATTCTAGATTACTTATGATGACTCTGTTTGTTGCAGGTGACCGTAGCTGTGGTGTAGTTGGTGCTTGGACGTAGGAGGCCGGAGTAGATTGCGGTGTGCTTTTGTAAAAGCTATGTAAGGTTTCATGGTTTTAATTTTCTTTGTTTTAAAATCATCCGGATGTAATAAATGTTTTCAATTTCGGTTTTATGTAAGACAATGTTTATGTTATAAATAAAGTATGTTTTAAGTGTTAAATACTTGGTTTTAAAGATATTTAGTCTAGTCCGGACTAACACAACTCAGCTCTTGTCTTACGGGTTGCAAAGCCTTAGTAATATGGGAGCTGAGGTAAAGGGAAATTAGGTGGGATTGGATCCAAGTCTTTGTGATATGGGTCTAGACCTACTTAGCCGTTTCCTATGTGGCATCTTCGGTTTGATATATTTATAGAACGAATCGGGGGTGTTACACGCGACCAATCATCGAATCATTCCGACACAACCAGGATGAACCAAGCTGCAAATACAATTGTTATAGATGATAAACTCATCATTTGAACACGGCGAATTTGATTCGGTTCAATCAGAGATCACACCAAGGAGTTATTGGTTTTACAAATCGGCTAAACCGGCGCTTTCCCGATTTGGACCCAGACGCACATATTGGAGGATTCCAATCCAAAAACAGAAGGATTTAGGTCTGACTGGTTTAACCGCTGCGGTTGCGGTTGCGAGAGTTTGCGGAAGCGAGCGGTTGTGATTAGTAGCGTTACTAAGCGGTTTGTACGACTGGCATAACAATTGAAAATGGATGCGTTTGCGGGATACTTATGACTGGTTCATTTGCGGATACTATAGCCGTTAAACAATAAATTAATAATATAAACACATTATATAATTACAAAAATATCAAAACTATATTGTAATGAAAATTTTAAATTTATGGTTCAACATAATTAAAAATAATATGTGTTTAATACTTACGTCTATCTTTTAATTTCTATAATTTAAACAAAAAATGTGATTTTATTTTCAAAAAAAATATATATTTAATGTGAAAATTAAATTTATATTACAATTTTATCCATTAGATATATATGTATTAGTATGAAAATAATATTTATCAAGAGAATTTTGATTTGTAGAACTTATAAATATATAAGTATGATATGGTTTTAATGAATATTGACTAAACGTACTAACTATGATATGGTTTTAATGAATATTGACTAAACGTACTAACTCTTTTTATTTATATTGTGATTTTATTATTCAAATCTTATTTTTTTAAATAAATATTATTATTTGTTCTCTGATTTTAAATATGTTTGTGTTTTTTATTATTATTATTTTTTTTAATTATCCACCCACAACCGCCCGCAACCGCAAACGCTACTAGGAAGGAGCTTTTGATTTTGAGGGATCTTGAGGGATCTTGAGCGGTTTGAAGCGGCATAAAGCGTTTGTGGTGATTGTTACGAACCAATCAACACCTTAAGCTACGAACCAACTTGGTATGGAATCTTGACTCAACCAGGAGTAACGCGAATTGGATTCATTCCAATCAAGTTTTGGTTTTGGAGATATTTATTTTCTAAGTGGAAGGATCCCCAACTTACCTTATTTGGAAGCTCACGGGTTTAATCACTTACAAACCCGAATTTGGCGACCAGGAGAGACATCTAAGCTTCCAGAAGATCATCCAGCCGTCCAGGAATTCTCAGTATCATAATCCCACCACAGAATCTGGCGGATTCTCATGTTTGTGAACTTTCCTTTTCCGGATCACTTGGAGGAACTCTCCAACGGCTATATTATCTAAGCTCCTGCGTTTTGGAGACTTGTTCAATGTATCTAGACGTCCCAAGACATCACACCTTCACGCCCAAGCTTTCAAGACTCAAGCTTCACCACAAGTTTCCTTATTTGGCCGAGCAATCAAGTCTCCAACGGCTAGATTATCAAGACCACATCTCTTTGATTATTTCTGTACTTTTTAATGTTTTAGAACGTTAGAATAGCCTTGTTACTGAGCCTATAAGAAATATAAAAGCTTGTTCTTCTTTTTATTCAAAGATTTTATTTGTCTAAATTGTTTATCGTTAAGTTTCAATCGAGAGATTCATTTGATACTTGAGATTATAGGATTAGGATTGTTTGTGAGATTCAAACAAGTCTAGTTCTTATCACCATCATCTCTACCATATTTCCACTTATATAAGCCTTAAGCTTGGAATCTCTTGATCATCATGTGATCTTAAGTTGGAGTGATTCCAATCTTACATCATAAGGGGTCGGAAAACATATATACTTTAGATGTTTTTAAGGTTATCGATGTGAATCAAACCCTGGTTGTTATGAGATAAAATGGAAGTTATACTTTGACTTTCAAAAACCGAATAAATTTCACAATTATATTTTAATTTTTTTATGCTATATCATTTATTATTCAGTTAAATTAGATCAAATGAAACATGGTTGAAAAAATAAATAAAAACACATATTTAATAATAAAAACACAAAATTCACAGAAACATAAAATGCTATAAATCAAAAACATATTTTAGTAAATACTACATACAAACACATTGCCGCGCATCGCTTTTAGTACAGATATGATCAAAAGTCATACGCATCTTTATTAGACCAAAAGGCATTCTTAAATCTTGAGATGGTGTAACCCGGAGTTACCATCGGATCCTTTGGATATTGCATACTCTTTAATAGTAGTGTCACTATATTTGGGTGGGTTTTTCTCAGACAAAAGCTCTTTGATAGGACCATAAACTCTAGGATTAGACATTAAATATGAACTGAAGAAACACGCCACTGAAATTCTGGGACCAGTTCGATTTGCCAAAACCCGATGCTCCACGCTTATGAACTTGTCGTTTGTTATAAGCTGCAACAATGAGCAATAAGACACTCAAAGTCAGAATTTTGATTTCAGACCCATAGGTAAGACCAAAGAGGGTTAGTTAGTTAGTTAACCTGAAGAAGATCTCCAACGTTAATGACAAGTGCTCCAGGAACAGGAGGAACATCAACCCAGTAGTTGTCATGAAGAACTTGAAGCCCTCCAATATGATCTTGAAGAAGAAGAGCGAGAAAAGCATTGTCAGAGTGTTTGCTTAAGCCTAAAGTTAGGTCGGGTTGTGGACATGGCGGGTAATAATGGCCGAGCAACAGCAATGAATTGGTGCAATCCATGTCCTTGAGGTGATTACTGTTTAACCCTAGAGCTTCTGAAAGTAGCTCAAAGACCAATTTACCCAATTTCATCACTTCCTTTGAGTACTCAATCATTATCTCTCTGACAATATAGCCACACCAAAAAGAAACAGTAAGATATAACTTATTTATTTGTTCATATTTATGCTGTGTCATCTCCATCCTGCTATGAAATCTTAGCTTTTATATTCATTACTAGTAGAGTACCCGCACGTTTGTGCGGTGTGACGTTGTTGTTTTGTGTAGAAAATTTAAACCCTAAATCCGAACCCGACAAAAAACCCTAATCAAAAAATTTAAAAACCCAAACTTTTTTAATAGGTCTAAACATGAAAATCCGAAATCAAAAAAATCCCGAAAACCCTGACTGAACAAAAAAAATCTGGAAACTTTTTCACCCGGAACCCGACCCCAATACCTAATCAAAATTTTAAAATACTCAATTTTTTTAATATATCTAAACCCGAAAACCAGAAATCTAAAAAATCCGGAAAACCCTAAACTGAAAAAAAAATTGAACCTAACCCGAACAGAAATTTTCAAAGAAACCCGAACAATTTCTATATCTCTATATATATCTCTATAAAATTATGTCTCAGATTTTCACCCAAACCCGAACTTGTCTATAAAAACCCGAAAATCCAAAAAGCATATTCTATTGATTTGGAATTATCGTTAGATTATGTTAAGTTTTCTTTTTTGCAGATTTTTAAGAGATGGAAAACGGAAGTTTTCTAAACCATCGGTTTATTTTAAGTTATTATTCTTGTATCCAAACAATTTTTTCCATTTATTCTTCTATCCAAATAGATTTTTCTCTTATTCTTATATCCAAACAACTTTTGTTTCCATTTATTCTTCTATCCAAATAGATGTTTCTCTAATTCTTGTATCCAAACATTAGAATGTACTTCTCAATTAATAATATAAAGATGCATACGTGATTCTTCATTAGACATCTTTCAGAGGTTATTGGCTTAGAAACTAAGTCAAATCATGTGTTTAGTGTATCAATGCTTGTTTCAAATACTCTACCGTTTCATGGTTAAATAGGCTTTGAATGGATGTACAGAAATAATGCAGAAAAAGTACAGTCCAGTCCAAAAGCAGGCCCACCTGTATTTGTCAGCCAATCACACTTTTTGTGAAAAACAACAATAATACAGTACACTTACCTATCAACTGCATGCAGTCAAAGTCATGTGTTAAAAGTTAAGACTGCAAGGAGGTGAGCTCTACGAGCCTGTTCACCCAATGCATATGCATGTAGCATTTTTAATTTTTTTATTTCTTCCTTTTTTTATTTTTATTTTTTCTATGTTTCCTATTCTTCTATAAAAACAAGAATTCTCCTCCTTCCTTATTCATTTCTAAACAAACAAAACAACAAATCCTCTCAACTTTTTTTTTTATATCAAGATTCTCTCAAATATAAAGGTATGATCTCATTTCATTTTTATTTCTTTCTGTAACAATTTTGTTTCACAACAATTTTATTATTAATTAACATATTTAATACAAAGATTTTGCATAGTTTCTATTTTATCTAAAGAAATATATTTATCTAGAGAAAATATATATATTTATTTTACATTCATAATATTTCTATAATTATTTGCAACAACTATATAGTTTCATTTTGATTTTCAACAACAAAAACTACTATATATCATAGAGAATATTATGCATGTTGACTCTTACATCAGTTTTAAAGATATAACCTCATTAAAAAACAATTATTAGACTAATAGATGTATTATATATTGAATTCATGGATGCTATTTTATTATCTATATTTTAACTATTACTATTTATATAGTTATATTTATATATAGTTATTGTTTCGTTTTTTATTTTTATTTTTTAAAGTGTATAGTTCTTTTATATTAGAACTATAATATATAATATATAGGAATTTCATTGGTTCTATATATACACATGCATTTTGGTTATCATATTTTGTTTAATTAGAAATTAATATTTGGGAAATCAATTATTTTCAGGTTGTCTTCTATATCCACCACAAGGATTCTCAAATCAAAGGTATGTTTATTTTATTATTTTCTGATATTTATAACTATAATATATAACAGAAAATTTTCATTTGTTCTTTATATACACATGCATGATGGTAATAGTATTTTGTTTAATTAAATTTATATTTTAATCAATTATTTTCAGGTTGTCTTCTATATCCACCACAAGGATTCTCAAATCAAAGGTATGTTTATTTTATTATTTTCTGATATTTATAACTATAATATATAACAGAAAAATTTTCATTTGTTCTTTATATACACATGCATGATGGTAATAGTATTTTGTTTAATTAAAATTTATATTTTAATCAATTATTTTCAGGTTGTCTTCTATATCCACCACAAGGATTCTCAAATCAAAGGTATGTTTATTTTATTATTTTATGATATTCATAATTATAGTATATAACAGAAAATTTTCATTTGTTCTTTATATACACATGCATGATAGTAATAGTATTTTGTTTGATTAAAATTTATATTTTAATCAATTATTTTCAGGTTGTCTTCTATATCCACCAGAAAAAGTCTCAGTTTAAGGTATGTTTATTATTTTTACTTTTGTTATTATGAGATAGATGTGATTTTTTTTTAATGTCTACTAAATTATTTACTAGATGTATTCTAAATTAGTTATGTTCTCTAAAATGATATGAAATCTTTAATATATGAAAATATAAGTATTTTAGGTTTATTTGTAGTACTTCCTCTTGAGCATTTTAAATTGGTAGTTGCAGTATTTTTATTTACAATTAATAATTTAATAAGATAATATAATAATATTTTAACATATTATTTTAAAACACTGACAGAGAAATTATAATACATTCTTAATTTTATATTTATTTAACCATTTCATTTGATTGAATTTAGATTTTTCATATATTAGAAAGTAAAGTAACTCTAATTTTAGAGTTTTTAACCATGTAGTTAAATTTATCAAGGCTAATTAAAATTATTATATTATTTAAAGTTTTGTAACATGTTCATATGATAAATTTATGCCAGTTAATAAACTTACATATCTTAACATAAACTTCTTGTATAAACATAAACTCTTTTATGAACTTTTAAATAATTTTTATTTTTTCATCCTCTATTTATTCAAAACAATTATTATTTTCAATTTTGTAGATATGGCGTCAAATAGACAAAACATAAATGCTTCTCGGCAGTCAGATTCGATTCATCATAGCGAAACATCAATACAGGTAAATATTTTATACTTGTATTTCAAGATTTTATAGTTTAGTTGAAGTTCAAATGAATAATACTTTTACAAATTTTGAAAATTTTAGAATGATGAGGATTTGAATTGGACTCATAGGCGAGAAAGAGTATTTATTGAGTTGTACGATCAAGCTCTTGCCATGAACAATTACCGTTTAAAAGACCCTACTCCAACTGGTAAAGAGTTTGTCGTTGAAAAATTCAATGAAGAGTTCAATCTTCATATAGATTACAAGTTTTTCAGAAAAAAACTTGATCTAATGAAACGAAAATATAAGAAGTATTTGAGTCTTATGCAAAATTCTACGGGCATCTCAGTTGATCCTATTACATCTGTGATATCTGCATCAGACTCATGGTGGAAAGATCGTGAAGTAAGTACTTTTCATCTTTTCACACCTAAAATTTGTTAAGTAACCATAGAAATATGAAAATTTTGTTAACTAAAAAACTATATAAATTTGTTGACAGGTATGTAAAATTATAAGATCATTTCACAGACAACCTCCAGAATTTTGGGATATTATGCAACGTTGCTTCAAGTTATATGATGTCCACTCGCAATCCCAATATTCTGTGAGCCAACGAAGAGAAGAAATAATAAACGAGGGCGTTGTCAATGATGAAGATTTTGTGGATTCAGAAACATACGAAGAAGATACATCAGAAACTCAAGTTCCACAGACACAAGAAAATGAAGAGGTGTATTGAGTTAACATTGACGATCGGACACGTCCTTCAAATGAGTTTACTCGTGAAACCATGCATCAAAATTCTCCACCGGTCAATCCACTTCGAAATCCTGCTTCCAGAACTCAACAACAAGGAAGATTAAGACGTGAGAGTGCTATGAACACAGTTGCAGGAAGCTCCAAAACTACTTCACGAGGAAATCATAAAAAACAGTCGTTTCAGGCAACTCTAACAGATACAATGGTTGGATTCAGAGAGTTTCAACGCCAAAGCTTACAACATATGCGCCCAAATTCTTTTGATCAAGAAGATTATGATGAATACGACAAGGCTGTCAAGATGTTTGAATCACTGGAGGTTCAGAAGAACACTGGATTTTATTGGGCATGCTTACAATCATTGAAAGATGAAAGATTTTGGCGAAGACATTTCATTGACAGAGCTGAAAACACTGTCAAAGATAAGCTACAATTTTTGCAAGCTTTGAGTGGATATACACAAGACGGCGAATTTGTTGGAAAAAAACTTGTCTCAGGTCAAAACAGCGGAAGTCCAAATTTTGGTGGTTTTGTTTCTAATAGTCCACCTTTCGGCGGTAATAATTCGTGGGGTCAAACTTCAGGTGGACAATGGGGTTATGGTTCTCATCACTTGGGTACACCTCCAAATCTTCAACAATGGGGTACTCCTCCAAATGCTCAACAGTGGGGTACTCCTCCAAATGCTCAACAGTGGGGTACACCTCCAAATGCTCAACGATGGGGTACTCCTCCAAATGCTCAACAATGGGGTACACCTCCGAATCCTCTACAGTGGGGTACTCCTCCAAATACTCAACAGTGGGGTTCATCATCAAATATTCCACAATGGGGCCCTACATCAAATGTTCAGCAATAGGGTTCATCATCGAGTGGTCCACAAAGAAACACCCCTCCAAATGCTCAGCAATGGGGTTCATCATTACATGGTCCACAATGGAGTTCACCGCAAAATGCTCAGCCATGGGGTTCATCTTCGAATGCTCAATGGGGGTCATCAACTAATTCTGGTCAATGGGATTTATCACCAAACAACCAACGATGCGACTTATCACCAAATGGTGAACGTTGGATTCCTCAGACAAACATTCAACATGGATTTTCATTAAGAAATGAAGTAGAAACTACAATGAGTGGTGAGCTAGGAGTTTCAAAAGAAGCAGAAGTTCGTATTTCCGAAAACATTCAGAGAGGAGTATCACCAGAATTTGGTTTCACGGATTATTCAGGAGGTGCAGAAATACACGGAGCAAGAACGCGTAGATTGGGAGGGTTATTCAATATTTGGGGAAATAAACAAGGGCCAAACTTAAATGAGAGTCATCACACTGATTCAGGAGCTGAAGATTAGTTTAGTAGCGCTTATATTTTGTCATTAGCAGTTATGAAAAAATAATGTAATATTTTTATAATATTGAATATCAGTTACTCACTTTGTTTCTTATTATTTGATGTTTTTGATTTTTTATGGTGTTTCTTATTATTTGATTTTGTTAGATTATTCAATGTACTTTTTGACAATAAATGCAACAAAATGTTCCTTATTATTGGTTGATAGCTATTTTAAAAAAAAGTAATACATCAAAAGTGAAGCATTAATTGTTTCTTAATCAATATGAATACTCTAAACATCAAATAATAAGGAACGGAAGGAGTATGTTTTTGTGAACATTGTACATTTTTCTTGTCAATTGGATTTACAATTTCTCTTGTTTTTACAATTTTTCAGGCTTTTCGTATATGTGAGTTACGGTCATATGGTCTCCACAATCTAAGTTACGAGGAGAGAATTGAGTTGTGGAATTTGGAAAATGAGCAATTTGAAGAATTAATAATCCAACCATCATTAAGTTACTACAATCGATATATTGAAAGAGGGCCGGTCCAAACTGATGGAGGTTTGGGATGGAGAAATATTTGGCGTCGATTACAGGAAGATGATGCTGCTTGTCTTCAATTATTACGGATGTCGATTGGTGCTTTCAGAACATTATGCGATAAACTGCAAACGAGTTATGGTCTACAACCAACATTGAATGTAGGCATTGAAGAGAGCGTCGCCATGTTTCTACGGATATGTGGGCATAACGAAGTTCAAAGAGATGTTGGATTAAGATTTGGACGAACACAAGAGACAGTAAATAAAAGTTTTTTGAAGTGCTAAAAGCGACAGAGTTTCTTGCTTGTGATTATATTAGAACTCCAACAACACAAGAACTACGACGGATTCCTGAACGGCTAGTAACAGATAAAAGATATTGGCCATATTTTAGTGGATTTGTTGGCGCCATGGATGGAGTTCATGTCTGCGTTAAAGTGAAGCCTGAAGTACAAGGAATGTATTGGAACCGGCACAATATAACATCATTTAATATAATGGCGATATGTGATCTAAATATGTTATTCACATATATTTGGAATGGAGCACCTGGTTCATGTCATGATACCGCAGTTCTCACAGTGGCGCAAGAAAGTGATGGTGATTTTCCTTTACCTCCGCCAGAAAAGTATTACCTAGTCGATTCGGGTTATCCAAATAAACAAGGTTTTTTGGCTCCTTATAGATCTTCACGAAATGTGGTTGTTCGGTATCATATGTCACAGTTCGAAAGTGGTCCTCCTCCTAGAAACAAGCAAGAGTTGTTTAATCGATACCATGCATCTTTACGCTCTGTTATTGAAAGGACTTTTGGAGTTTGGAAAAAGAAATGGAGGTGCAAAAAAGAGTGGTAATGGCGACAATGGGACTACATAATTTTATTAGAGTTTCAAATTTTTCAGATGAAGATTTTGCTGATGTAATGGGAGAAACAGAGACTGACAACACAAACTCTTTGGTAGAACTAGGTGATATGGCAGAAGCGGAAATAGGAGAAGGAAATTTTATGAATAATATCAGAGAGCATATTGCAAATACATTATGGGCAGATAAAAACACTCCACATTAAATTTTGTTCAATGTTGTAATGAATTTTAAATTGAAGTTGTATTTGAAGTTTTCTATAATTGGTTATTTAAAAAAATGTTACATACTTATTTGTTTTTTTTTTGTTTTTGTCTTTTTTTTTTATTAAATATTTAAAATATTTTTAGAATTATTTCATCTGTTTATTTAGCATGAACTGTATTTATTTTGTATATTTTAAATGAACTGTATTTTTTCTGTGTGAACTGCATATTTTCTTTGAACTGTAAATTTTGGACTGGATCCCATTTGAAGCCATAGTCGTTTAGAACAGTTTTTTTTTTTTCTTTTTTTAACAAGTGTTGTTCTATGTTTCTAATGCAATTTTTAGTAGATATTTATCTTTCACATATGCTCCTAATACATTAATAAAAATATTATATACTTGAACTAAGATAATATCGCGCATATAGAGTAGTTGTCAAGGTATTTGGTTACTAAATTATAGATAAAATATGGTGTTATTCAATAAAGCTTTGTGATGTTACCCGCAAGCGATGGGCAAGTCCTCCGGTCTTGGAGGATCTGGGGCCGTACGGCAACCAAGTGTATCTCTCCAGTTTGCCGCCGGTGATCTAAACAGATTGAAATTGCTACTGTATACAATCTTGCTACTTGGATCTCGAGAGTAAAACCTTTTCTTCACTTCTGTGTCTTGCTCGTGAAACCCACGAATCCCGTCTTTCATCCTCTCGAGCGTATCAAGAGGGATCCCGTGATTGGTCACCTGAAAAAAATCCCATTTCACCGCCGCGTCTCCGATCTTCTCCGCCAAGTTCCGCCGCGTGATAGAGTCCGTGACCCCTCCTTTGAGATCGATTGTTGGGATCGTGAACTGAGATGATTCCGAAGTAAGTGGTTCGGGGCTTTTCAGATTAGCTGGATGTTCACGGAATATTGCCGGAACCTCTGCAATTCCAGCATCGACAAGGCCTTTCACACCGGTCTTCGTCTCCTCAAAAGCTTTTAGTTGACTATAACGATCAGTTGCAACCTTGGGAGTTGAATCCATCGCGTTTTCTGTTGGTTTTCGTTTACGCTAGAAATGGATTTGAGAGAGATTAGTTAAAAAGCTGAAAATGCCATTCCAATGGTTTTAAATGATTAGAGTCAACGGCGACGATAGATTTAAGAAATGAAATTACATGCAAGTTTAATTTTTTTTTCAAAATAAAATAAATTATAACAAACATCCAGGTCTCACGTTGAATAAATATTAGTATTAGTTTTTAAAGTAGAGAAAATTTTAAAAATAAGGATAAAACGAAAAAGATTAGCTAAGAACATAAAATAAGGATAAATATAATGGAGATGCGGGGTATCGAGTGAAGACAGAAGAGCGCTCGTTTAAAGGCTCTGGCATGCTGTAAATTTAAAACAACACACTAACCCGAAGAGAAGTGCGTCAAGTGTATAACTATAAGTGTAGCTCACTACCCCTTTTCATTTCGGAGGATATCCATCCAATTCCACAATGTTTTGCATCTGTAGATTAAGATACATTCCACATTGTTTTACCTACCAAGAAATATCCACATAATATGGCGGAGCTAGAAAAAAATATTTACATGGGTAACAATAATTTTTCTAATATTAAAAAAATGCATAAACTTTATGAAAAAATAAAAATGTAATTGTTCTTATACATTAAAGATATACTACTCTACGCTCACTCATATCTTGGAATCGTTTACTTACAACTTCATTTGTCACTGTCTCAAGCACCTTGTCTCATCAAATCGGCATTGCTGTGAAAGCTCGTATTATCACCCATGTGTTATTCAAAGCTATCGGTCTTATTCCAGTTAGAAATACCCGTTAATACAAAATCATCACATCCACTTTTTTTTTCCAACTTGAACTCTGAACAAGTAACAATACAAGCAAAAAGCCTTTTCTTCTTCCTCGCTATACTCTAACCAATTACGATATTGATCAAACCACTGTGGATTAAAGTGTCGTAATACATTTCCTATTAGCTTTTGTTTGAAAGGGTGATCACCAGGTTGATGAGGTCCTCTATTCAAGTATATGCGTTGTACCTCAGCTTTTTGATAATAAGGATGACAATCTTAAATGTTTTTTTTCCCTTTGCTAGATCATATGGTAAATCATCTAAGTTGATATTAGATGGTGGAGCTGGAGAATCTGATCGTGTTTTTTTGTAAAATGGTTCCATTGTCTACATAAACACTTTAACAAAAAAATATATGTATGAGAATAAGAGATTTCTAACAATAAGAAGAAAAAAATCATAGAAGAATAAGAAATTATAGAAGTTTTACCTTGTCAAGCAGATTACTTTGCCTTGATTAAAAAAAAAAAACCTAAATCTTTTTAATTTTGTGACTATGTCGTAATTTGGAGAAGATAAAGAATTATATTTTCTGTTTTTTTTTAATTAATTAAATAATTAGGTTTAGTTAACTAATGGGCTTCATCTTATTTAAAAATTATTTGAGATAGTTACTGAGTTAAAATCCCAAAATTTTAAAATAATAATTAGACCATGGCTACACTAAAAAACTAGATGGGTCAATAATTTATTTTGGACATAATACATAATATAAATTTAATTTGTGTTTTTGAATTCCACATTGGTCAACTGACCCACGTGATAATATGTTGCCTTCGCCACTCGCCACATTACGTTCGAGATCACTGGTCCAAAGACTCTAAAATCTTAGGCTTCGAATGGAGACACAGATCAAAAAATGCAGATCAAACAGTAATTCCAGATCAAACAGATCATATACAGATCATGATCTGCATATAGAACAAATACATATCAAACAGATTAAATAATAATAAAATATTATATTTTATTGAGCAATGAAAAAAATAAAGAAAAATTTCAATATATAAACAAGAAATTTAAAAAATAAAACATTATATAAAATTTAAATTCGATTACAACAGACCAAAAATTGTTTTCAAAAATTAACGTGAAATGTTTTTGTTTGCCCATAATGTACTTGCAATGTGTTCCCTAATGTTAACCATAAAATTCCCTTCTTCTATTTCCATTTCTGCCATCTCACTTGGTTCTACCATAGAACTTGTGTTGCCAATCTCTATATCTCTTCTTACATCAGCAAAGTCTTCATCTGAAAAATTAGAAATTCTAATAAAATTATGTAGTCCCATTGTCGCCATTACCACTCTTTTTTGAACTTTCATATCATATCTAGGAAATTCACAAAGAATCCTCCACTTCTTCTTCCATACCCCAAAAGTCCTTTCAATAACAGAACGTAAAGATGCATGATATCGATTAAACAACTCTTGCTTGTTTCTAGGAGGAGGACCATTTTCAAATTGTGACATATGATACCGAACAACCACATTCCTTGAAGATCTAAAGGGAGCCAAAAAACCTTGTTTGTTTGGATAGCCAGAATCGACTAGATAATACTTGTCTGGTGGAGGTAAAGGAAAATCAGGATCCCTTTCTTGCGCCATTGTGAGAACTGCTGTATCGTGACATGAGCCAGGTGCTCCATTCCAAACATATGTGAATAACATATTGAGATCACATATCGCCATTATATTAAATGAAGTTATATTGTGCCGGTCCCAATACATTCCTTGAACTTCAGGCTTCACTTTAACGCAAACATGAACTCCATCCATAGCACCAACAAATCCACTAAAATATGGCCAATACGTTGGATCCATTACTAGTCGTTCAGGAATTTGTCGTAGTTCTTGGGTTGTTGGAGTCCTGATATAATCACAAGCAAGTAACTCAGTCGCTTTAAGCACTTCAAAAAATTTTCGATTCACAGTCTCTTGCGTCCGTCCAAATCGTAATCCAACATCTCTTTGAACTTCGTTATGCCCACATATTCGTAGAAACATGGCCACACTCTCTTCAATGCCTACATTCAATGTTGGTTGTAAATCCATAACTCGTTTGCAGTTTATCGCACAATGTCCTGAATGCACCAATTGACATCCGCAATAACTGAAGACAAGCGGCATCATCTTCTTGTAACCGACACCAAATATTTCTCCATCCCAGACCGCAACCAGTTTGAATCGGTCCTCTTTCAAAATATTGATTGTAGTAACTTATTGATGGCTGGATTATTAATTCTTCAAATTGCTCATTTTCCAAATTCCACAACTCAATTCTCTCCTCGTAGTTTAGATTTTGGAGACCATGTGATCGTAACTGACATATACGAAAAGCCTGAAAATATGTAGGCATGAAAAAATCGTAAATCAAACTGATTAAAAAAAAATCAAAAAATAAACAATACTTATTCAATATTATAAAACATAACAAAAAATCATAATAAGTAGTTAATAATGTAACCAAGATAAATCATAAATCAAATTGACAGAAAAATACAATGTTCGAAAATACATAAAACATAACCAATATTATTAAAACATAACATAACTGCGAATAACAAATTACAAGTGGTACTGAACTAATCTTCAGTTCCTGAATCACTTTGATGGATTTGATTTAAATTTAGCCCTTGTTCTTGCTATTTCTGGTTCTGAAGAAATACCCCCCTCTGAACATTTTCTGAAGTACGAACCTCTGATTCACGTGCAACTTCTACTTGACCAATCGTTGAAAATCCACGCTGAACATTTGTTGGAGGGTTCTGTTGCTGAGTATTTGGAGGAGTACCCCATTGTGGAACACTTGATGATGAACCCCATTGGTGAGCGTTTGGAGGAGTGCCCCATTGGTGAGCGGTTGGAGGAGTGCCCCATTGCTGAGTGGTTGGAGGAATGCCTCATTGTTGAGCGTTAGGAGGAGGGCCCCACTGCTGAGCGTTTGGAGGAGTGCCCCAATGCTGAACATTTGGAGATGTGCCCCATTGTTGATAACCATGATTCCATTGTCCAGAAGATGGACTACCAGAAGTAAAACCACCAAAATTTGGGCTCCCGTAAGTCTGATTTGGGACCAGCCGTTTTCCAACATATTCGCCGTCTGGTGTATATCCTGTTAAAGCTTGCAAAAATTGTAGCTTATCATCGTCAGAATATTCGGCTCTATCAATGAAATACTTACGCCAAAATCTTTCATCCTTAAATGCTTGGATGCATGCCCAATAAAATCCAGTATTCTTTTGAACTTCCATTGCTTCAAATATCTTGATAGCCATCTCGCATTCATCATAATCTTCTTGATCAAAAGAATTTGGGCGCATTTGTTGTAAGCTTTGACGTTGAAACTCTCTAAAACCAGCCATTGTATCTGTTAGAGTTGCCTGAAATGATTGCTTTTTTCCGACCTCCTCGTGAACCATTCCTCGATGAGACTTGTGAGCTTCCAACAACTCTGTTGGTAGAGTTTTCAGGTCTTATTCTTCCTTGTTGTGAAACTCTGCCAGCCTGATTCTGGAACATATTAACCGGGGCAGTACTTTGACGCATGGATTCACGAGGAAACTCATTTGAATGACGTGTTTGATCATCAATGTCGACACCATACCCCTGTTCATTTTCTTGTGTTTGTGGAACTTGTGAGCCTTGGATATCGTCACCATATATTTCCGAATTTAAATAACCTTCATCGTCAGCAAAATCCTCGTTCATCATCTCTTCTCTTCTTTGACTCACAGAGTATTGTGATTGTGTATGGACATCATACAATCTAAAACAACGCTGCATAATATCCCAAAACTCTGGAGGGTTTCTGTGAAATGCTTTTATAACTTTACATACCTGTCAATAAAGTTATATAGTTTTTAGTTAATATATTTTTGATATTTGTAAAGTTATTTAATAAATTTTGAGTGTAAGAAAATTATAAGTACTTACTTCACGATCTTTCCACCATGAGTCTGATGCTGTTATCACGGATGTGACAGGATCAACCGAGATTCCCGTAGAATTTTGTATAAGACCCAAATATTTCTTGTACTTTCTTTTCATATGATCAAGTTTTTTTCTGAAAAACTTGTAATCTATATTAAGACCGAACTCCTCGTTGAACTTTTCAACTATAAACTCTTTACCAACAGGTGCAGGATCTTTTAAACGGTAATTGCTCATTGCAAGAGCTTCGTCATACAGCTCGATGAATTTTATTTCTCGTCTATGAGTCCAAAGAATATCATCTTCGTTCTAAAAAATTTAAAATTCATAACTATATTACTCCCTAAAACTCCAACTAAACTAGAAAATTTCAAATATATAAAAGTAACAAACTTACTCGTAATGATGTTTCAGTAGGAGGAATAGTATCTGGTTGTGCAGAAACGTTTCTGTTTTGTCTACGATTTGACGCCATATCTAAAAAGAGATATAAATTATATAAATTTTAAAAATAATAAACAAATCTGTTTTCATATTATATCATGATTTAGTGGTCATTACTTGCAAATTATACATAAACTTTTAATTATATTATAGTAATTTTTTTATGTTGCATAATAATATATTATTTTTAGTTAGACATTATTGATATAATAATTCAAATTACGGTTTCCAAATAATAGGAGCAGTAATTATTATTGTGATTTAATTTTAATTTATTATAAACTTTTAGTTATATTCAAAAACTTAATAACTTTTTTCATTTACATACTTATAAAAAAGGAAATCTATGTTACTTATCAAAATTTGGATTTTTTTTGTAAACCCAATCTTGACTAGAAAGAAAAAGAAAAGTTATTTAAATTATTTAGTTTTATTAATAGTTATTCTAGTGTGATGATATATAACAAATTATATATTTTAATGTTTAAACATATACCATGTGAAATAAATTATGTTTTCTTCTTATATATCATTCTATTATATTTTCTAATTTAGTTTATACAAAATCTTCTAATATTATTGTTCTACTTTCCAAAAATATTAAATACTGCAATTAATCATGAAACTACTAAAAAGGTTAAAATGATAAAATAAAAAAAGGCACCACCTTTTGAACCTCAAATTTATTTATTTTAACAAGTAAAGATTTCATATTTCTTTTATAAAAATTACTAATTTAGAAAATCTGTGGTATATTACTCATTATAAGAAAAATTAATGTTGTTCTCAAATATCTTGCTATATGCAAAAAAAATAGAAAGAAAAGCATACCTTTGATTTGAGAATATTTTTGGTGGATATAATTGTGAGCTCCGAAATTACCTGAAAAATCATATAAAACAAAAAAATATCAAATAAAAGATGAGAGTATAATGCATGTCTATGTATTTCGTCCAAAAAACAAATAATGCATGTCTATGTATATGTTTAGAACAAATGAAATTCACATGATAGAAATATTTATTTGTTATAAATATTGATAGCTAAAATACATATTATAAAATAACATACATGAATTTATTATACTAAAAATGTATGGTTCTATATTAATCTAAATAATATTTTTTACATTTTCTTTTATATAACAAACATACTAGATAATTTTTTATAAATGTACAATAAACATATATAGTTTCCTCTATGTAAGAATTTTGTTATATAAGAGAATCAATATAAAATGTATTAATATCTCACTAAACAAAAAAAACTTATCTTCAACTAAAATTGTTACAGAAAAAAAAGAAGAGATAGTACATAATACCTTTGACAGAATTTGTAGATTTTCGTTTTTCTAAGTGAATAGTGAAAAAAAAATATTTTAGGTGGATTTGGTAAGAAAAATGAGAGATGAAAAAAATACACAAGAAAAACTTAGTTTATTTCTTAAAAGTGTGAGAGAATTTATAAATTTTCGTTTTTTGAAAGTGAATAATGAGTGAAATGAATTTTGGGTTGATTTATAAGGAAAAGAATGAGAGATAAAAGAAAAACAAGAAAAAGAAAAAAGAAAAAAAATGTCTGTTTCTTTACATGCATTGGTGAGCTGCATCTTGAAGACCACTTTTTGGCTACTTCAATGCAGAGCTTGTCATTTTCGTAGTCTCTCTCCTGCATGCAGTTGATAGGCTTTTGCTCTGTTTTTTTATTAATTTGTATTAAAAAGATGAATGGGGCAAAATTGCAGATGGGCCTGCATTGGATACGGGCTGCAATTAATCTGTAAATGTTTCATATGTCCATTCAAAGCCTTAAAGTGAGGAGAATGAGAACCCGTCTTTATCAAAAAAAGAGGAGAATGCGAACCCGTCTCCTTTTGCTTCACTCAGCGAATTGATCTAGCTAAAAGATGCAAATCCCAGCGGTCTACATTTGATGGACCATTGTGATCAATGAGCCTCGAGTGATTTTTGTCATTAGTTTTGAGAAATGAGGATACTAGGCATATACATATGATTATTATTGTGGCGTTAATTCTTTTATTCTGAAAATTAAAAATTCGAATATTCACAACTGAGTGAAAGGATAAGCGAATGTTGTGGCGGATGATGAATAAAGCTCAATTAAGTGCTTATGATATGTTTTTTTAAAGTGCATATCATACTTTCGCAGTTCAAGTCAACGACACTTTCTAATTGTTTACTGTCTTACAGATCCAATCCAAACGATAGTTTCCATTACATGTGGGTCATAATGTTTCAATAAAGATAATATACAATTAATGAATCCCCCTCTATTTTACTTAAGAATACAATTTAATTTAAAGAATAACTTTAGTCGTCCCATATATCATTAGGGGTGTGATCAAAAGTCATAGTTGACCCAATCCAACCCAAGCCATCAACCCTTGGTGTGGACAAATTATCCGTTATATTTGCTTCGATCCGTTATCTGCTTCAATTCGATCAGAAAAATCCGGAAAATTTGTAACTTTACAAAGCAAAGCAAATATTAAAAATCAATATCCGTTAGAAACGGAGAAAATTACCAATACTAAAATTTTAAAAGCCGGATATCTGATCCACTCCGTTATAAATATATATCTATGTATTTAAAAATTACATATACAAATTTGATAATTGTTCTATATATATATAAATTTTATAAATTTATATTCACCAAATTGATTATTTAAACACTAAAAATTTTAAAATAAAAAATAAAAATTTATTTAAAAAAAATATATATATTTTTTAATATTTACGAAACGGATCAGATATCCGGTAAAATATTCGGATTTTACAGATATTTGGTTAACAACAGAGCTGATATGGATTCCGAAACCACAGATCCGGACGGAGCAGAGGTCGCGGATACCTTCCACTCAGTGCCCAAGGTATTCAACCCTAATGGATTGAAATTGTTGATCCAAATAGGTTGATGGATCAAATGAGTATTGGTCAAATAGATTACTGATCAAATGGGTAGAATTTAAATGGATTGATGGATGAAATTGTTTAACTCATTATTATTATTTTTTCTTTATTAAACCAAATCAAATTAAATTAAACCAAACCAAATTATATATTTAAATAAGAAACCAAATTTAACTAAAATCACATGTGTAAATGGAATCATATAACCCATTGGATTTTGATCATGGATCACCCATTTAACCATTTGATCCATCTAATTAAATAGGTGATGGGTCAAACCAATCTTTTTAGCAAATAGGTTGGATTTATAGAATTTAGAAGTAATATAGAACAGAAGAATATACAGAATAACTTTCTTTATTAGTTTAAGAAAATGATTTAAAACTTAAGCTTTCACAATCTCTCAATTCTAAACTCATAACTTATACCACACTTTGGTAGCTCCTTATATAATCAATCATAGCTCCTAATCCTAATATATTTAGATACTCCTCAACATAATCAAATCCTAAGCTACACAAGAATCTATAACATGCTAGGATTAGGATTACTTGCAACTTAAGCTTTCTTCAAACTTATTCCAACATTCTCCCTCTTAAACTTGAAATAATTTATTCACTTCTCAAACTCCAATGAGATCTCTCATCTCTTTAAACTTAATTTTTCTAAGTGTCTTTGTTAGAATGTCCGCCTTTTAGTCATCCCCTGGAACATGTTCTACCTCGACTTGACTATTCTCTACAGATTCCGTTATGAAGTGATACCTTGTATGGATATGCTTACTTCGGCCATGAAAGACTGAATTCTTGGTAAGAGCAATTGCAGATTGATTATCTATTCGAATGACAACCTTTTCACATGAAGATCCAATGATTTCACCAATTAAACCTCGCAGCCAAATAGCTTGCTTTGCCGCTTCAATACCAGCCATAAACTCTGCCTCACATTATGATAGGCTACAGTTTCTTGCTTCTGTGAGCACAAAGAGGTTGGACTCTCTCCTATATAGAAGATATGACCTGTTGTACTCTTGCCATCATATGGATCAACATTATGACTACTATCACTGTAACCCACCAGTTTTGGTACTTTGGTTATTGATCGCTCAAAGACCAAACCAAAAGAAGAACTGCCTCGCAAGTATCTCATGCATTTTTTTATGGTGTTTCAATGTTCCATGGGATTCTTTAGGGTTTTGTATATACCGATTTAACAATCCTATAGAGAATGAAAACTCCGGTCTTATTTGAAGAAGATAGCGAAAACATCCAACAAGTTTCCTGAATTTTTAGCATCCACATATTTTCTCCTTCGGCTTTAGATAGCTTTAGACCAGGCTCCATTGGATTATGAACTAGGTTGCACTTTTCTATTTCTGATCCTTCCAAGATCTTTAGTGCATAGCACTCTTGTCTCAACGTTATTCCTTCTTCATGTTGGTTCCCCTCGATTCCCAAATAGTATGTTAGTCTCCCAAGGTCATTCATTTCGAATTTGGAAACCATCTCCTTTTTAATCTCGTTTATGTCTTCAACACTTGTTCCTGTAACAGAAGATCATCTACATACACCGTAATGAGTAAAAGATTTTTCAGGAACTACTCTCTGATAAACCGTTGGTTCTTGTGAACATTTTTCGAGCCGCAGTTCCTTAAGTATCTCATTTAGCTTGATATTCCACGCTCTCAGTGCTTGCTTTAAACTATATAAAGCCTTGGAGCTTACACACCTTCATTTCATGTCCTTTCTCTCTTCAAACCCTTCTGGTTCAGTGACATAGACGACTTCTTAAGTTCTCCATAAATAAAAGCGGTTTTTACATCAAGATAATGTATCTCTCATCCACTTGATGCTGCTAGACTATTAAGTAGATGTATTGTCTCTAAACGTACTACCAGAGCAAATACTTCATCATAGTCAACTCCATACCGTTGCGCATATCCTTTTGCAACTAGGCGAGCCTTATGCTTGTTAATGGTTCAATCTAAATTACGTTTGAGTTTAAAAAGCCATTTTAAACCAATTGCTTTAGCTCCATCAGGAAGATCCACAAGAGTCCAATTATGATTTTTCATAATGCTCCGAATTTTGTCTTCACACGCAAGTATCCACTCTCTTGATTCTTTCACTTCAAAGAAATATCTTGGTTCATCACTCAAATACAACAAAAGTCTTTCTACTTCTTGCTCTACAAGTAGAATATAGTCGTCAAGATATTTTGGCGTTATCCTCTCTCTCTCGATGATCTTCTCAATTCCTCTATATCATGATCATCAATATTCTAGGTTTCATGTGCAATTATATCATCGTTCTCTGCTTCATCATCATCCTCTGTATCTTGAGCACTCTTAATGTTATTATTTTCCTTAAGATTATCCACTGTTTCTTGAACTCCATGATTACCAAACTCTCCAAAAACGAGATCAAAAATTTGGTCTTCCTTCTCTACATCTTCCTTTCGATTCATCGAATACCACATCTCGACTCACTATTATCTTCTTTGTTAGTGGATCAAGTAAGCGATATCCTTTTCATCCTGGTTTTGTCCCAAGATGAACAAATATCTGTGATCTGTCATCTAGTTTCTTCAAGTGAGGTTTGTCTACCTTTGCATATGTGATGAGGACATAGAACCACCAATACCTCAAGTTCCAAAAGTTAGGCTCGGCCCAACCACAATATCAGGAACCAAAGTCTTAAGGAAATAACTCAACAAAGCTATTGAGCATCTCTTCAGTTTAGAAGAGCCAGAAGATACGCCTATCTATCAAAGATCTAGTATTCAACTAGAAGACTTGGAGGATCCAAAAGCTTATGTTATACAAGACGGTCCAAGTATGTTGCCGTTTTCAAAGGAAGACAAGGGACTTTCCTTATTCGTGATCTCACCATATCAAGCCTAAGGCGCACCATACTCTAACCGATCCTCTACAACACACGCTCCATAAGTTCAAGTCAACAATTACCAAATCAGTAAGAGGCGTGAGAATACTAAGCAAGGTATGATTTATCATTATTATTATTTCTCTCTTTGTTTTGCAGGATTCAAATCGTGGTCAAAGAACATATTTTACTCTTGTAATTTCCCTTTGATTATGCATTGTTACCATTGTTAGTTTCCGTTGTTTATTTCTTTGTAATTTGTTTCAAAGACCCCAAGAAGGGCACAACTTTTTGGACTCACCTATAGAGTCCCCTCTCACAACATTGTATTATTTACCCTTGATTAATAAAGAAAACCCGTTTTTGCATAAGCAACTTATTCTTGAGTTCATCAAGAGATTGTGCAATTCAGTTCTCTTTGTGGCTTTAAGACTTATCAAATATTTCTTCCATCAGGCTTTGTGGCGTCTATCACTCCATAGTTACTTGTCTCCATCCCACCCCTTGGCCAGACTTGAGAGAGTTACAACCAGCAAGTCTAGTTTCATCTCGATCAAAATCAAATCCATCAACCGATCTAGCTGAGAGAGTTACACAACCAGTGGCTCGATCCCATCTCTATCCCTTGTAGCCCTAATCCAATTGGGGCTGCATCATCTGGTATCAGAGCCTAAAGGCTCCTGAAATCAGGTTGCATCTTTACCTTTTGTTTTTGCATTTGTTCTTCACTTTTTTTTGCCTTTGCATTCAATATATATATATATATATATATATACATCATATCATTGCTAATTATTTTAATTGAATTCATAATCTGAAAACAAAAATAAAAATTGTGTTTGAATTAATTTCCTCAATTTATCTTCGAATTTTGCCAGTTATAACAAAAAGAAAAAGGATTCTTGCATTCAACTTTCCTTATTTGTTTGAGAAACCGTGTGCTCTTGGGCGTGTACTAGATTTTAAGGAAAGTTTTTTCTTGCCTCTTTCACGAGACAGCCAAACAACCCTAAACCGACTCAAGCCGCCAAGAATACCTCTTTGCATTTGATCTTCTATCTTGTTTGATTTCAGGAACAACTATGGGAGAAAACGGAGACGTCGTCATGGCTCAACTCCTTGGTGCCATCCAAGGTATTGGAGGACGCCTAGATAGTTCGGAGCAGCCTCCACCGGCCGCAGGTGCGAGACAGAGGCCAATCCGACAAGTTCATGGACAGAACAACCAGGGAGGAGATGTAACCGATGAATACATGCCTTTATTGGAGGAAGATCCGCTATCAGCGCGTAATCCAAACCAAAGAAGACAAACTTACCAAGACGACGGACGAGACATAGATTGGTACAGAGGCCGAGACCGAGAAGAAGATGAGAGATAAGGCAGTAGAGATATCAAACTCTCTGCTCCAACCTTTGAGGGAAAGGTTAACCCGGAGGCTTACCTCGATTGGGAGAGACTGATTGAGTACATCTTCAAGTACTACCATTATAATGACGCAAGAAAGATCTCTCTAGCAGCAGCTCAACTCACTGATAATGCTCTTGCTTGGTGGGACCAAGATGTGTTCGAGAGGTGGCGTCATAGACATGTGTAAATCAATACATGGGATGATATGAGGTACAACCTGAAGAAGAGATATGTGCCATTATACTATCACCGTGACCTACAGAATAGGTTCAGGAAGCTTTCTCAAGGCTAGAGAACGATTGAAGAATACTTTTAAGAGTTTAAGACTCTCAAGAACCGATTGGAGCTTGAAGATTCCGAAGAAACCCTCATGGCGCAATTCATTGATGGATTGCAAGATAGAGTGGCGAGAAAGCTCGAGAGACAAACCTATCATGGCATGGATGACCTATTGCACTTATCCATTACATTTATCCATCCAAGCAGAGCAGCACATAAAGAGGAATACCTCTTTTATCAGCCGAAACAAGACAGCATGGACTCCACCGCCGCAAAGAAGCTTGGAGAAAGGAAAGTCTGTTGAAGCGGAGGCTCCCAAATACAAGAAGTTCACTCCATAAACTTTTAAGACACCAGAGCAAGTAAAAGTTCAGGCTGAACGAGCTCGACACATCACCTGTTTCAAATTCATGGGAAAGGGACATTATGCCAGAAATTGTCAAAACCAGAGAGTCATGATTCTTCGACCAGATGGAGGATATGAATCTCAATATGAGGTAGAGGCGACCCAAGTAATGTCAGAGGATGATGTGGTTGACTATCCAGAGACTGGAGAGCTACTGGTGACCAGAAGAGCTCTTAATGCGTTAGCCATAAACCATTCAAAGAAATAACATCTTTCACTCTAGATGCACTATCCAGAGCAAGGTATGTTGTCTGATTATTGATGGAGGCTAATGTACTAATGTTGCTAGAAAATATCTTATTGATAAGCTAGGTTTAGAAAAGACAAAGCACCCAAGACCCTACCGGCTCAAATGGCTCAATGACGAGACCGTGTTAAGGATAGCTGAGCAAGTTAATGTACCTTTCGCCATAGGCAAGTATGAAGATGAAGTAAAGTGTGATGTGGTACCAATGAAAGCAAGGCACCTTCTGTTGGGGCGACCTTGGCAATTTGACAAAGAGACCTTGCAAAATGGGCGTACCAACTTCTACAACTTCAACCCCATTGGCCGCAAGCATAATTTGGCACCTCTTTCCTCACAAGAGGTTCACGAAATGCAACAAGCCATGGACAAAGGCGCTAAGCTAAGTAAAACTAACTTGTTTGTTTCATTTAACACTGTTTTAAAATCATCAGTTCATCAAGAGCAAGTGCTACTAATGATCTTTAAAGAGAACATGTTTTCAAGTCAGGAAGAAAAAGAATTACCATCTGAAATCCAAAGTCTCATAGCCAAGTATAAGGACATCTTCCCAGATGATATACCAATCGGTCTACCACCTATAAGAGGGATTGAGCATCAAATTGACCTAGTACCAGGAGTGCCATTACCGAACCGACCAGCCTATAGAGTCAACACTAAAGAAGCTAAGGAACTACAGAATCAAGTTCAAGAGCTCATGTCCAAATGATATATCAGGGAGAGCCTAAGTCCTTGTGATGTAACTGTCTTACTAGTGCCAGAGAAGGATGGATCTTGGAGGATGTGTGTAGACTGCCGCGCTATAAAAAAAATTACCATCAAGTATAGATTTAAAGAGTGGTTATCACCAAGTCAGAATGAAGGAGGGAGACGAGTGGAAGACAGCCTTCAAAACCAAGAGGGGTTTGTATGAATGGCTAGTCATGCCTTTCGGCTTAACCAATGCCCCAGTACATTCATGAGGCTCATTGATGATAGGATTTGTGTGTGGGTGATATGAAATGATATGAGGTGGAATGCAAACAGGGGTGAATAAGAATGAAATGGTATGGAGCAATCACAATCAATCAATTCCTCTTAACCATCATAGTCGATGTAGTATAAGAGGTTATCAATCCATAAGGGTGAGATGTTGCTCTATGAGAATATGCAAACACAAGAAAGTCAAGCAAATGATTAAAAGGAGGGATGTAACAACTAAACAACCTAATATGAAATGAAATGCAAGCAAAGCAGTAAATAAAAGCAGCTAAATGCAAGAAATTAACAAGAACAAGCAGATGCAAGGGAGCTCGACCAATGAGCTCGATCGAGTTGAGGGTCGAGTTGGTGTAAAAACAGAGGAAAGCGAATGAAAAGCAATAAAGGTGCAAACTTTAAGATGCTAATGCGAAGATTAGGGTTAAAGACAGGGTTTTGCAGCTAAAGGGAGGCTATACTTAATCAGTCTTGCTCTTAAACAACTTGTACTCAAGCTATCTCTTGATATTGAGCTTCTCAATGCCTAGCTAACCCTTTCCCAAGGTGAAAGCTATCAACCAAGGCAAGATCTCAGAAACAGGGGGTTAGCCAGTGAGAATCAAGCCTTGGAGGCATAGGATCATTGCTCAAACTAATCCATCCAACACCTATGAACTCCATTTCGAGAGCAAGATATTGGAGCTCTTAGTGGACCTTTTCCAACGATTTCCATCACTTCCATGTGGAAAATCGCCTAGGACATACAAGCCAGGGATAGTGGTCATGTAGCCTTAAGGTTTGTCCAAAAGAGAGAGATTTCTAGATTAAGAACATAAAGCAAGAGAGATTAAGCATAAACAACCTCTAACCTATCCCATCTTAAACCCTAAAGGGAACTACTCACTACACATGATGAAATAAACAACCAAATGCAATGAAATAGACATCAAAAGATAGAGGAAGAAATAGAACAACTTTTATTGAAATAGAGAAGTGCAGAAATACAATAATAAAGCCTAGATCTAAGGTTCAATGAGCAAGAGCTCAAGAACACAAAGAGAGGCTAAAAAGTAAAAAGGGAAATGCAAATACAAGATTAATTAAAAGTTGAGCAAAAGCTGTCTTTAATTCGTGGCTCAATGCCATTTATAGTAAAGCAAACTAGGTTTAGGGTCAAAGGGGAGTCAAAGGGAAGCAACATTTTTCGGGTTTGACTTTGACTCCTGGAAAAGCAGCTCGATCGAGTTGGAAACTGGCCGGTCGAGCTGGTGGGTCGAGTCCAACCAATATCGTCGTATCTTCTGAACCGCTGGTCCGAATGACATGAAACCACCTCCAGACGAAAGCTAACTCAATTATCCACAACTTCCAAGAAGAAGTCAGAGGCTGAATCGGAGTGTAAACCCTTCATTTGATACGATACTTCGGACGCATCTCACTAGCTCGACCGAGTGCGGGTCCGTACATGGGGCAGACAGAGTCTTTCCTTCCTCAACTAGTCTCCAGTGATAGGCAATGTTCCAATTAGCTCCAAATGACCTGATTAAGACATCAAACGTGCATATGTATGCAAATGCAAGCCTAAAACTACTATGTATGCAAAAGAAGAGAAAAGGAACAAGATATGATGCTGGATGCTAAAACTATGCAAAAGATGCATAAAAGAAGTACTAAAACTATGTAAAATGCAAGTACATCAACACCCCCAAACTTACCTTTGCTTGCCCTCAAGCAAACAAATAGAACAAGAAAGAGATGAGGTTTGAAAACAAGTTGATTCAACCTTAAAAACATGTCCTCAAAAGCGATTTGCTAAATGTCCAACTTAGAGATTCTAGAATGCAACAAGGTGAGAGATATTCATTAAGATTTTAACCATGCTTATCAACATCAATCCCACTTCACAGTCACTCAAACAATGCATTCAAATCAGCAAATCCCTTTAACATTCATTAAGTAAAACAGTGAACCAAAAACATGCAAGATCAATCAACTCATTTGGTTTAAGGGTTTATGGGTTAAGAGACAAAGAGGGTCTCTTTTGAGTGTTGGTGGTTTAGTAACAGGGATCTCTCAAGAAAGTGGCTTTGCTTTGGCAGAAGGCTAAGTGTTAGAACCAAAGATGATGCAAGAGCAGCAACTCGAGCCCCTAATCCTAACTCGATCGAGTTCAACACTTAGAGAGAACAAAATCCTAACTACCCTTTTTGGCATTTCGCCTTTGAAACAGAGGAGCTTTGCTCACTTTTCTTTTAAGAACAACCTAGGGAGAGGCTTCTTGAGGTAACATCTAGCGGTTTGGGATTTCTAAACACTTAGGGAACTTTTCTTCCTTTTTGACACTTGAGGCTTTGCCTTCTTTTCTTTCTACTTAGAACCCTTTTTACTTTCTTTTTAACTTCCCAAACCTTTACTAGACCCTTTTTAACACTGCCAACTCCCTGGACTTAACTAAACTCTTTTTCCTTTTGGATTTTCCCAACTTTTACCACTTTTCTGGTTTTTACAAACTCGATCGAGCTCGAGTTGGCACCCCCAAACTTAGCCTGAAAACAATCCCAAGAGAACTAGACAACTAGAACTACTGCCCCTGCCGGTTTAAACACAACACCTTATGCTAAGCAAAGCCAAGAAAGGTTCTCACAATCGCACAAGAGATAATATGGGGTTTGAAATGAAAAAGGCTTAGGTTTAAGGTGTGGTAACTGTCTCAAAGATGGAGATCAGCTATCTGGACAAGCAAGAGGGATATGAAAATAGGTAAAGAATGTCCAGATATGTATGTGGTAGCCATGAGTTGAAATCAAATGCAAGCATTGGTAATTAAAGATCAAGTTATGGTTCAAATAGATAGGGAAATGCATCAAATCACAGCAATGGTTGAATGAGATGTGCATGCAGTGATATGATCAAGATAAACATGGTTCTTGTTGTTCAATCAATCTCACCCTAATGCACAAAAGAATCTAGAAATAGGGCACTTAAGAAATCGCAAATGATGAACAAGTTTTCAAGATCAAATCAATGCACAACTAAAACAGAGGTGAATGATGCAATCCTAAACAATCTAACAAATATGAATGCAAAAAGATGAAAATATTTTTGGATTTTTGAAAATTTTATGATTTTTTTGTGTTTTTCTATGCAAATAGATGAATGAAAAACTAAGAACAGAATAAACAAGGTTAAATCATCTCTTGAACCCTCCCCCAAACTTAAATCACACAGTCCCTTGTGTAAGAAAGAGAGAAAAACAAAGAAAAATGCATGAAAATGAGATGGTATGTACAAGGGAAGAAACGTTTGATACCTTAGTGCTCCCCAAAGAACTGGGAAGCAAGGTCATGAGTTGGAGAGGGCAGGAGACAATAGCATCATAACGGCATCAATCGAGCCAAAATAGGTGTGGTGGGATTGGGCTCGATCGAGTCTGTGGCTCGAGTCAGAATAGCTTCCCTTTTGAACTAACTCCTGCAAGACTTAGACAGAAACAACTACAAAGAACTTAAATGAAAGCATTATATACAAGATAGACATGGGAATTCCTCCCAAGTGAGCTTGTTTTAGGTCGCATAGCTTGACCTTTTACCTTTTAGGCATGAATGAGAGCGGTCCCACCATCAAATGTGACAGTAAGGACTGAAGATAGGAGCTCCTTGAGCTTGGTTTGATCTTTTTGAAGCTCAGGACTGACCAAGGCATTGATACTGGAAAAGGGTTTAGACTTTCCCTTGCACTTGATCTTGTACTCAATCTTCCCATTTGTGAACTTGGATGGCAACAGAGTCAGGGTAAGCTGGGATGGAGCGCTTGAGAGAGTCTGAGGCGTGATCATCTTTTTTTTGTCCATAGACGCCTTCAAAGCCATACCCTCCCCATCTTTTTGAGCACTTCCTAGCTGCTCACTAAACAAAACTGCAAGACCCATCTCATCCAGAACACAAGGTTCACAAATAACTGGCTCTGTGCTGCTCACAGTCATAATCTCCATCTTTTCAACCTCAGCAAACTCAGCAGACTCATCACCTTGATGCTCAGCGACTTAGTGGCAATGGTTCCACAATATTTAGAGCTTGATGCCTTGAGAGGGTAAGAGACTTTGCTGTTGACATTGTGCAAGATGACTTTCTTTGTATGGAAATCAATGGAGGCACCAACAGTGGTGAGGAAAGGTGTCCCTAAGATCAATGGCACATCCTTCTCTTCAACCATATCCAGAACTGTTAGATCAATTGGGATTGTGCACTCTCCAATTCTCAAAGGGAAATCCATGACAATACCAAGTGGGGCTTTAGAAGAAGCATCCCCAAACATGATAGAAGACTTAGGTCGCTGGATCAGACTCTGTATACCCAACTTCTGTATTAGAACAAGAGAGATCAGATTGATACTTGCTCCAGAATCAACAAGTGCATCCTCAAGTTGTAGGTGACCAAGTGTACAAGGCAGAGTGAAGCTTCCCTGACCATTCAGCTTGGGTAGTGAGGTTGGTGTGGATAAGAGATCACCCTGGGAAGAAGAGGGCTCCAAAAGCTGAGCTACTTGTCCTTGTTATCAAGTATGTCCTTAATCATCTTCTTTTGGACATGAGCAGCTTGCATACTTCCCATATTTGGTAGCTCAACCCCAATCTTACTCATGTCATTCCTAAACTTGGTGATGACTTTTTCTGATTCTTGGTAAGGATTCTACTTGGAAATGGAACAGGGGGCTTGTAGGTGTCATCATCAGATGGTGTTGGAACATAGAGCATCTGACTCGATCGAGCTGGTGAGACGGTCTGGCTCGATCGAGTTGCTGATTGAGCTTGTTGTGCGAGCTCAACTGGTGAAGCGTGGATAGCTATCTGAGGAGCTTGCACTTCAGGTTGAGCGTACTGGACTCCAGGAGCATCAGCAACAACATTGTCTTCATTATTAAGCAGCATACAGATCTCCTCAATATCCTTCTCATTAGCAGCTTGTTGATCAAATCCTTGCTCTTGAGTGAAGATCACTTTACAATGCTCCTTTGGATTTTGAACAAATTTCCAGGCAATTGACCTTGCTTAGCAGCAGAAGAAGAAGCATGGTGTTCCAAAGAGTGAACTTCTAGTGTTTAAGGACTCAATCTTATAGTTCATCTCAGCCAACTTCTTGCTTGTGTCTATAGCACCATCAGCTTGACCTTGTAAGAGCTGCTTCAACATGACTTTTATTTCTTGTTCCTGACTTGGTGCAGCCTGAGGCGCTTGATGATAACATAGAACCACCAAGACCTCAAGTTCCAACAGTTAGGCTCGGCCCAATCACAAGATCAGGAACCATAGTCTTAAGGGAAGAATTCAACAAAGCTATTGAGCATCTCCTCAGTTTAGAAGAACCATAAGATACGCCTATCTATCAAAACTCTAATATTCAACTAGAAGACTTGGAGGATCCAAAAGCTTATGTTATACAAGAGGGTCCAAATATATTGCCGTTTTCAAAGGAAGACAAGGGATTTGCCTTATTCGTAATCTCGCCAAATCAAGCCTAAGGCGCACCATACTCTCAACAATCCTCTACAACCCAAGCTCCATAAGTTCAAGTCAACAATTACCAAATCAGTGAGAGGCGTGAGAATACTAGCAAGGTATAATTTATCATTATTATTATTTCCCTCTTTGTTTAGTAGGATTCAAACCGTGGTCAAAGAACATATTTTACTCTTGTAATTTCCCTTTGATTATGCTTTGTTACCATTGTTAGTTTCTATTGTTTATTTCTTTGTAATTTGTTTCAAAGACCCCAAGAAGGGCACAACTGTTTGGACTCTCCTATAAAGTCCTCTCTCACAGCATTGTCTTATCTCACAGTATTGTATTATTTACCCTTGATTAATAAATAAAACCCGTTTTTGCATAAGCAACTTATTCTTGAGTTCATCAAGAAATTGTGCGATTCAATTCTCTTTGTGGCTTGAAGACTTATCAAATCTTTCTTCCATCAAGCTTTGTGGCGTCTATCACTCCATAGTTACCTGTCTCCATCCCACCTCTTGGCCAGACTTGAGAGAGTTACACAACCAGTAAGTCTAGTTCCATCTCGATCAGTTTCATATCCATCAACAGATCTAGCTGAGAGAGTTACTGATGTGAGTCAGATTTTACCAAACTCTTTAGACCTCTGGAAGTGCACAGATTGCGAAAGTATGGGTATAGAACACAAGGACTAGCTATTGAGTACACTTTGAAACTATGGATTTTGGATCAAGCTAAAAAAAAGTATGATTGAGAGGTTGTAACTGTAACTAAAACTAGCAAGTAAACTAGCAAGTAAACGCTAGGCCAATAGGGGCTAATCGCAGAGAAGCAAGCAATGATCAATGAAACAATGATAGATGATATGATGTGGGATATGGGGATTTTAAAACCGTCTAGAACACAGATCATGAATATAAAACGTTTACACTTTCGAGGCTCCGGTTCCTTTGTTAATCTACCTAGTCGTTAAACTTTTGGTATGTCTCTAGGTGATTAAATCAAGCATTAGATCGAGCGGGTTCCGATACAGTTCACTAGGTTACAGTAAATCAACTTTCTCAGTCTAAGAAACCTAGCTTGTCAAAGAATATGTCCGGCGAATGATTCAGCACTTTCGTGGCTCAAGTCAACCTAAAATCGGATTACTAGATGCACGGTAAAACAATCAACATTAATTAAGTGAGCAAGACGAGACAAAGACTCTAAGATAATCCCTAGCTAAACATCGAATTCAAAGATCATGCTGCGATAGTAACCCTAGCAACCTAACTAATGGATTACTCAGACATGATCAAAGCAATAACACAAAGAGATAAAGAAATCATCATAGATAGATAAAGGTTTAGAAAACTTCTCCAAATTGAAGTGAGGAGGAGAGATCTTCTCCTTGAAATCTCTAGAACAAAACTCTAAGTGTAAAATCGTGATACAATATGCGTCTCTCTCTCTCAAGAGGCTAAAAAGTTGTATTTATAGTACTAGGTCTTCAGAGGCAGCATTAGGTTAAGTCGGGCCGTGAAAACATGTGAAACAGGCTTCAAAACGGGCTTCGGGTCGACCGGACCGTTCGAACGGTCGGTCAGGACGTTCGGCCGGCTACTGGGTGATGATCGGCTATCGGCACGGTCGGGTCGATCGTGGCCGAGAGATTTCTCATTCGGTCGTCGGGTTCGGCCGGACGGATGATAAGGCTTGAATGTTCTGGCTGGACGAGGGACAAAGCCTTCCTGGTCGGACGGTACGATCGTGCGTGCGGCATGGGTCATGTTGCGCGGTCGTGAGGCAATGCCTTCCTGTTCGTGCGGTGCGGTCGTGCACGGCTTATGGTGGTGAAACTTGGACATGACGACTGTGGGTTGTTGCTTTCCGGGTCGGTGCGTGAGCTCGGCCGTGCACTAGGCGGGAGTTCGGACGCGGGTCGACCGTGGGAGGATAGTTCTTCGGTCGGCCGGTGCGCGCGGTTGGAACGCGGTTGCTCGGTTTAGCTGTCTGGACCAGTCTTCACTAAATTGATCATAACTTCATTTATACTCATCCAAATGATGCGATTTGCTAATAATATATGCAGATTATTGGAGACAAGCTTACATGAGGTCTACAGAATGGTGCACGTGGAGCCGTCGGCCGGGGAGCCTTTGAAGATGTAGAATCCTCCGTTGTAGAATTGTCTTGTAACAGTTCTCATATTTGTCTAATAGATTAGTCAATCCAGTGTTAAAAAAAAAATGATGCCAATCCACTTGCGTTGGAAATTTAACTCACTCAGGGCACGTGGCGAAGTGGTCTTGATGAAATCCATTGAGTAGATCTTTTTCTGGGCCCTCTTAAAGTTAATGCTTGGTATGGAGCGGCTTGAAGTGCAAATCCTATGGTTTTGCTCCAAAATGCATCATTTCACCTGTTTAGACTCTAGACACTATAAACACAGTAAAACTACCTTTTTAGATAGAAAACCTGCCAAAAACCATTAGAAAACAATACTAAAATAGTATAAAAAGCATGTAAAATAGAGGTATATCAACTCCCCCAGACTTAGATCTTTGCTTGTCCCCAAGCAAAAGAATCTAAATCCGTGAAAGAGGTTTGAAAACGTGGAAACTCCCTTGCTCTTTTGAATATCCTGTGAAAGGTTCCTTTCCTGTATTCCACTATGAACATAGGCAACATAAGGTTAGCTTCACATACACCCTGCAAGTTTAGCGAACAATACCAACCCAACTAGTCTCATCCAGCAATCCAAACTCTCTATTGCTAACCTCTTGCATAAATTTAAAGCGTGAGTTCTTTATCAAGGGAACATCGATCAATTGAACTTGTTCTTACCCACTTGATCTCTCCAAGATTGTCTTTGAAGTGCAATGAGTTCTTTTCCTCTCTCTTTCTCACATCAGAACTTTGAAAGGTCAATTTCTCCCTACTTTTCTAGGGTATCATTTTATTTTTTCTATTGACCCTTCTTTCAACCACAGGATAAGTCTTTAGCTTGTTCCTTGTTTGACTAAGGTATTCCATAAGACATGAAGGTACAGACATATGCATTCCTCATGCTTACTTGTTTTCCTTGTGCTCTTTGAGCTTTTTCTCATAAATTTTACCATTTGGGATGGGAGAGAGAGGAGAACTGCTTTAAAGGTTAGACAAATCTTATTGAAAATCAAGCAAGGAACTGTCGACATGTATGCCAATCCCCTTGACAAGAGTATTAAGATTGATTAAGGTGAGGTTAACTCTAGATTGCTTGGTTACCTTAGAAATTTTGCTGAGCTAGCATGTCGATCCACTGTAAGAGCTTCTGTTAGGCTTGTGCCTTTAGCTGATTTCTGCTCTAGGGTCATGGATTGTTAGCACAACACTCTCAATTCTCAAAGCAAGTTCATAACTTCCGGACTGGTTTTTGACTCAATAAAACTTTTTGAAAAACATGAAACAAAAATAAAACATAAGAAAAGAAAGAAAAATGCATTAGTAACACAATAAAACTCCCCCCAGACTTAACTTGCACCGTCCCGGTGAAAGCAAATCACATTAAGGTGAGAGGTAATATTCAAAGTAAAAGAAAAATAAAGAAATTCATTAAAATGAGATAGGGATAGAAAATGGAGATTTGTAAGTGTCCATTGCACTAAGTACCACTTGAGATGACTATGTGTGGCAGTGAGAAGAACTCTCTTCCTCATCTATGGGGTCATCGCCTTCTGAACCAAGCTCTGAGTCTAGTGAGAACTCACCAAGGTCAGGCTCATATGGCTCTCTAGCGGTGGAAGAAGGGCGAAAGAGTCTCTCCGGTGCAATGTGGCGAACTACACGAACTAGGCGTGAGATGAAGCGAGATTGGCACTCCACATCTTCTCCAGCTTGCTCACACGGTCTAGAGCTTGGTGCGCGGCCATGCCAGGTGAGAACATGGCGTTCTTGGTGGCGGCGTTGAGTCTTGACTGTGCGCTGAAGTGTGCGATAGGTGAGGATGGGGAATGATGGTTTCTCACTTGATGGAACATAGAAGTCTTCCTCCTTGGGCTGGAAAGTGACAACACCTGAGCGTAGGCTTGGGATATCTTCATGTGGCAGCAAGACAAGGAAGTGTTGGTTGGTCCAATTGGAAACTCATAGCAAAACTTGGTTGGGTTTTAGTCCAACGGTTTAGGAAGTGGATTTGCTGAAGGGCATGGAGATCCAAAGGGGTTGGCTTGGGTAGTGGCTCATAGTTGGGAATGTCAATCCCCACATGTTGTACTATGGCCGTGATAAGTCTCCCAAAACGACACAAAGCTTCTTGTTGCCTTCCAAGTCTTGAGCTAGATTCCTCACATTGATGAGTGTCTTGGCAACAAAAGACCAAGGTTGGCCTTGTACTCATGCTTGATGAATGGTGTGGTGAGGATGTAGAACTCATCAGTTGTGACCTTGTTGGCTTCTTGTTTGCATTGGAAAGTGGTGGAGATGAGGCGGTGCACATAGCGAATGGCTGGATGAGTGATTCTAGACACCTTTGATCTTGAAGGCAAGAATGGTTCATTGGCAAAGTGTGTCCAATCAGCAAAGGCAGCTTGTTTCCTCTTTGAGTTCTCCTTGAAGTCATGTGCTGTCTCATTGGGAAGTCCAAAGAGTTGGCATAGAGCTGAGATGGAGATGCGCCCATTGGCATCGCCTATCTTGAAGAGTAGGAGTCCATCACCAGCTGGTTGGTCTCCATTGTGGTTGGGAAAGGCAAGAGCTACTGTGGAGAGGAACTCCTTGGTGAGTTGTGAGTACTCACTGCACTCTAGCTTGAAGAGCTTGCTCAAGCCTAGCTTCCTTATGTACCATGTGACATCATCTCTTATCTTGAGAAGATCAAGGGTTTGGGTGTCCATCTTCACACAAGGTTCGATGTTCACCTTCTCCATTGCCTTCTTGCACTTTCTTGGGTCTTGGATTTGTTCTCCAACAAAGTTACAAGTGCCCAATCATCTTCTCCTCTTGGACTCTCCACATGTTCTTGATTTGCATCAATGGAATGTGGTGAGTTGGTATTGCTGCTCTTGCATTGGAGCTACTACTCCCTAGCTTGATTTGTTTCTTGGTGGTTGCATGAATGGGTCTTCTTCTTCTTCATACTCTCATTTCCTTTTGTCTTGCCATTGGGTACCTACAAGAGCAAATTCTTGGGAAGAGACATGAGTTTGTGATTAATGCAAAAGAAAGAATAAGCTAATTGAGTTGCAATAATGATATGGAATGGAACAACTCAAGGCTTAATCATGAATCAAAGAAACAAAATGGAAATTTCACTTTTCAAAATTAATTTTCGGATTTTACTGTTCATCCAAGATTATGGTGCTTAAAATCAAAATTTTTAGCAAATCAAGAGAAATTGAGTTTCTAATCCAAGTAATCACTAGATAAACTAATGAATTGAAGTATGCCTAAGCAATTTCACCTTTGAATAAGGGGTTTGGAATGCCCAATAAGTTTTGTGAAAAACTATTCAATTGTGAAATTAAACTTCTAAATTAACTCTAAACCACCTAGGTTCCACCTAGCTAAGTTCATTACAAGACTAATAAGATGTAATTTCAAGTTTAGACAAGAGTTTAGACCAAACAAGAAACTTATTGAATTTTCGATCTTGCATAAACATGAGGATTAGAGTTAGAAGACATACCTTGTGTGTTGAAAAGTGAATAAGGTTGCAAGAGCAAGTAAATTCCAATTTAGAGTTATGAACAGTAAAAGTTTTGAAATCAAAGCTCTTAGAGTTCCTCTAATGGAGTTTAGGGTTTTGGAGAAGAAAGAGAGGTTCTTGTTGTTTTCAAGGGAAAGGTAAAGTTATAAAGTTCAAGTCCAATTAAATTCCTTTTCAAATTCGAATTTTGATTGAAAACCGGTTTAAGTTGGTTTAATTGGTTAAAACCGGTTTGAATCTTACCTTGGCCAAGGTTTTCGTCCGATGTTTGTCGGTCGGCCGATGTTCTCGGTCGAACGTGAAATTTCGGCCGAGGGAAAGCGTTTGCTTCCCGGATCGACCGGTACGGTCGGTCCGTTCCGTCATTTGGCCGAGCGCGGCCTGTTCTTCCTGTTCGTGCGTGTGCGGACGACTTGTCACGCGATAGTATCGTCCGGCCGAGCACGGTCCATTCTTCCCGGCTCGACCGGTACGGTCGGCCGGTTGGAATTTTCTCGGCCAATTTTACTTTGCGCGTCCGCGGTGACGTTTTCGACGGATTGTGTTTTTCACACCTTTTTCTCCTTCTATCCTATCTTAAAACAAAGAAAACACAAAAGCAAAACAAAAACTAAGAAATTAAAGAAAGAAAAGAAAAGTACCTCATGGGTTGCCTCCCATGCAGCGCTTGTTTTAAGTCTTTAGCTTGACTGTAAGGCTTGGTGCTCAGGAGAAGATGGAGACAGAGGCATCCTTGATCCTCCAAGTCTTTTCTCCTTGCACAATGAGTATCTGGTGGGTGATTCACAGCTGGATAGACAATCTCTCCATGAATGTCCCTTGGTACTGCCTTAGGAAAAAGTTGTAGAGTTCTTGTCAACTTTCTCCTTGAATCCTTCTAGATTCTCATCAATAAGCTCCTTTGGGAATAGAAGCTTCATGTTGCGGCCAGACCTAGGCTTTCTATCCTTCCTTCTTGGCTTGGCCTCATCTTCAATCTTGGATGATCCCTTGGGCGGTTTTGGTGTAGGGGCCTTAGTCTTACTCCTTGCTTGTGGCAAGCTGCTTGGGCTTAGGAATGGGATCTTCCTTGATTGTCTTCAGTTTCTTCTTTGGGGTGGCTTCAAAGTAGCTTTCTCCTCTTGGACCATGTCAACAAAAGAGTTCTTTGTTGAACACATAGGGAAGAACATACCCTTGTTCACCTTGTTGAAAGAGATTCTTTGATTGGGGAAATCAAATATGGCACCCACAGTAGACAGGAAAGGGGTTCCAAATATGAGAGGTCTATGGCTACTCTCTCTCATTTCCACAATCTGGAAATCGGTAGGGATAGAGCAATTTCCAATCTGCACCATCACATTAGGCACAAAGCCATAGGGGTTTGTGAGAATGAATCAGCATAGTTGATGGAGATGGATGATGGCTCTATCTTGGTGAGGCCTATCTTGTCAGCTATCCTCTTAGACATGATGTTCACATTGGCTCCTGTGTCACACAAAGATTGCTCAAGAATGTTACCTTTGATGATACAAGGCACAGCAAACTTTCCTGAGTTATCAGTCTTGGGGATAATCTTTGGGAAGAGTCTTCTCTTTCTAGCTCGATTGGACTCTCTCTCTGGGTAATTCTCTTCAGGCCAAATCATGCAATCAACAGTAGGTTTTGAAAGCATCCATTCTGGAACTTGGTCTTCAAATCTTTCTTCTATGGCGGCTGAGTTGCAAAAGGACTTCTTGGATTCAGCTTCCTGTCTCTTAACAGCTTCCATAGTTTGGTGACTTGAGTCTCTAGTTTCTTCACATGAGTGGCAACAGCATCATACTTGGTGTTGAGATTGCTGAACAAAGTGTCCATCTTCTCATACATCTCTTTGTATTCTCTTCTGGCCATCCATGATCTGTTGGAGGATTCCTTCAAATCTCCCACCTTGTTGGTTTGGAGGAGCTTGATTTGGTGAAGAAGCATATGGCTCCTTGGGCGGATATGATGATATATACCTTGCCTTGGCTGAAATTGACTTCCTTGAGATTGGTAAGGAGGTCTTTGTTGTTGTGGATACCTTGGAGGATACACTTGGTCTTGAGGATTCTCCACATTGGGGTTTCTATAAGACATGTTGGGGTTTGGGCGATAGCTTGGATTGTATCCCTTGTTCCCATAGTTTCCAATGTAGTTCACATCTTCTTCATTGGCTTCATTAGAGAAATCTCCCATGCATTCTCTTGATGGGTCTTCATTCGCATCACTCATCCCTTCTATTGCATTGATATGCTTGAGCTGTCCCTTAAGAACTTGAGCCATCATGTTCTTGAGTTCAGTCATTTGAAAAGAATCAGGGGAGCTAGTAGTGGTGCGGCTTGAGCGGTCATAATCAGGACAGTTGTTACAATCACTAGCTGCAAGATTCTCAATAAGAACCTTAGCTTCATCAATCTTGGTCATGAAGTTTCCATTGCTTGCAGTATCCAATGAAAGCTTGTACTTGTGGTCTATGCCACGATAGAAGATGTTCCATAGGTTTCCCTCATTGAAACCATGATTAGGGCAGTCCCTAATGTACTCCTTGAATCGATCCAAGGCTTCATAGACTTTAACAAGCGCTTTATCATCGTCTGTCATTGTAGGTCTGAGACTTTAGATAGCGGTTTTTTATATTGCTATCGTGCCATCAGTTAATATAGCGCTTCTGTATATGATATCGTATATTCTACGATAGCACATGAATTGTGTTATCAATGTTATTCAGAACAATTTGTTTATTTTTTAATTTTATATTTTTAATTCTGAATTTTGGATTTTAAATTTTGAATTTTGAATTACGAAAGCTCCAAATTTATTTTACAAAAACAAAAAGATTTTTTTTTTTATAAAAACAACAATAATTTACAAATACATGTTTTGTCATGCTAAATTATACAGAAATCTACTATACACGGATTATGAACAGATACCTTTAGAGTATCTCCAGCGGCAGTATCATATGGATCTCTCAGAATTAAAGAAAAATAAAAAAGGGTGAAAAGGAGGAGAGAGAATGTGATATGTCTCTTTATCACGAGAATGTATCAGGAAATATGAGAAACTCTGCATGATGTGGCATTATATAAGTGGCTGAGCTTTTCATTTATTTTAAATTTATTTATTTTTCTAAATTATATTAATTTAATATGTATCTGAGACTCTTTTTAGTATATCACCCGCTGGAGATGCTCTTACAACAAGAATAATAAACTTTTTAAATGAAACCCTAAAGAAATACTCAACTAATCCCTTGTGTACCAATGCCGCCAAGCCCATAAAATCTTCGAGCAAGTGAGCTTTTTTCATTGTAGCAGGAACGACTACAACACCTAAATTCTTTTTTGCACAAGATTATTGCAATTCCTCATGAGTACACTCAAAATTGATATAATGAAAGAAGTCAAAGAACCAAACTATGGAAAGAAAAAGAACACATGAATCTCATCGATATAATGAAAGAACCTATGAAAAGAAAATATGAATAAAACAACATGAGGAACCAAATCGATTCAATCCTAGATACATAAATCTCATCGCTTAGATCTTAAATCTCACAGATATACATAAATCACTTTGATCCTAATCAAATAAATCCAGATCCAGATTATGCAATCAAACAGAAAACAATGAATCCCAAAACTTATGAAAACATTTCACCTTGGAATCCCTAAAGAGATCTACTCATATATTGGATAAAAAAATCTTTGAATCGATTAATTTCTTTTGAAAGATGAATATGAATTACCCAACAGCGCAGGATCAAAACGATGTTTCGCTGGAATAGCTCAAAACACCACCTGCGATTTCCCTATTTCTCAAAACTCCGCATGCGAAATCTGCAACATTCTAAGAAGAGAAAACTCCAAATTGAAGAAAATCCAAGCTTTTGACCCTCGATCCAGCAAAAATCGGCCCAGTAAAACTCGAAACCAACTCAAATCTTACAAAAATGAGAGAGATGAGAGCGCTAGAGAGATGAGGCACGAGGGAGTGAGAGAGTGGAGGCGTGGATACTGGAGTGAGAGAAGAAAAAAATTATTAGGGTTAGGAGTGACAAAGGAGGGTATTTTAACAATAAAATTATTATTAATGAATATATTTTATAATTTTAAAAGTTGGTACAATTACTTTTGGCAGACAATAAAAAATGTAATTGGTGGCTAACCTATGATGACGTTTGTATTTCGTATGTGCTATTACAAAACGATTAGAGAATTAAAAGTTGGGCGCGACCATTTTATTTTTTACCGGTCAACATGGTGGGTTCGGAAAACCACACTCAAAATTTATGCCTGTGGAATCAGAGGTTAGATTCTGATGTAAGTCGAATGATTCGTAGACAAATATTTGACGAAATCGGACTTAGGCTAATCGAATAAAGTGGTTACAAAACCGGCCTAAAAGACCATGTAAAACACTAGGATTCGACTAAGCAAAAGAGATGGAAATGAGGTGGTGGCTGCGCTCGTTAACGAGCTGCCTACGTACCCTGTTTTAGGGATCAAGCCTGGACGTAGTTCGATTGTAAGTTGTTCTCTATTTCGAGTCGTTTTCTGAAGAGAAATGACCACGAAAAGAGCTAAAGGGGTGTGAAGATGACGATAAATCTCAGGTTATCGGAGTGATCCGAAGGTAAGAGATTATGTCGAACTTCTGCCGGAAGTGATTTCCGGCTAGAAAGATCAGGGCTTTCTGGGATTATCTCAAAGATCAAGGATAAGATCGAAGAGAAAAGATATGAGAATATCTCAAGACGAAGAAGAAGAACTTCACTCTGTTTCTGCTGTGAAAAGATGATGAGAAGAACTTGTGTAGTGATTTTCGATCAAAAGAATGTCCAAAAGAACATTCTGCCTTGTGATCAAGAATCGTCCTCTTTTTATAGCTCCGAAGTAGATCGCAACCTCCTCCGCGTATCTCGTCCACGTGCAACTACCGATCCCGCTATTTCCGGATCTGAACAGTCGAAGCGAGATTCTCGTTTGACTCGTTCAAACTCAGCTTGCGGACTTGACTCCGTCGAGCTAGAGCTCGACTTCGTCTTCACAAGTAGCTCGGACAGTAAACAGCTGGATTTTGGACAAGGATACTTGGTGGGCTCGAGGTCATTTTACTGGGCCTGAGTGGACTTATCTTGATCTTAGGACTTAGGTGATGGGCCTTATGGGCCGGATTTCTGGAGGGAAATCCAGGTCCAACAATAGCCCCCCAGCTCATTAAGTGAGTATAATCAACTTAATGAGCGGTAGGTTGTTTTAAAATTGTCCCGCAGTCCCGTCGAACTAAATCATGACTTTGAATAGTCATTAGAGATCGACGGTCGCAAACGGGAAGGCGAAAGATCTTAAGATCTTGCCGTTGAATGATAGTTTCACCTTGAAAGACAAGGTAATAACTTATTCTTTAGATCGACAATCAAGATCGAAAATAGATCGAAGAGCTATTATGATCTTAAGAGTCGAGCTTTTCGAGAGTAATGAAAACCTTAGGAGAAGATTTGCGATTATCAACTCTTTCAGATTGTTTCTCGAGAAGGCTTTTGGTTTAACTAACTCAAACATTGCGCGAGCTCTTTTTGAGTTAATCGATTGTTTTTCGAGTTCGACCAGTTGTTGATTAAATTCTTTAATCGAACTTGGTCGCTTTAAGTCGGATTGTTTTTCCGGACTCGAACTCGAAAAACGATACGACTAAATGAATTTTAGTCGGTTTGTTTGACTAATTCTCGCATAAGATTTTCGGTTGACCGTGAAATCTAGCAGAAAAGACTTTGCCAACTCTTCTGAAAGTTGCTTCAAGTTAAACTGATTTCTTTTTGAAATTTCGAGTCAAACTTGGCATGATTTCGACTAAGTATTTGTTTTATTTAGGTCGAGCTAAATAAAACTAGTCTTTGGTTCGAATGTTATTTTGACCAAACGTTCGAGCTTATCATTGAGCTAAGCTGAACAAAGACTTAGTCAATATCTTTGAAGATATTTTAAGGTCGGGTTAGAATCTATTGAGAATCTAGCTCGATCTTGAAGATGTTCTCGAGTTTTAGCTCGAGAATTTGGCTGAGTGCTTGACTGCCATTCAAATCAGACTAGGTGAGACTTAGTTGATTTCTTGGGATCATATAAGATCAAGCAAGAATCTATTTAGAATCGAGCTTGACAGATGGTATATGTCCCGAGCGAACTTCGAATCGAGCTCGATGCTGCGATAGAGAAAGTTTTTCGCTGTAATGACTTGGGCGAGTCATATGTTCTGTTCGGACTTAATACCTGTGAAGGCTTTCATCCATTTTTAGCAACAAAATTTTGTTTGTTACTGTTTTTCGCCGCGTTCCATCTGTTACAGATTAGAGCCCGACTTCGAGTATCCCACCTCTTGGAAGAGAGAAGATTTCTCGCGAGCTAACGTTTTGTGAACGATCTGCAAAGTCGGCTGCCGCTCGTTGTGAGCAAGCAATCCAATCTGAGCTAATGGAGTTGTGGAGATTGTCCATGTTGCGGTCGAATCTACTCTTCGTGATGAAGTAGTAGGTCGGGTTCCTCATGCTGCTACTGGGGATAATACCCAAGTGACTCATTTGAGACAACTATCTCGAGAGTCGAATAGCGAACAACGAGGATGGAGCTCGAAATGAGCAAGAGATGATAATCGGACTCCGAATTTGTCGAGCTCCTTGAAAAAGCGAGTTAACTCGACGGCGAGTCCGTCATCCCTTTTAGTAATAGATTGTTCGAAGGATGTGCCAGTTTTGGATAATCCTTGAACGTTCATGTTGCGCCAATGCGGGCCTGCTGCAAATCAATCTCCAGTTTTGGATATGACGCTCGAGAGAGAGCTGTATGCGGCAGCGATGGCGGCGGATGAGAAGGTATGGTTTTACCTTTTCTAAGTTTTTGCCAATGATTTGATATCTTCGGACTTAATATTTGCTGTCTCTCTTATCAATCTTTGAAGGTTAACATGAAGCTCTCTGCTCGTTGTGAGCAGAGGTTACATGAAGCTTCTCGGTAATACGAGCTTGATAAGATGAAACACCTGGTAGATGAGCTCGATACTGAGCTCAAATATTCGAGAAATAGAGTAGCTCGTCAAAGCGACTTGCTTAAATTTTGGCTTGCTAAGGATGAGCTCTTTTCTCGTTTAAGTTTCGAACAAGTTAGCTCGGCAAGGTTTTCATGCTTTGCGTTTGGATTTGGTGCCTGGAAGGCTTTTATCCTTTTATGTTCAAACTTGTTTGCTCGGGATGAGCTTGATATTTGATAATTTTTCTTAGACGTTTGATGTCTTAGAGTTTATCTTTGTTTTCCAGATCAATTGACTGTTAGCTCGATTGTTCGAACATTAGTCGTTTTGGTTTGATTGGAGATTTGACCTAGCGTGTAAGCTAACTGGTCGGACCGGATGAAGCTCAGTTGATCTCTTTTGAGAATCGTATAAAGTTGAGCTAGTTTCTTTTCGAATTCCAGCTCGAGCTTTTAACGTGTTGAGCTTCAACTTGGAAGGTTGAGTCGGGTTGAGCTAACCTCTTTCGATTGAAAACGACTGATTTTAGATGATCGTCTGAATTCAGTAGGTGGTTCTACACAATCAGCACTCGAGCTTCATCTTTAAAGATTACTTTAAGTCGAGGTGATTTCCTTTCAGACTTTCAGTCGGATTCGACCGGTGTTTGCCAATTGCGTGATTTTGTAGATTAATCTACATGATCGGCAATTGGGCTTGATTAAAGAAAGACTACTCGGGGTTGAGCTGATTTTCTTTAAGATTATCAATCGGATTCGATCGATGCCAGTTGTGTGATTTCGTAGATTGATCTACAATCAGCTCTGGTGCTTTTAGCTTGCAAAGGCTGCTCGAAATCGAGCTAATCGCCTTTCAGATCTTCAGTCGGGTTCGACTGGCTTTTGCCATCGTGTGATCTCGTAGATTGATCTACATGATCAGCACTTGGTCTTAATCTTCAAGGACCGCTCGTACTCGAGCTGATTACCTTTCAGATCTTCAGTCGGATTCGACTGGCTTTTGCCAATTGTGTGAATCGTAGATTGATCTACATGATCAGCACTTGGTCTTAATCTTCGAGGACCGCTCGTACTCGAGCTGATCACCTTTCAGATCTTCAGTCGGATTCGACTGGCTTTTGCCAATTGTGTGATCTCGTAGATTGATCTACATGATCAGCACTTGGTCTTAATCTTCGAGGACCGCTCGTACTCGAGCTGATTACCTTTCAGATCTTCAGTCAGGTTCGACTGGCATTTTGCTAAGTATTCGATGTCCTTAGGAGTAATTCGAATGTTTAGCTGATTTGGGTTGTTGGGCCCAAAGTTTGTTTTTAGTCCTAGACCGATGGTAGGTTCTAGGTGATCTCTAGGATTAGAATTGATCTCTCTTCCTAGCTTCTGAAGTCGATCTCGACCTCCTTCGCATATCTCGTCCATGTTCAAACTGCCATTCTGGCTGTTTCCGGGGCTCATCGGTATAAGCAACATTATCACATCACACGCAAAGTCCAGCTATTTCATGGTCTTATCGGTCTGCAATATCGTCACCCGACTCAAACAGACCAGCTATTTCATGGTCACATTGGTCTAAGCGATATTACCGCCTGACTCGTACAGCTCGGACATTACCGGAGCTCATCGATCTCAGTAGTATTATCGCCAAACACGTACAGCCCGGTCTTGAAGACTTGATTCCGTCGAGGTATTACTCGACCTCGTCTTTACAAGTAGCCCGGATGTAGTATGTACTTAGATAAGTATACTTGATGGGGTCAAGGTCAGCCTTACTGAGCCTGGACGGACTTTTCTTAGTCTTAGGATCTTGATAGTTGATGGTGGCTGCGCTCGTACTTCGAGCTGCCTACGTACCCTGAATAGGGATCAAGCCTAACGTAGTTCAGGTTCTAGACCGAGAATAGGTTCTAGATGATCTTTAAATTAGAGTCGTGCTTTTTTCATAGCCTCTGAGGTCGTTCTCGTCCTCCTCCCCAACTGTTTCCAGGGCTCATCGGTATAAGCAACATTACCGTCAGACACGTCAGACCAGATATTTCATGGTCTTGTTGGTCCGAGCGATATCGTCACCCGACTCGTGAGATCCAGATAATTCCGGAACTCATCGGTCTGAGCGATATTACCACCTAACTTGTACAGTCCGGACATTACCGGATTCCGTCGGTCTAAGTAATATCACCGCCCAACACGTACAGCTCGGCTTGAAGACTTGATTCCGTCGAGGTATTACTCGACCTCGTCTTAACAAGTAGCTAGGGTAGCATATCTGCTTGGACAGATATGCTTGGCGGGGTCGAGGTCAGTCCTCCTCCCCAACTGTTTCCAGGGCTCATCGGTATAAGCAACATTATCGTCAGACACGTCAGACCAGATATTTCATGGTCTAGTTGGTCCGAGCGATATCGTCACCCGACTCGTGAGATCCAGATAATTCCGGAACTCATCGGTCTGAGCGATATTACCACCTAATTTGTACGGTCCGGACATTACCGGTTTCCGTCGGTCTAAGTAATATTACCGCCCAACACGTACAGCTCGGCTTGAAGACTTGATTCCGTCGAGGTATTACTCGACCTCGTCTATACAAGTAGCTGGGGTAGCGTATCTGCCTGGACAGATATGCTTGGCGGGGTCAATGTTAGTCCCACTGGGCGTAGATAGACTTCTCGCGATCTAAAGATCTGGATAATGGTGGCTGCGCTCTTGGGTGGAGCTGCCTACGTACCCTGAATAGGGATCAAGCCTAAACGTAGTTCAAGGGGGAGTGAGAGTTTGTAGACGTTTTGCCGAACTACTTTGGTGATGGGATTAGGTCATTCCAAGTTGGTTCCTGTTTCCTTATCACCGAACTCTCTTTGCCATGACGTATTAACTTGAGCTTGCTTTTTCGAGCTTTATTACGAGTTAATCATCGTGGGCTTTTTCTTGTGGAACCTATTGGTTTTCAAGAGTTTGGTTTTTAGGTCGAATCTTTCTAGAGGAAGAGCTCGTCTAGAAGATTTGACCTTTTGTTGTATGCTTTGATCGAGTTGTTCGAGTCTTAGCACTTGTTCGAGCCTCCGCGAATGAATTTAATTCATTTGAGGGTGGGTGGCTCCACTCCCCCGAAAACTTGTGAAATCAGCGTGAGCATGAGTTCGCAAAGTTCTTAAACTCGGGTTGAGGTTTTCGTTAGCTGTCTGAGAAGACGCTCCACTCCCCCGCAGATTGTGAGCTCTGCATAAGCTAGAGCTCGCTATCTTTTGGTGCGGGCGGGCGGGTGACCGCGAGGGTCATTGAGCTGCGGCGTGAGCTGAGCTCTCTGAACACTGGGTCGAGTCGAATCGCTTCTTATGTGAAAGAGGTGATTCTTGGGAGATGATTCCGACTCGCGTTCCCTTTTTCGGGGTGCTTTGTCGTTATCGTTCGATGAGGGCTGATTGGCTTTTTCCATTTTGCCTCAGCTCTGCTTTTTAGCTAATTCCTTAGCTCTAGCTCGGCATTCGTCGGTGGAATGGCCGTAGATTTGGTGATGTTCGCAGAACTTCTCTAAATCGGAACTCGGGTTCGGTTTGAGAACTGAGTTCGCAATGAAAGAGAGTGTTGCGGTAATCTTCCTTTGCGATGTCTTTCTAGGAGGAGATTGATCTCCTCTTCAAAAGTAGCAAAGGTTGACGCGCAGCGAAGTGCATCGTCGAGTGATACAGGAGGTCGAACGATTAGTTCTTCTCTGAATTTTGATTTGTACCACAGGTTGTTTCGGAAGGCTAGTAGAGCTACTGCCTCGTTAGGGTTTTCGATCTTAGCAATGATTGCTTTGAATCTATTGACGTAGGATCGAAGTGATTCGTTTGGAGCTTGAGAAAGCTTCCAGAGATCGGCTTCCGAAACTTCTGATTCGATGAAGATCGAATATTGGTTTACGAATGCCGAAATCAGCTGGTCGAAATTATCTATTGATTTTTCATCCAGCGTTTCAAACCATTTTTTAGCTGGTCCGGCTAGGTTTTCAACAAAGAGTTGGCAGCAAGCTGCTTCTATCTCTTCGGGAGAAAACTGAGCTCGAAGTATTTCGAGATAAAGAGCTCGAATATAAGCTCGTGGATCGCTGTTACCAGAGTATTCTGGGATACGTAGCTTGTAAGTATCGCGCAGACAGGTGTTAGCGATCCTGGATGAGAAGGGAGTTTGTTGTGTCTCCCTGATTACTTTGTCGATATCTGGAATCAAACTCATTGTTTGGTTAAACGTTGAGTTCGCTTGCCAGAATGCGAGGTTTGTTTGGACCTGGAACCTTTCGAAAGATTCGCGGTCCAAAAGGTTTCGCGGATCGACAGGAATCCGATTAGTTGAAATCGGATGGGATAGAGCTTGATTTGACGAGCTGTTTGCTTTTGTCAATCGAGCTAGATCTGTCGGATCGTTTGCTCTATGAAATTGAGCTCGATCGACTAGATCATTTGTTGCGGGAAACTGTTGATAGTTTCCGTTAACAACAGTTCGAGCTGTTGCAGGGAGCTGCGAGCTCAAAATTTCATCGGACTGATTTTTGAGCTGAGACATCGCCTGCAAGCTTGAGTTGGAAGCCATAGTTTCGGGCCATCTAAATATAGTTGGCTCGATACGTGATAGCTTTGGAGGTGGAGATGGAAGTCGCTCTGTTGGCTGAGATCCTATCTCCGATTTGCTTGAATCTGGAATGTTCAAGCTGCTCATTGGCGAGCTCATCGGTGGGACGAGAGTCTGGAAGACATGAGCACGCAGTGGCGCCTCATCCCGTTTCGACGAGCTGTTAGGTTTGTAGATTGGTGAAGAGTCGAGCTGAGTTCCCGGAGGAGGACTTATAATCGTCCGTAGCTCAGCAAGACTTCGTTCATATTTTTCCAACCTGATTTTTTGGTCGTATTGACTGTTAATCAGGTCGGTGAGCATTCGCTTGATTCGGGCTTGGTCGTCCGGATTCGGTCGAGCCAAGGCAAACGATGTTGACACAGTTTGCGTCGGAGATTTCCGACTGATCGGTGTCGAGGTAATCGGGAAATCTTTAGATTTGACCCGAATCCGCAAATGAGGTTTCTCAATTGCGTGCGAGATCTGATTCGGTAGAATCGAGTTCTCGGCTATCACAGGAGTGACGAGGTTGATCACCGATGGTTTCACGCGGGCTGGAACATTCGAGTTCGCTGCCGCGGAGGTGATAACCGGATCGATCAGGACGCTCGATCTACTAGCAGTTTGGCTGCTGCCAGTTGGCGAGGTGATCGGGTTTTTCGATGTGTCTGCAGTTTTGGCACTGCTGACATCCGAAGTGATTTGATCCGATGGGATCTGAGATTGGGAGCGAGCTCCCTGAGAATTTGATAGGACTGAGTCCATTTCGTTCTCAACTGGTCTAGGTTCGACCCTTGTGTAAGAGAAAGCTATTGTTCTCCCCTCCTTCTAGCGCCAAAATGTGGGTTCGGAAAACCACACTCAAAATTTATGTGTATTTTGTAGGGAGAAATTGCTGTGGAATCAGAGGTTAGATTCTGATGTAAGTCGAATGATTCGTAGACAAATATTTGACGAAATCGGACTTAGGCTAATCGAATAAAGTGGTTACAAAACCGGCCTAAAAGACCATGTAAAACACTAGGATTCGACTAAGCAAAAGAGATGGAAATGAGGTGGTGGCTGCGCTCGTTAACGAGCTGCCTACGTACCCTGTTTTAGGGATCAAGCCTGAACGTAGTTCGATTGTAAGTTGTTCTCTATTTCGAGTCGTTTTCTGAAGAGAAATGACCACGAAAAGAGCTAAAGGGGTGTGAAGATGACGATAAATCTCAGGTTATCGGAGTGATCCGAAGGTAAGAGATTACGTCGAACTTCTGCCGGAAGTGATTTCCGGCTAGAAAGATCAGGGCTTTCTGGGATTATCTCAAAGACCAAGGATAAGATCGAAGAGAAAAGATGAGAATATCTCAAGACAAAGAAGTGAGAAAGATGTTTTCTAGGAAAGAACTTTTCATTCAGGAATTCTTCTGAAATGAGAAGGATTAACTTATCTCCAGGAAATGGAAGGAACTTATGCCTTGTGATCAAGAATCGTCCTCCTTTTATAGCTCCGAAGTAGATCGCAACCTCCTCCGCGTATCTCGTCCACGTGCAACTACCGATCCCGCTATTTCCGGATCTGAACGATCAAAGCGAGATTCTCGTTTGACCCGTTCAAACTCAGCTTGCGGACTTGACTCCGTCGAGCTAGAGCTCGACTTCGTCTTCACAAGTAGCTCGGACAGTAAACAGCTGGATTTTGGACAAGGATATTTGGGGCTCGAGGTCATTTTACTGGGCCTGAGTGGACTTATCTTGACCTTAGGACTTAGGTGATGGGCCTTATGGGCCGGATTTCTGGAGGGAAATCCAGTCCAACAATTAGAGTTAATTATTAATTTTGGGTAAAATTTTAAAATTAATAAAATTATTTTTGGGTAAATGTTTTCAAAAATATTAATTAATAATTATTTTTATTAATTATTAATTATTAATGAATATTAAACATTTTTAATTTTTAATATTTATTTTTGATTTTTGATTTTTAATATTTCTTTTAAAAATTTTACTTTTAAATGTTTAACTTGCTTTAATTTTTAATTTTAATATTTTTCTTTTTTAGTACTAAATTTTAATTTTTAGTTTTTAATATTTTTTATTTTAATTTTAAATTTTTAATAATTCTAATTTTAGTTTTTAGTTTTTAATTTAGTTTTTTGTTTTTTAATTTAAATTTTTGTTTTTAATTTTAAATTTTAAATAATTTTAGTTTTTAATTTTAAATTTTAAATAATTTTAGTTTTTAATTTTAAATTTTAAATAATTTTAGTTTTTAATTTTAAATTTTAAATAATTTTAGTTTTTAATTTTAAATTTTATTTTTTCATACTTTTAGTTTTTATTTATTAATTTTTTTGGTTTTAATTTTAAATTTTAAATTTTACTTTTTAATTGTAAAATTAGGTTAAGTTAAATTTTTGGTTTATGTTTTGGTTAAGTTTAATTTTTGGTTTAGATTGAATTTTGGTATTGATTTTGGTTTAATAAATTGATTTGATTTTGGTTTTGGTTTAGGAAGATGGAGTGGGAATTTTGTAATACATGGTCTCCTGAAAACTTTACAGGTCTTTTTACACCTTTGTTTAGCACATTTTGGAGGCAAAGAAGGAAGAAGAATCAAGTGGATGAGTCATTGTTGTTGCTGTTGTTCTGAGGAGGCAAAAGAAGGCGATCTTGGCCTTGAACTAGTTTTGCAGATTTGATGATATCTCCTGTCTTGATCTGTCCAAGAATCTCTCTTCCTCCTGTTGTGTATCTGCACAATTTCAAAACACACCGTTGATTCTTGCAAGTTATGAAAAATCAAAAGACTAAGAAACGTTTCAAATACCCGAAAACCGAGAAATGCCCTTCGTCAAATGATAAACCTCCTAAGCCAGACTGCAAAAAGAAAGAAAAAGGAAACTCAAAAGCCAAACTCAGTTAGTTTCTTTTAAGCTAAACAAGAATTGGAGTGGAGCTTTTACGTTTCTTTTATCGTAAAGGTAGAAGAAGAACTGGTAAGGAGAAGAGTATTCATCCGAGTTTTCGCTGTGCGCCATTGCAACAGCTCCATAAACCGAAAGAGGAAGAACTGGCAACTCTCCATCCTGGACACTCAATGGTGTTCTGTAGAGAGGTTCGAACTGTCCAGAAGGCATTACTTCCAATGGAACACTAACACTCTCCACTTTATCACCACTCTTATCCTCTGTGATCACAGCTTGGTTCACCGTATTCAGCTTCACTCCATCATATGCTCCGCTACTTACCTGAAAAACAACAAATTTAACAAAGAGTTTGAGGTGACACCAACAGAGCCCTTGTCAAGTTAAGAGTAAAGCTACCTTACCAGTTTTGCGAAGTTCCCTGCTGTTAGTGGTGCTGAATATCCATCTATAACAACCTGAAAATCCATAATATATTGTGAACGAACACACAAGAACAGCTACGGCTTGTTATAAGATGAGGTTTAGCTAAGATATACCTGGATGGTAGCACTTTTTCTTTGATCGCCACCAGTTTCAGCTGAAAATGTTGAACCATCACCTTTCTCAAAGGTGATTTCCACTGTTCCTCTTCCTGCTAACCTATAGTTTACACACAAGATCTGTTTTCTTTGCAGCTCATAAAAAGGGAAGTTAGCTCAAAGAGAGAGAGAGAGAGAGAGAGACTCACCTGGGATAGTTTAAGTATTGCTGAGGAAGCAAGAATGACAATCCAGATGCCTGCAACAACACTTTTTCAACGTCATGAAACTAAATCTTGTTTCAACCTAGCCAGAAGAAGAGCACCTACTTGTAATAGCTCCAGTTCAGCAACAGTGTCAAGTGATGATGCCAGGCCAATGGACACTTTATCAGGATCTTGATTCTTTATTGATTTTATAAGTGCTTCAAGTCCACCCTACCAAAACATATATACAAGGGATCAGAGTCCATCAACATGGTCAGAAGAGAGTTGCGGTTTGTTACTCGCGTTACCTTGCCTTCAATAAGAGATGCGTAGAGCTGTGAGCCCTTGTCTTTCAAGTCTGCTGGTATACTAGCCAATATCGAATCCTTCTCTTCCACAGCCACCTGAAACCATTTCGTCCAAATCTTGTTACACTTCCAACCATTTCTTGCTAATGTAACACAAATCAAGAACCAAGTCCATAGTACCCTAACGAAGTTTACCTTGAGAGCTTTCTTTACATTGCTCTCCATTGTACCGTAAGGCTTTCTTTGTGGGATTCTCAAAAGATATGATATATCTTCTAATGAAGCCTAAAGGAACCAACGATACATAAAACAAAAACTTAAAAAAAGAAAAACAAATTTCACCACAATCAACCAAATTGAAAAAAGATTAAGAGAGTGACAAGCCTGAATAGTCTTCATGTTTGGATTAGCAGGAATGGCTCTTCTCAGAGCAAGCTCTCCACTTCTTGGAACTTTTGTGTCCGGAGAGTAAAGAACAGCCTCTGCAGGGGACACGTAAGCATAGTCTAGACCAAACAAGGGCAATGGAGACCATACTTGCACAAATATCAGGATCGTTGCTACCAATTTCTCTATATTCTTAGATCCAGCTTCTAAAGGTTTCGAATTCGAATCAATTGAAGATTCGCACGAAGCTATAAGTTCCTGCACTGCACAATCGGGAATTCAACTATCAAGTAAACCCTAATTTGACATAGCATTGTACGCAATTAGCAGAATTTTGAAAAACCCGACCTTGGCGCTAAACTTGGTGGATGTAGAGTGCAAGCGCATGCGTAAATCTACGGAACTTGTTCGACTGAAGGGTGAATTGCGTTTTACGAAGAGGAATCTGCGGTTAAGAGGTAAAGAGTGGAGAGAGACGACGGTGGAAGAAGACAACGGAAAAGCCATTGATGGAAGCATACAAGTTTTACAGAGACAACAAGGATGGAGAGGGATTCTTCTTCTTGGCGCGCCTCTATCTTCCAGACGCTTACGTGGATAGGAGGGAGTGGATACACGTGGCATGTTGCTAAAATTTTAGCAAACGGCGTGGTGTTCTCCTATAAGATTACAGACGGCATTATTTATGGTTAAACAGCTCGACGTTTGGAGAATTGGTTTATGTTATTGCACGCTTTGCCGTGGTTTGACGGAAAGGAAAGGCTTGGCCCAAACGTGGCCCAACTGGATTTGTTACAGAATTAAATTATAGGGAACTGATATCACTATCGACGTGAAATGAAAGGACAGGGTCATTTAATGTGCTCAACGATATTACAAGACGACGACATTCTTGTTATTCACTCGACATAGAACATGGTCGGTTTTTTTCTTTTGTTATAATCATCGTTAACGCAATGATAAGAGACTGATCTCTGAATTAGTGAATTACTCATCTACTACACACATCATAACAGATGTGATAACAGTAAAACTATTGTTTATATATTGAATTGTTGATATAAATACAAGATCGAAACGCAAACGTAGCGTTTGCCTCTTCAACAAGCATCTGGTTCCGCTTTGCCTCCCCAGACACTGCTACATTACATTTGATTTTTCACTTGGACTACGTCCCGTTTTTCTACACAACGCACCGACACACCGCCGTTTAAAAAGCCACGTCAGCATCAGCATCTCCAATCGAGGCGGACTTCACGGGGTCCGGCGACGAGTTCGCTGGGTTTTTGGAACGACACGATGTGGCTGCCGGCCATGAACGCCGTGACTCGCTCGGAGACTCGTATATCCTCCATCTTCAGCTCCTGAAGACGCCGCACGTACTCCGGCACGTGTAAGAGATCCCAAACCACGCAAAGACCTCCTGGCTTCACGACCCTCACTATCTCACCGAGCACCCTCATCCTCTCCGCCGCCGCCTCCACTGACTTCTGACCGTGCTCTTTCCCCACCGTGTGGACGAACACCGACGAAACCACCACGTCGAAGTAATTGTCCCCGAACGGTAACGTCCTCACGTCTCCTTCCCGGCAAGTCACATACTCTTGCACACCTGTGCGATTTGAATAACGAAATTGATGAGAATCTGAATTCAATTGCGCAAATCGAGAAATTGAGAAACTGGATTTTACGAGTGTACCTTCGAGTTTGGCGGTGCGGAGAGTGGAGAGAGTGGTCCGTTTGGAGCGGTCTAAACCGACGACGCGACCGGAGCTACCGGTTTTCTTAAGCTGAGTGGCGACGGCATTGAGGAGGATACCGCGGCCGCAGCCGAGATCGAGCGCCGTTTTGACACAGGACCAGTCGCCGACGGAGCTGACCATGCGTTGAGCCATCTCGTACTGGAGGGGAACGTCGGAGTAGACGAAATTAGCGGCGGCGAAGAGGAGACAGACGGCGGAGAGAGCGGTGACGGCGCCGGTGAAACCCGCTGCTAGTCTAGCTGCGCCGGAGAGGAAGAAGTAGTCGAGGAAGAGGCAAATCTGGTCGAAGTAGATGAGGAAGAGAATTGAGAGGACTGAGAAGAAGAAGGCATGGAAGAGAAGGAAGACGAGCGTCTGCCATTGCTCAATCCCGTAAATCGCGTAGATCTGAGTCCAGTCTCTGTTCCCTCCGGGTTTCCCCATTTCCTCAATTTCCCAGATTCCGATCAGACGGTTAAATTCCGGTTAATAAATCTGCGGCAAGAAAAAGACAAATAACCGATCTGTCATCTCCGTCACATTTGAAATTCGAATTTCAAGCTTATAAGAACGAAACCATAAGTAACAAGTAAAGCAAAAACAAGTACCAGAAACAGTAGAGAATTCAGAGACAGCTATTGGCAACAGATCTCAAGAATTTGAATCCAAAATTCAAAATCGAAAGAGGGAATCCAGCAATTCCAGATGTGAATGAGCTGAAACTAGAATGATGTAGGGTAAGTGGAAGAGCAACGTCACAGGATCATGGTGAGAGAGTGAACTTATGAAGAAGAAGGAAGAAAAATGTCAAGGAAAAAGAATTTATGAAAAGGGATTTTTTTTTTTGCCAACTTTTGGTCTTACCAATTTCACGCGCTTTCTTTTCACTATATGCTTGTCGGTTTCTGGATTTTCAAACATTGGTTTTACATTTTGAATTAAAAAACCCGCTAAGTTGCAAGATTCTTCTTAATTTGGAGATTGCTAACATAATAAAGTCATTAGAGAACCCTTTTGTAATTTCTAATCACACTAGGTGATCGACCGGCGTAGCCTGGTAAAATCTTCTACACATTTGCTCCGTAGAGATGATCTCGATTTTAATTTGATATTGTGTTGCCTCCACTAACGTGGTTGTAAATATTGTAGTAAAGATATATAAGTGAAGAAAGTATACACTTTTTAATTTTGCTAAATGGGTGAAGAACATGAAACACATATATTTTCAAATCTAGTATGATGCATTATATAACGTAAAGTGCCAATTATCTGAGCATGTGATCCGTTAAGTCTTCTGATCCTCTGTGGGTACTTATATCTTCTCCTCTTACCCCCTTTTCTCTTTTAGGAATTTTTTGAACTTTTTGATATCTGCTAAATCTATGTCGAAGAATAACCGTGTCGCGGTTGTTGATTGGAGTTCCAGTTTCCCTGCAATGGAGGAAGTGTATATTTTCTTAGCTAGGTACCATATATGTTGTAGAAGTATATGAAGTATTTCTTTACGCACCTGCATATATTTTGGGGTTAAAGTGTTTTTAAAACCGGAGCGGAAGGTGAACCGGATAAGCATTTAGGTCATGGGTCAATTTGGTTTCACCGGGTTGAACCCGGTTCATAAATTAATTATTTTTAAATTTTTAAATTTTAAAATAAAATATAAATAGTTAAAATTGATATATAGATACAAATATAAATATAATAGTATTAGAAACTTATATTTCATTGTTCAAATTAATTATTTATAGTATAAATATATATAACTTTAAAAAATTACAAAATTGAAATAAATAAAAGAAAATAAATAATTAATTGATTATTTTAATTGTTTTTAAACCAAATCGGAAACCCAACCCGGTCATATGTCCGGTTCATGGTCGAACCCGGTCCGACCACTGGGTCGGTCCGGTTTTCAAAACACTACTTGAACTAGAATCAAAAACCTATTTTACTCTTTTGTTTAACTAATCACAACATTCTTTGTTTCTTTTTTTTTTGGTCGTGAACATTCTTTGTTTCTTGTACATAATTTATACTCCCTCTGTTATATAATAGTTGATGTTTAAGTTTTTTTTCTTTGTTCTATGTTGTTTGATGTTTTAGGTTTTAAAGTTATTTTTTTGCTAATTAATGATAAAATATTACAAACTTCAAGAAATAAAGGCTAAAAGTATCTAAATACTTAAATACTACTCTTTCCGTTTCAAATTAGTTGTCGTTTTGGCAAAATGTATCTGCAATTATTTGGATGTATGTAGATGTATTTTGAGTTTACTACATCTAAATAATTGCAGATACATTTTGCCAAAACGATAACTAATTTGAAACGGAGGAAGTATTCAGTAGTGTTGATTGAAAAGCGAAATCAATTCATTAATAACTTAACATTAAATGTTTCTTCATTTATGTGAAAAATCTACAACATCAAATATTATGAAATGGAGGGAGTATCATTTAGGCATTCGTTCATTCATTATTTCACAATTTTGAAATGGTTTGCATTCATAGGCTATACTTAGATAGTTGGATCATGCGTTGCATACATTTCGTATTTGGAGTTAAATATAGTACTTTTGGACACTTTCTTATGCACTTGGACGATGAGGGAGATTGATAGAGCTAATCAAGATCAAAAGGGTGAAAGAAGGAAGCAACCGGGATGTTAATCGGGTTTCACCTCCAAGACAACCCGATTGCTACCTCTGAGCCATTAAATTTTAAATCATTTATGTTTTATTTGTCAACTTTGTATATTGCATAAATTCACTCATTTATTAACCACTATTTAGCACAAAAATTGCTTATTATTATGTGAATTTTTGCCTAAATTCAGTAGAATTAAGAATTCTAGATTTAGTGAATACTAGTTTTAGTAAACTCATTACTGGTTAACTTTGAAACTAAAGAGATGTTTATAAATTTGTCTTTTAGAGGACTATATCTATTTACAGACTTATATCCATGTGGATTTAATAGTCTGCACCATGTAAACAGTCATATAATTTAGCTGCAATTGATAAATTGTATCATGATTTTTCTTTTTCTTTTTTAATATGAAATTTAAAATTTATTGATCAATATAAAAAGGGGATTAACATATGATTAGCATTGGAAAGAGGAAACAGGTAGAGAAGAATAGAGAATGAGATTGAGTGTATTAAGGAATCTGTCCTAATTCGAACCAACAACGCAGCAATCCTTCAAACTTATGAGGAAGTATGTAGTTCTGCATAGACTTGTCCACTGTACGACCTAGATGGTGTAGCAAAACCCAGCTTGTCTGATGCCTTCGTGCATTCCGTTCTCTCCATATTTGATAAACCACAGTTTAAAATAGAATGCGGATATTAACAGTGTATCTATGCTAACACAAAAAAGAAAAAACAGTGTATCTATGCAATTTTCACAAAGTAAACAATTGTATTTGATGTAAATTGATTTATATATATAATTGTTTTATACTTCACTCCATAGTTTCATTTGGTATATTATATACTTTATTAGATCATATCTTCGAACATCCGGACAGAACATTTAGACTCTGAATGTTAAACCAATTAGAGTAAATGGGAGGAATAAAAATTAAAAAGTAATGAATTTGATTATGAACCCACTAACTGAGCAATTTTCCACCTGTTTTACGTGGTGGGAAGATTTCAGCTGAAAAAAAAAAACTTAAAGCACTTGGTAACAAAAATATTTACTTCAATTTATGGTCTGACTGGTTTTCCCGTTACCACCCGCAAACGCAGCGTTTGCGGTTCGTAGCGGTTTTCGGCGGTTTATAACAATCACGACAACCGCTTTGAATCGCTCTATACCACTCTGTACCGCTCTATATCGCTGAAAATCAAAAGCTCCTTTCCGCAAGCGTTTGCGGTTGCGGGTGGATAATTAAAAAAAAAAAAAACACAAACTTATATAAAATCCGAAAATAAATAATAATATTTATTAAAAAATAAGATTTGGATAATAAAATCACAATATAAATAAAAAATTAGTACTTTTAGTCAATATTCATTAAAATCATATAATACTTATATATTTATAAGTTCTACAAATCAAAATTCTCTTCATAAATATTCTTTTCATACTAATACATATATATCTAATAAATAAAATTGTAAAATAAATTTAATTTTCACATTAAATATATATTTTGAAAATAAAATCACATTTTTTATTTAAATTATAGAAATTAAAAAATAGACGTAAGTATTATACACATATTATTCTTTATAAAAAAATTATTTTTAATTATGTTGAACCATAAATTTAAAATTTTCATTATAATATAGTTTTGATATTTTTATAATTATATAATGTGTTTATATTATTAATTTATTGTTTAACCGCTATTGCATCCGCAAGTGAACCAGTCATAAGTATCCCGCAAACGCATCCATTTTCAATTGTTATGCCAGTCGTACAAACCGCTTAATAACGCTACTAATCACAACCGCCCGCTTCCGCAAACTCCCGCACCCGCAACCGCAGCGGTTAAACCAGTCAGACCCTTACTCCAAATAGATTTACTCCACTTTATTTCAAATGATTTACCATTCACATCCTTAAATCTTTAAAAGTTTCCATATTTAATCGGTGCTTTGCAGATAATCATTTATGTTATGAGTTTATCATATCATCTCTCACGTTAGTCACCACATGATTATTGTTTTATTTATTATTTTGGGTTTAAAACCCCTCTAAAGTTTGCAATGCTGATGTTCTAAAAAAAATTAGGATCCATGTGAAATCTCTTCATACTCTTCAGAGAAGAAGCGTGTTAGAGGATTAATATGATAACTCGCCAAAAAGACAAGAATTTAACGGATTTATGCAGCTTCAAGATAATATTGTTTTTCATAACTAGGTGATCATGGCCTGGTGGTAAAGGACTCACATCTATGAGTATCGCCACCTAGATTCAACTCCTGGCTACATCGGATTTAACATGGCCTCCGTTTGGCTTCCAGGACCATACTAGATCCAGTTGGACACAGTGCTAGCTGGGCTCTAAGAACCCAGACACCAGGGTTATCAAAAAAAAAAAAAAAAATATATATATATATATATATATATATATTGTTTTTCATATATAAGTGTTGGACCTGGATTTCCCTCCTGAAATCCGGCCCATAAGGCCCATCACCTAAGTCCTAAGATCTAGATAAGTCCACTCAGGCCCAGTAAAGTGACCTCGAGCCCACAAGCTGAGTTTGAACGAGTCAAACGAGAATCTCGCTTCGACTGTTCCGATCCGGAAATAGCGGGATCGGTAGTTGCACGTGGACGAGATCGCGGAGGAGGTTGGGATCTACTTCGGCGCTATAAAAAGAGGACGATTCTTGATCGTCATCTTCACCCCCCTTTAACTCTTTTCGTGGTCATTTCTCTTCAGAAAACGACTCGAAATAGAGAACAACTTACAATCGAACTACGTTCTGGCTTGATCCCTAAAACAGGGTACGTAGGCAGCTCGTTACACGAGCGCAGCCACCACCTAATTTCCATCTCTTTTGCTTAGTCGAATCCTAGTGTTTTACATGGTCTTTCAGGCCGGTTTTGTAACCACTTTATTCGATTAGCCTAAGTCCGATTTCGTCAAATATTTGTCTACGAATCATTCGACTTACATCAGAATCTAACCTCTGATTCCACAGCAATTTCTCCCTACAAAATACACATAAATTTTGAGTGTGGTTTTCCGAACCCACATTTTGGCGCTAGAAGGAGGGCAGACAATAGCTTTCTCTTACACAAGGGTCGAACCTAGACCAGTTGAGAACGAAATGGACTCAGTCCTATCAAATTCTCAGGGAGCTCGCTCCCAATCTCAGATCCCATCGGATCAAATCACTTCGGATGTCAGCAGTGCCAAAACTGCAGACACATCGAAAAACCCGATCACCTCGCCAACTGGCAGCAGCCAAACTGCTAGTAGATCGAGCGTCCTGATCGATCCGGTTATCACCTCCGCGGCAGCGAACTCGAATGTTCCAGCCCGCGTGAAACCATCGGTGATCAACCTCGTCACTCCTGTGACAGCCGAGAACTCGATTCTACCGAATCAGATCTCGCACGCAATTGAGAGACCTCATTTGCGGATTCGGGTCAAATCTAAAGATTTCCCGATTACCTCGACACCGATCAGTCGGAAAACTCCGACTCAAACTGTGTCAACGTCGTTTGCCTTGGCTCGACCGAATCCGGACGACCAAGCCCGAATCAAGCGAATGCTCACCGACCTGATTAAAAGTCAATACGACCAAAAAATCAGGTGGAAAAACATGAACGAAGTCTTGCTGAGCTACGACGATCATAAGTCCTCCTCCGGGAACTCAGCTTGACTCTTCACCAATCTACGAACCTAACAGCTCGTCGAAACGGGATGAGGCACCACCGCGTGCTCCTGTCATCCAGACTCTCATCCCACCGATGACCTCGTTAAAGAGCTCGTCGAAACGGGATGAGGCACCACCGCGTGCTCTTGTCATCCAGACTCTCATCCCACCGATGACCTCGTTAAACAGCTCGTCGAAACGGGATGAGGCGCCACTGCGCGCTCATGTCTTACAGACTCTCGTCCCACCGATGAGCTCGCCAATGAGCAGCTTGAACATTCCAAATTCAAGCAAATCGGAGATAGGATCTCAGCCAACAGAGCGACTTCCATCTCCACCTCCAAAGCTATCAGGTGTCGAACCAACTATATTTAGATGGCCCGAAACTACGGCTTCCAACTCAAGCTTGCAGGCGATGACTCAACTCAAAAATCAGTCTACTGAAATTTTGAGCTCGCAGCCTCCCGCAACAGCTCGAACTGTTGTGAACGGAAACTATCAACAGTTTCCCGCAACAAATGATCTAGTCGATCGAGCTCAATTTCATAGAGCAAACGATCCGACAGATCTAGCTCGATTGACAAAAGCAAACAACTCGTCAAATCGAGCTCTATCCCATCCGATTCCAGCTAATCGGATTCCTGTCGATCCGCGAAACCTTTTGGACTGCGAATCTTTCGAAAGATTCCAGGACCAAACAAACCTCGCATTCTGGCAAGCGAACTCAACGTTTAACCAAGCAATGAGTTCGATTCCGGATATCGACAAAGTAATCAGGGAGACACAACGAACTCCCTTCTCATCCAGGATCACTAACCTATCTGCGCGATACTTACAAGCTATGTATCCCAGAATACTCTGGTAACATCGATCCACGAGCTTATATCCGAGCTCTTTATCTCGAAATTCTTCGAGCTCAATTTTCTCCTGAAGAGATAGAAGCAGCTTCCTGCCAACTCTTTGCTGAAAACCTAGCCGGACCAGCTAAAAATTGGTTCGCAACGCTGGATGAAAATTCAATCGATACTTTCGACCAGCTCCTTTCGGTATTCATAAACCAATATTCGATCTTCATCGAACCAGAAGTTTCTGAAGCCGATCTCTGGACGCTTTCTCAAGCTCCAAACGAATCACTTCGATCTTACGTCAACAGATTCAAAGCAATCATCGCTAAGATCGAAAACCCTAACGAGGCAGTAGCTCTACTAGCCTTCCGAAACAACCTGTGGTACAAATCGAAATTCAGAGAAGAACTAATCGTTCGACCTCCTGTATCACTCGATGATGCACTTCGCTGCGCGTTAACCTTTGCTACTCTCGAAGAGGAGATTACTCTCCTCCTAGAAAAATATCGCAAAGGAGAACTACCACAACATTCTATCTCCATTGCGAGCTCAGTTCTGAAATCGAACTCGAGCTCTGAAGTCGAGAAATTCTGCAAAATACACAAAAAGCACGACCATTCCACCGAAGAATGTCGATCTTATGTTAAAAAGCAGAAAAGAAAGGCCAGGTTAGCTAAACGCAACAAGACCTCATCCAACGATAACGACAAAGCATCCCAAAAACGGGAACGCAAGTCGGAATCAACCACCAAGAGTCACCTCTTTCTAAAAAGAAACGATCTGACTCGACCCAACACCTAGAGAGCTCAGCTCACGCAGCAGCTCAATGACCTCGCGGTCACCCACCCACCCGCACCAAAAAGATAGCGAGCTCTAGCTTACGCAGACCTCACAATCTCGTGGGGAGTGGAGCGTCTTCTCAGACAGCTAACCAAAACCTCAACCCGAGTCCATAAACTTTGTGAACTCATGCCTACACATGATTCACAAGTTTTCGGGGGGAGTGGAGCCCCCCACCCCCAAATGAATTGCATTCATTCGCGGAGGCTCTAACAAATGCTTAGACTCAAACAACTCGATCAAAGCATACAAAAAGGTCAAATCTTCAGGACGAACTCTTCCTCCAGACGGATCCGACCCAAAGCTCGTGATGTTTAACTTGGACTATAGCTTAATAACAGCTATTCCGAATTAATACACGTCATGACAAACACAAAGAGCCCGGTGTTAGGTAGTCCGGAACTAGCTGGGTAGATCCCTACCTCATCACTGGTGTAGCTCGCAACAGCGTCTACAAGCTCACCAATCCAAAAAGGAATACATGGACTGAGTCATTTAAACGCAATGTACCTGAAACGGTACTTCGTTAAAACAATCTCATCCGAGGTATCTCCACCCCGCGAACTACGTCCAGGCTTGATCCTCCTTCCCTGGAGGTACGTAGGCAGCTCACCCATGAGTCCAGCCCCAATCAAATCCATTCCTAAATATTCGAGACGACTTCATGGCCAGCCCTTCAACAGGTTCGATTTGTATCATCTCAATATCAATACTTTTCTATTTTTCTTTTTACGAAATTGCTCGAACTCACCTTGCGAATCCTTAAGCGCCTCCTTAGACTCTTAAGCGTAATTAGATATATAGAAATAACCTGGTCCAGCCACGGAACAGAAAATCGCTTCCTTATTTCGCAGAAACCCATCAGAGTCAACCGCATCCAAGCATCCGGCATCAGTGTTACAGCCGAGTGCGAGTCGAACTCCTCAAGGCAGCTTGTAGTCTAACACGATATCGAGCTACTTTGACGGCACGTCCGAATCGCACTTGACCCGAACGTGAGCCGAGAGACCTCAGGCAGTTTGCATTATGATACGAAATCAAGCCGCTTCGACGGTCCCATCCGGACACGCTCGGAACACTATCCGTTGCGACAAGATCGTAGTCACTCCGCATGGTAAACCATCTCTCCCACAAAGCCGAATTAGGAACACCTCGTATCAACAACCGGGAAAACAACAAACTTTGGGCCCAGCTACCCAAAACAGCTAAAATTTCGAATTACTCCTAAGGACATCGAATACTTAGCAAAACGCCAGTCGAATCCGACTGAAGATCTGAAAGGTGATCAGCTCGACTCCGAGCTGTCCTCGAAGATTAAGCCCAAGTGCTGATCGAGTAGATCAATCTACGAAATCACACAACTGGCATCAGTCGAATCCGATTGATAATCTTAAAGGAAATCAGCTCGACCCCGAGCAGTCTTTCTTTAAACAATCCAAACCGGCTAAACATTCGAATTACTCCTAAGGACATCGAATACTTAGCAAAACGCCAGTCGAATCCGACTGAAGATCTGAAAGGGATCAGCTCGATCCGAGCTGTCCTCGAGATTAAGTCCAAGTGCTGATCTCGTAGATCAATCAAACGAATCACACAACTGGCAAAAACTAGTCGAGCCGACTAAATCTGAAAGGTGATCAGCTCGATTCCGAGCAGTCCTCGAAGATCAAGTCCAAATGCTTCATGTAGATCAATCTACTAATCCGCGCAATTGGCAAAACCTAGTCGAGCCCGACTAAACATCTGAAAGGTGATCAGCTCGATTCCGAGCAGTCCTGAAGATCAAGTCCAAATGCTTACCATGTAGATCAATCTACTAATCCGCGCAATTGGCAAAACCCAGTCAAACCCGACTGAAAATTCAATAGGAGATTAGCTCACCTACGAGCAGTCTTTAACCATAAAGCTCCAGAGCTGATCATGTAGATCAATCTACAAAATCACACAACTGGATCCAATCAAATCCGATTGATAATCTTAAAGGAAATCAGCTCGGCCCCGAGCAGTCTTTCTTCAATCAAGCCCAACTGCTGATCATGTTGATTAATCTACAAAATCACGCAATTGGCAAACACCGGTGAATCCGACTAAAAGTCTGATAGGAAATCACCTCGACTTAAAGAAATCTTTAAAGATGAAGCTCGAGTGCTGATTGTGTAGAACCACCTACTGAATTCAGACGATCATCTAAAATCAGTCGTTTTCAACCGACAAAGGTTAGCTCAACCCGACGCAACCTTCCAAGTTGAAGCTCAACACGTTAAAAGCTCGAGCTGGAATTCAAAAAGAAACTAGCTCAACTTTATACGATTCTCAAAGAGATCAACTGAGCTTCATCCGGTCCGACCAGTTAGCTGACACGCTAGGTCAAATCTCCAATCAAACCAAAACGACTAATGTTCGAACAATCGAGCTAACAGTCAATTGATCTGGAAAACAAAGATAAACTCTAAGACATCAAACGTCTAAGAAAAATTATCAAACACCAAGCTCATTCCGAGCAAACAAGTTTGAACATAAAAGGATAAAAGCCTTCCAGGCACCAAATCCAAAAGGCAAAGCATAAAAACCTTGCTGGGCTAACTTGTTCAAAACTTAAACGAGAATAGAGCTCATCCTTAGCAAGCCGCTTTGACGAGCTACTCTATCTCTCACATATTCGAGCTTAGTATCGAGCTCATCTACCACCTGTTTCATCTTATCAAGCTCATCTTGCCAAGACGCTTCATGTAACCTTTGTTCACAACGAGCAGAGAGCTTCATGATTCACCTTCAAAGCTTGATAAAGATTAATCGCAATATTAAGTCCGAAGATATCAAATCATCGGCAAAAACTTAGAAAAGGTAAAACCATACCTTCTCATCCGCCGCCATCGCTGCCGCATACAGCTCCCTCTCGAGCGTCATATCCAAAACTGGAGATTGATTGCAGCAGGCCCGCATTGGCGCAACATGAATGTTCAAGGATTATCCAAAACTGGCACATCCTTCGAACAATCTATCATTACAAGGGATGACGGACTCGCCGTCGAGTTAACTCGCTTTTTCAAGGAGCTCGACAAATTCGGAGTACGATTATCATCTCTTGCTCATTTCGAGCTCCATCCTCATTGTTCGCTATTCGACCTCAACGAGATAGTTCGTCTCAAATGAGTCACTCGGGTATCATCCCCGATAGCAGCATGAAGAACCTGACCTACTACTTCATCACGAAGAGTATATTCAACCGCAACGTGGACAATCTCCACAACTCCATTAGCTCTAGATTGGATTGCTTGCTCACAACGAGCGGCAGCCGACTTTGCAGATCGTTCACAAAACGTAGCTCGCGAGAAATCTTCTCTCTTCCAAGAGGTGGGATACTCGAAGTCGGGCTCTAATCTGTAACAGATGGAACGCGGCGAAAAACAGTAACAAACAAAATTTTGTTGCTAAAAATGGATGAAAACCTACACAGGTGTTAAATCCGAAGCAAAACATATGACTTGCCCAAGTCATTACAGCGAAAAACTTTCTCTATCGCAGCATCGAGCTCGATTCGAAGTTCGCTCGGGACATATACCATCTTGTCAAGCTCGATTCTAAATAGATTCTTGCTTGATCTTATATGATCCTAAGAAATCAACTAAGTCTCACTTAGTCTGATTTGAATGGCAGTCAAGCACTCTGCCAATTCTCGAGCTAAAATTCGAGAACATCTCCAAGATCGAGCTAGATTCTCAACAGATTCTAACCTGACCTTAAGAATATCTTCAAAGATATTGACTAAGTCTTTGTTCAGCTTAGCTCAACGATAAGCTCGACCATTTGGTTGAAATAACATTCGAACCAAAGACTAAGTTTTATTTAGCTCGACCTAAATAAAACAAATACTTAGTCGAAATCATGCCAAGTAGACTCGAAATTTCAAAAAGAAATCAGTTTAACTTGAAGCAACTTTCAGGAAGAGTTGGCAAAGTCTTTTCTGCTAGATTTCTCGGTCAGCCGAAAATCTTATGCGAGAATTCAATCAAACAAACCGACTAAAATTCATTTGGTCGTATCCTTTTTCGAGTTCGAGTCGGAAAAACAGTCCGACTTAAAGCGACCAAGTTCGATTAAAGAATTTAATCAACAATTGGTCGAACTCGAAAAATAATCGATTAACTCAAAAAGAGCTCGCGCAATGTTTGAGTTAGTTAAACCAAAAGCCTTCTCGAGAAACAATCTAAAAGAGTTGATAATCGCAAATCTTCTCCTAAGGTTTTCACTACTCTCGAAAAGCTCGACTCTTAAGATCATAATAGCTCTTCGATCTATTTTCGATCTTGATTGTCGATCTAAAGAATAAGTTATTACCTTGTCTTTCAAGGTGAAACTATCATTCAACGGCAAGATCTCAAAGATCTCTCGCCTTCCCGTTTGCGACCGTCGATCTCTAATGACTATTCAAAGTCATGATTTAGTTCGACGGGACTGCGGGACAATTTTAAAACAACCTACCGCTCATTAAGTTCGATTATACTCACTTAATGAGCTGGGGGGCTATTGTTGGACCTGGATTTCCCTCCAGAAATCCGGCCCATAAGGCCCATCACCTAAGTCCTAAGATCAAGATAAGTCCACTCAGGCCCAGTAAAGTGACCTCGAGCCCACCAAGTATCCTTGTCCAAAATCCAGCTGTTTACTGTCCGAGCTACTTGTGAAGACGAAGTCGAGCTCTAGCTCGACGGAGTCGAGTCCGCAAGCTGAGTTTGAACGAGTCAAACGAGAATCTCGCTTCGACTGTTCAGATCCGGAAATAGCGGGATCGGTAGTTGCACGTGGACGAGATACGCGGAGGAGGTTGCGATCTACTTCGGAGCTATAAAAAGAGGACGATTCTTGATCACAAGGCATAAGTTTAATCCTTCTCATTTCGAGAGAGAATTCCTTTGATCAAAAATCACTAACAAGTTCTTCTCATCATCTTTTCACAGCAGAAACAGAGTGAAGTTCTTCTTCTTCGTCTTGAGATATTCTCATATCTTTTCTCTTCGATCTTATCCTTGGTCTTTGAGATAATCCCAGAAAGCCCTGATCTTTCTAGCCGGAAATCACTTCCGGCAGAAGTTCGACATAATCTCTTACCTTCGGATCACTCCGATAACCTGAGATTTATCGTCATCTTCACACCCCTTTAGCTCTTTTCGTGGTCATTTCTCTTCAGAAAACGACTCGAAATAGAGAACAACTTACAATCGAACTACGTTCTGGCTTGATCCCTAAAACAGGGTACGTAGGCAGCTCGTTACACGAGCGCAGCCACCACCTCATTTCCATCTCTTTTGCTTAGTCGAATCCTAGTGTTTTACATGGTCTTTTAGGCCGGTTTTGTAACCACTTTATTCGATTAGCCTAAGTCCGATTTCGTCAAATATTTGTCTACGAATCATTCGACTTACATCAGAATCTAACCTCTGATTCCACAGGCAATTTCTCCCTACAAAATACACATAAATTTTGAGTGTGGTTTTCCGAAACCACAATAAGATATATCAATCTTTTTAAATCATAAGAACACCGACAGATAAAAAAAAAAATTGATAGCCAATAGAGCTACTAATCACACAGACGCGTGAGAATGAAATTCTAGTATGTATGTTTCATATATGCCTGCATTATGATCCAAAGATTCGGTATCACCTGCAATATTTATCACAAAAAAAAAAACTTTTAAAACTAACAAAAATGTATAGACATCTGCAATATTATAGATTTTGACATTTTGTCAAGTAATGAGAGAATGAGACATTATTAGAGAAGAAGAGAGGATAATAAGAGAATGTAATATTATTAGCGATCTTAACAAATGATAGCGATCTTAAAAGGGCAAATATATGTACATTGGGACATCTTCAAGTATTATAGATTTTTGACATTTTGTCCACTAATGAGATCACTTGTTAACCAACAAAAAAGAAGAAGAAGAAGAAGAAAGGATAATAAGAGAATGTGACATTATTATAGCGATCTTAACAAATGAGAGAACATCCAGTGCGTAAGATTTTTGGTGAATCAATTGTAAGTTCAGTGATAAAACGGCAGCCATACATCTGGCACTTTGACTCCTTATCAGATCAACACGTGCAATCTTTGTCAATTTTTTGATTCTCCGTTAATCGTGGTATGGTTACGTGAAAAGACCCCCTTGTAATTACGATCAGACAGCAACTAGATTCTTTTTCCACTTTCTTACTTTTCCAATTGAATAATCAACGAAATTACGGGCAGAAGAAACAGATACCGGATCGGACCGGACCTTATTTGTGTTTCTAAACCAAGATTACCCAAAGAGGTAATCCAAAACTTGTAACATTAACGACGTGATCGCTGTCTCAGATGGAAAGAGATTAAAGATATAAATCATTGGCGTATGCTTTTAATCATATACTTCCCGCTGATTATTCACACTTAAGAAAAAATATTATGCAAAAGACCGGAAAAGAAAACTGAACTTTAAAAATTGGGGTCCAATGGTTTGACGAATAGCAAGCGAACGTAAGTCGAGTATGGGAAACAGAAGGAGAACCATTACCCCACCGACTTTAATAAATGCTCTTTTTTTGAATAACAAACACTGAAGTCGGAGCTTACGTTCCTACTTGCTACACCATTTTTATTTCACAAAACACACACACACATACACACAAATTAGAAAGAAAAAAAAATCAAAACTTTAATTCTCGCATATTTAATTTTGAGGTCTTTATTAGGCATGGAACTTCTGGTCAGTTTTTTTGAAATTTGGATTTTCAAGTTTAGAGATATATAAATTGATTAGATATTTTGTATTTTCAGTTTGGATTTGGGTTAGTTTTCAGATTGTACATGAACCCATACAGTTTTTTGGTTTATCTAAATTCAAGTTTTTCCATTTTTTTTGGATTTTTTCTTCACAAAAAACAGGTTTTTTTTGTATATTGGATTTTCGAGTTAAAGATATAAAAATCGATCAAGTATTTCTAAATTTCGATTTAGGTTTGATTTAGATTTCTATGAATCGTGTCGAGTTTTTTTGGATTGGGTTCGAGTTCTCGGTAAAAAATCATAAATTTAGTCTCTACTTTACTTGAAAAGAAAAATAAAAAAATACAAGAGATCACTCTAAAAATCAGAATATGATAGATTTTTATTTTAAAACAAATGTCCAATAAAATGGTGAATTGTGGTAAGGACCTTTGTACGTACTGTTATTATCTCACGGACCAGTGACCACTATGAAACCTTAGCTAATAGAATGCCTTTATTGTAAGGAAAATGAGCGTTTTGCCGTTGTTTTTTGAGTAATTGCACCAGGTAGCTATTACTTTATGGGTAATTAAGAATCTAACAAGAGAGTATTGTGGTCGTATATTACGCCGTATTTCGACATCATATCTACCGATCTTGCCCTCACGCGCATACAAGCATTCCAGATGTATTTATTGTGCAGCTTTTCTCTTTCCTCCTTTCTCTTTCCTCTTTTCTCTTTCTTCTTCACGATTTTTTTCTTTCATTCTTCTTCTTCCTCATACATCTTCTCTTTGTTTTCTCTTTCATTCATAGCTTTTGTTTTTTTTCCTCAGATTTTCATTTTGATCGCTTCTTAAAATTTTATGAGTAACCGGATTTGAATTATTTTTCTAATTCCAGGAATTGTAATGCTTCAAATCTCAGATCCGTTTTTTTCTTTTAACTCTCAGATCCAGTTTTATATAAAGATACAATCAGTTGTAGAATTTAATAACCCAAAAAATCCAGCAAAATCCCCATAGATGACATTCAAGATCTCGATTTCAATATATAGTTTTGCAGTTTCTCTTTTTTGGATAAAAATCCGAGTAAATTAGGTGAAAGAATTTTTCGTTCTACTTTTCCTTCTGTTATTTATTGATTTAGAGCTTTACAAATATGTATACTTCTTTATTGCATTTTTTGTTGTGCTAAAAAGGTGACTAACAGTGTTATAATTACATATTTTGATAAATTAGAATATATAGCTGTGGGCTATGAAAACCACACTCGAAATTTATAGGTTTTGCAAGGAAGAAACTTAGGGAGATTTAGGGCTAGATTTTGATGTAAGTCGAATGAATCGTAAGCAAGGATTTGGCTAAACGGAATTGTATTAAACGAATGAATTTGGTTACAATGAATTCTCAGAAGAGAGAAAGAACTAAGCTCAAAGGTGAATACAAGGAAAGTATGATAGTAATTAGGTCTAAAGTGATCGGAAGAAGATGTGTGTCTGTCCCTGATCCGACTGCTGTCAAGCTCCTTTTATAGCTCCAGAATCAGCTACGATCCACCTCCGCGTATCTCGCCACGTGCAGCTAACAATCCCGGTGATCTCGGACCAGACCGGATTCGAAGGAGATCTTCTTTGACTTCGTCTTTCGTCGCGGTGCCGACCTGGTCCTCGATCGAGCTGGAGCTCGTCTTTACGTCGACCGGAATAGCTCGGATGGCGGTTAACTGGCCTACGAGGGAGTCGCTTGGTGGGCTCGAGGTCTTCTTGCTGGGCTTAGGTGGGCCTGGACTTCAATCTTGGATCAAGGTAATGGGCCCTTATGGGCTAGATTCCAGGTGTGGAATCTGGGTCCAACAATAGCATACTATTTTTACTAATAACAAAACTGATATTGATTATCTATAAATTGCTTTGTTTCAGACTCAATTTAAAATATGAATATGTTAATTTTTCAATCAACAATAAACAAGTATGTATTTTACTAACACGCTAGATAGATATATAGATACCCATATAAATAAATATATGTTTATATAGAATAAAAAACATTTATATATGTATGTAGATAGCCATATACAATTACATAAAGATATATATATATATATAGACAACCAAATGCATATATATAGGTAACCATTTCAAATCATATCAAACCATATATAGATGTTGTGAAGCAAATACATTATCTTTCACATTGGGTTAAACTAGAATAACACTCTTAAAAAAAAAAATCCAATTGTTAATGAATTAATGGATTAATGATGTACTTTGGGTTGAAGAAGTTATGATGGATCTAATAGTTAATTAATAGTATTGTGGTTCAACTATGTTTATACAATTCGGAATTACCGTCATATGGATTTAAATAGATGATATTTCTGATTTGAATATGTGGATTTGTGGTGAGAAAAAAAAATAGGAGGAAGAGAGTTGAGAAGAAGAAAACCAGAAATGGACAATAAAAATAAAACGATAGGGGAGAGAAATGCATCTCCACGCGCAGAAGATAATTTTTTCTCTTCAACATGTTTAGATGTGATTTTTTTGGGTACCATTATGTCAATTGATAATAGCCATTTTTGAACTTGTTGTTCACCTAATTAAAGGTCAAAAATATGTTAACCACCAAATTCACTCTTGTTTTTTTTGTACTTTACTCTATAGTTTCTAGAGTCATTTACACTCAAATGCACTTTTGAGTTATTTTTTACACTCAAAAGCACTTTGTGCTCATAAGGGACTTTGGAGTGTTTTAATGACAAAAAAACCTTTTTTCTAAAATCTGAGTTATCTTTTATTTTTACCCAACATCCACCATTTCACCTTTCTAAAATCTGAGTTCTCTTTCCTTCTACCCAACATCCGATGTTTCACCGTCGTTCATCATCGCCACCGTTTTCTCTCCATCCTTGTTTCTGAATTTCGTCTCTTATTGCATCGTTCGTAATCGTACTGTCGTTCAATTGCAAAACGCCGTTGTTCAATTTTTCACGATTCAGTTTAATTTTTTTTCTGGGTTTCTTTTCTTAGAGTGAGGAGAAGAATAAATCTGATTTCAGATTCGCTGAAGTATGGGGTAGATGAATCTGTGTTAATTTGCGATTATGTCCACATCTAGATGTCCATGCAGTCGTGTCCACTTGTGATCTAGTTTTCGTAGCTTTCTCTTAAATTGTTTGTTTTGGAGATTATTATATGTAGACAAATAAACCAAACTCCATACTAATTGTTGGATAAGTAAGCATGGACAAACACTATTTTGTATCCAGAAACACTATAGATATAAGGTGCACAAAAAGAGAACTCTTTAAAACTGACTACAGATATATTTGTAAGTGTCAAAGTGCCTATAGGTGTAATTATCTATAGTTTCTACGGTTAATTTGGTGAGTGACAATATTGAGGACTAAAATTAAGTGAATGACAATGCAATTTGTAAAATGTAGTAACTAACAACGAGAAAATTTTGCTTTCCTCTTTTCTCCCTAAAATAAGCGGTAATTTTCCCTCCAATGTACTTTACCCTAATTCTCGTTCTGCCTATGGTGGAAACATTCTATCCTATAAAAGTTGTTCAGCTGACCGCTATGTCAGCATGGGAGAGATGGACACGTGGCAAGCTGTATGATTTTCACACCCTTTTTTTTCCCTTTCCTTCTCAAAACGACACCGTCTCATTATACGAAACAAAACCTCATGTTAGTTCTCTTCGTCTTCTTTTTTTTTTTTGGTAAAAATGTTAAGATTTTATACCATTTTCTGAGTTTTACATGTTGCAAGCAACTTATTGAGCAAATACAGAAACTTAACAACCCAATACATATGACCTCAAGGAGGTCTAATACACGTAAAATAAAACTCCAGCATTGAAGGATCAAGCGGGTTCCTTGTCGGGAAAGACAGCAACCGGTCACGCAGAAAGCGGTCAAGTGATCGTCGGATAGTTCCGCCGGAAGCAAATTCCGCTTTGAAGATCCGCTGATTCTGTTCCTTCCAGATTAGGTAGATTGAGGCCTGAAAAATCAGCTTGATTAACGGATTCGCTGACGGAGAGGACGGGGCTCTATGAAGAGCTATCCAAGAGGCGGCTGAATGGAGATCGGCGGGAGGAGATGGAAAGACTCGCGAGGCGAAGAACGACCAGATACTGGATGAGAAAGCACACTCGAAGAAGAGATGATGGTGAGTTTCTATACCAGAAGAACAGAGCACACACGTCTCAGGGACTGACATTCCCCACCTACGCAGCCTGTCTCTTGTGGGTAAACGACGAAGCAGAGCCAACCAGGCAATGAAAGAGTTCCGGGGAACATGTTCCTTAAACCAGACCACAGGACTCCACGGAACTATAGGAGCAGGGTTACGGAGGAGCTCCCAAGTGACTTTGGAAGAGAAGGTGTCCCCGAAATCTCCATTTCCTTGTATCCAGAGATGGCGGTCAGGACCAAGTTCGCTTTGCGGTGGAGAGATTGAAGTCAAGGTGATGTGGAGAGTCTCAACACTGTGAGATCTTGCCGCCGGCAAATTCCAACTACCATTCCTTGTTGCAGCCACCACCGCCGCCTGTTTGTTAACTCGTAGCTGCCTGGAAGCTCCAGCACCGAGAAAAGCCTCCAGAGGTCCCAAGCAACTCCAGAGGTCTTCGTCTTCTTCTTCCTCCTCTCTTTCCCTTTCGTTCCGTCGGCGAAATTTTCCTAAAAATTACTTCTTTTATTGTTCGTTGAATTCATAGGATTTCTGACTGAGATCGTTCACTGATTTGATCTAAACAATGGAGAAAGATCGATTTCTCGAAATCGTGAAGGAGATTCCTCCGGCGGTGACGAGAGTTCCACGGAGGATTCGTGAGAGGCTTTTGCCTGAAGTTAGTAAGAAGACAGTACATTCGGTTCAAGATATTGAAAACAAGCTTCTCCATGCACGTCTTCGTAGACAGGTTCTCTCTCTCTCTCTCTCTCTATTTAGCCCTGAAATGACCAAGTCTTTGATTCTCTCTATTTCCATATTGAAATTCCAAAAGTTTTTGTCTTTTTCGTTTGGGTATCTGAAAATTATTACAACGTTCTGTGTTCTGTCTGTAAAACCACAGCAATTTTATCACAACGTTTCGAGAAAGGCTCGTGCCAAACCAAAAAGCCCATCACGATCCTCCGATGAAGAGCTTGGCCAACGAATCGAAGCAAGACTCATTCCCGCCGAGCAAAAAAGGTAAGTTTTCAAATTGAAGAGTCTTTCACTGATCCTTCTCTTTCTCTGTAAATTGATTGTTTTTATCAAATTTTCTAGACTGGAGATTCTTTTTTTTTTTATGGTTTTCTAGATTGGAGATTCTTGCAAAGGCACATATGCGTCTAGCGAAACTAGAAAGAGCTGCCGGACTTGGCTATGCAACGCCACCGACAAAAAAAAAAAAAAAAATTTTAAAGACATTTACTTTTTAAAATTATGTTTGGCGTAATAAAATTTTGCAGAGGTTGGAGATACAATCTTTCGGAATGTCCCCATGGCAGGTGAGAAAATCTTTGAGCTTTTATCAAATCTTTTCAATTTTTAATCTTGATTTTGAGGTATATAATGTCTCTGGTTTATTTCCTTCAGTTTATACTCATTGTCGCAGCTAGCTCCATAGGAGAAGAGCTCTTTTACCGTGTTGATGTACAGGTCCGTGATCATTAAACTTACACCAAATTAGAATCATTAGATCACTTTAACTGAGTTACTATTACTGTCTGAATTCTCACAGGGTGCTCTGTCTGATATGTTCTTGAGAGGAACACAGATGATGACAGATTCAAGAGGCATGGCATCTCTGGTAATTTAAATGAAACTAAATCTCCCCTTGTAGTCATTTTTCTGCATTAAGATTATCATATATTGTTGTTTGTATGATTGTTTGCCTTACTGAGCTCTTATTTCTGAAGATGCAACTAGTTTGACGCAGATCATGAATCAGTCAGGAAGTGCATCAGGACGTATGGACGGACTTGTAGCGGAGCTAAGTGGAGCTTAACGGAGCTAAAGGAATGTTGCTGAGCTGGATGCGAGCTTGTAGCGGATAAGGACGAATCCAGAAGAGGCGGTCGCTGAGCTGGATGAGGAGAGTTGGAGATATCAACACAAAAGGAATATTTCCTATTCTTAGAGAAAAATAAGGAAAGGAAATATTCCCTTGGGGATTTGGAGCAATCATCAAGACCGAAACCTTGTAGGGTTTCTAGGCACGCCTATTGTGGATAGATAGGGTGCTCTGGCTGCTTGTAGGCGGCTATCAAGACAAAAGGAATATTTCCTATTCTTAGAGAAAAATAAGGAAATGAAATATTCCCTTGGAGATTTGGAGTAATCACCAAGACACAAACCTTGTAGGGTTTGGCGGTTTGTCTATTGAGTATAAATAGAGGACCTTGGCTGCTTGTAAGCGGCTATCACAAACTTGAGAGCTTTAGCATATTTGGGTTTAGATTTCTTGTAAGAAAGCTAGGACAATGGGGGCTAGGGTTTGAGAGGTTCAAAGATCGTGGATAGATCTGAGAACGTGAGAGTTACTAGAACAACAACCAGATCGTGGATAGATCGTGATTGTTGAATTCGTTTAAGCATATACTTGTAAGTTATCTTAAAGAAGTTTCTAGTAATATATTTCTTTGTAGAGAAAACCCCGTCCCAGTTTGTGATCTACTACTGCATCAGTAGCCCTTGGTTTTTCAATTGGTATCAGAGTGGGCTCTTGTGCATATTGCAAAGCTGCAAACAAGGAAGATTCCTGCAGAGAAGAAGGAGGGTTACCAAGAGCGAATTCCAGTACATCATGGCGCTTCGAGAAGGACCATCAACCTCAAGAGCGGAGATGCTTCAGCAATTAACTTTGATCAGGTTATGAACTCAAGCAGGGGGAGAGTTATTATGGAGCTATAATTGCTGAGTTCACAACCATGGTCAAAGAGGGAGAAGGTGTTGGAGGAATCAAGAAAACGATGGTGTTCAATTAAGGGAGAGCTAGAAGATCATCATGCTCTGGATTGGTTATGCCATGAGGATGGTGTACAATTAAAGGAGAGTTGGAAGATCATCATACTTGTGAAGGGTTATGCCATGATTCTAAAACTCAATCATCAAGGGAGAGATTGTTTGATGCAGTGCTGACCGAGTTTTAGAACATGTCATAACAGGTGAAGATACAGTTGAATGAAGGACTTCATGTATCAGTCAAGAAGTAGTACAGAGAGTCGTGTTCAGCAGATGGGCTTAAGGAATCGATCTGATGGGCTGGACATATGCTTGTAGCTGAGGAGGCGAGTCTAGAAGATTCTAGAAGAGTCAAGAGCTAAGTTGGACGAAGAGATTCGAAGCTATCAAGCAACTAGGAATATTTCCTTTTCCTAGAGAAAAATAAGGAAATAAATATTCTCTTGGAGATTTGGAGTGATCACCAAGGGAGAAATCTTGAAGGGTTTCAAAGCGTACCTATTGTGGATAAATAGGACGTGGAGAGCATTGGATGTGCTCAACCCATTACATTCGAAGATGCCTTAGCATAAGGTTTTGGGGTTCTAGTAGGAAGACCAAACAAAGGGTTAAGGGCATTGTTTGAATGTATCCATCTAGGAGAGAATGGTAGGCATTGTAGTGCTGGATACCATAGCAATTGTAATTGCAATCTTGTTCTAGTGGATTCTGGACGAGGTCCCGGGGATGTAGGAAACGAACCCCGTTAACAAACTCTATGTGTCTTTACTACTATTTATGCTCGTACTACTTTCTGTATCATTCACGGTCTCTATCGATACCCCCATGAACTTTCAATTGGTATCAGAGCAGTCACCTTGCGTGTATTGCTATAGCAGGTGAGATCTTGCGGAATTAGGGTTATCACCTGGACTTCATGGGAAGGTCAAAGGTGATACTTGATGCAGGAAAGTATGGATATTGGAAATCCAGGATGAGATTGAACATCCGAAGTATTGATGATGTCACATACTACAAGTGTAAAGGCCTCGGACACACGCACCAGGAATGTGAAAGCGACGAGAGGCAAGGAAAATCGATGATTAGTGTTGCTGATGAAGAGTCTAAAGAAGATACATATGAAGATGAAGAAATCAGTAACTTTGTAGCCTTTGCCGGAATTTCTGAATTTGTGGAAGAAAGAAAAGGATCTGAATCAGATACCGATGACTCGTCCAGTGATGAAGAAGATGAGATTGATATCTATGAAAGCTTCAAAGAAGTTCGTGATGCTTTGGTTGAAACCGGGAAAGAGAATCTCGAACTGAAAAAGGAGAATGCTCGTCTTGAAGAAAAGGTTGGAGAACTTCAGAAGGCACTTCAAGCGGAAAAAGATCTCAACATGGATAATCTCAATATCATGTTGGAAAAGATGGAAGCGGTTAAACGAGCAGATGACATCACCAAAGAGTACTTTTTGGAGAAGGAGAACTCCAGGAGTCTACAAGCTGAGTTAGATCAACATCGAAAGCAACTGAAGATGTTGACTGGAACTAAGGAGCTCGACAAGATCCTGAGTCTGGGTCGTGTTGGGAAGTCAAATCTTGGTCTGGGATACTCAACAGGAAGTGGATCAACCGGCAAGACAGTCACTTTCGTGTCTGGAGGAATAGCTCAAGATGTTGTTCAAGCAGAGACTAGATCATCCGCACAGAAACCTGATCCCATCCTAAGGAGTGGAAATCGAGGAAAGACCACCATGGGATTAGGATATGAGGCTAAGAAAGTCAGTAATGCTAGAGCATCACATCGCCACAGAGGACATCAAGGGAAACAGTGCTATTTTTGTGGAGTTGTGGGTCATATCAAGGCGTTCTGCAACAAGTTTTGTGCTAGAGTTGATCACGCCTGGAGACAAGGACGCTACTACTGGAATCATGGACTGAACCAAGTCTTCATCAGGAAGACTGATCTTTACCAGAATCCTGCTCGACGTACAGCACCAGGTGGTACAAGACAGCGATTCTGCTCCAATATGGCACTATTTGAAGAAAGCAATGAGGTGGACAACACAGGAACGTGGTACTTCGACAGCGGTTGTTCCAGACATATGACTGGCATGAAAGAAAATCTGCAGGATGTGAAGCAGTTAAAAGGAGGAAAGGTGACATTTGGATGTGGAACCAAAGGAACTATTCAAGGCAAAGGACGAACATCTGAGGAGCAGCCACAACTTATGAATGTCTATCTTGTCCAAGGTCTAAAGTCAAATTTGATCAGTGTCAGCCAACTATGCGATGAAGGTTTGCAGTGTGGTTCAACAAGCTAGAATGTAAAGCCATTGATGCTGACGGAAAGGCAGTTCTACGAGGAGTTCGTTCAGGCAACAACTGCTACATGTGGGATCAATCTGCAAAATGCCTAAGTGTGCGAGATGATGTTGAACTGTGGCATAAGCGATTGGGACACATGAATATTCGCATCTTACCACTCTGGTGAATAAGGAGATTGTTCGTGGTGTTCCAAAACTGAAAGGATGTGAGAAAATCGTGTGTGGTCCATGCAATCAAGGGAAACAAGTGAAGGTCCAGCACAAGAAGGTGCCAGATGTACAATCCAAGTCAGCACTGGATCTAGTACACATGGATTTTATGGGACCAATGCAAGTGGAGAGCATTGGGCAAACGCTATGTCTTTGTTCTAGTGGATGATTACTCGCGATACACTTGGGTGCGCTTCATTCGTGACAAATCTGACACCATGGCGAGTTTCAAGATTTGGGCACTACAGTCATCAATGAGAAAGGAAGCATCAAGCGCATACGCAGTGATCATGGGGGAGAATTTCAGAATGAGGTCATGACTAAGTTCTGCAATGAACAAGGCATAGCTCACCAATTTTCAGGCTAGAACACCACAGATGAATGGAGTAGTGGAGCGAAAGAACAGAACACTTCAAGGAAATGGCGAGAGCAATGATCCATGGAGGAAACATTCCTGTGAAGTTTTGGGCTGAAGCAATCAACACCGCATGCTACATCATCAACCGTGTCTACATGAGAAAGGATTTACTCAAAACTCCTTATGAGTTGTGGAAAGGAAAGACACCTAACTTAAGTTACTTTCGTGTTTTTGGATGCAGGTGTTATATTCTGAATGACAAGGATCAACTTGGAAAGTTCGACTCAAGGAGTGATGAAGGCATATTTCTGGGTTATTCAGGCAATAGTTCAGCTACAGAGTCTTCAATCTTCGGTCCAAGATGATTATGGAGTCGGTCAATGTTGTTTTTGATGATCGATCAATTGCGGCCATGGGAGACTCTCCAATGTATTATGATCCAGAAGTCAGGCGAAGCAGAAACAGAAGCAGAGGAGGTTGAAGAACGAAAAGAAGAAGAGGATTCAATGACAAGCCTGAATGACGAGAAGTTGAAGAAGTGCTGACACGGTGGTTGCCGTAGAACACCCAGTGACACAAGTTCATAGAAATCACTCATCGAAGTGATCTGATTGGAGACATCAAATGAGCCACGAAACGAGAGGAATCAAGATGAACTATACAAGCAGATGGTCAGCATGGCAATTAAATTTGAGTTTGAAGCCACGAAATTCGTGAAGCACTGTGCAGATACCTCCATGGAAGAGGTGAGAGTGTAGACGATGGTCGTGGTACAAAGTGGATCTTCAAGAACAAGACAGATGATGCTGGAAGCATTGTACGAAACAAGTCAAGACTTGTTGCGCAAGGTTACTCACAAGTTGAAGGAGTCGACTTTGATGAAACCTTTGCCCCTGTAGCTCGTCTTGAGTCTATCAGACTGTTTCTAGGGATGGCATGCATATTGAACTTCAAGGTGTATCAGATGGATGTGAAGAGTGCTTTCTTGAATGGCATTCTACAAGAGGAAGTATATGTAGCCAACCGAAGGGGTTTGAAGATCCTACACATCCTGAGTATGTGTATAAGCTCAAGAAAGCTCTCTACGGACTGAAACAGGCTCCAAGAGCTTGGTATGAGCACCTGACGAAGTTTCTGATTGACACAGGCTACGTCAGAGGAACTGTGGACAAAACTTGTTCACACTTGAGAAGAAGAATGAGATGATGATGGTGCAGATCTATGTAGATGATATCATCTTTGGAGGAACTTCAGAGAAGCTGGTGGAAAACTTTGTGAAGAGTATGACTAAGGAGTTCAAGATGAGCATGGTGGGAGAGTTGAAGTACTTTCTTGGACTTCAAGTGAATCAGACTGAGAAAGGAATCTTTATTTCTCAAAGCACCTATGCCAAGAATCTACTGGTGAAGTTTGGTCTTGACAAATGCAAGGAGGCAAGAACACCAATGAGCACCACGACAAAGATTGGAAAGGATGAACAAGGAGAAGATGTTGATGTGAAGCTCTACAGAGGAATGATTGGAAGCTTGCTTTACCTTACAGCAAGTCGACCTGACTTAAGCTTCAGCGTTGGAGTTTGTGCGTATCAGGCCAAACCAAAACAGTCCCATCTTCAAGCGGTGAAGAAGATCTTGAGGTATGTCAAGGGAACTGTCAATCTGGGGATCTTTTACTCCAAAGGATCCAACAGAAATCTTGCTGGATATTGTGACGCCGATTGGGCAGGATGCGCAGATGATCGGAAAAGCACAAGTGGAGGTTGTTTCTTCCTTGGGAACAATCTTATTGCTTGGCTTAGCAAGAAGCAGAATTCTGTGTCACTATCTACTGCAGAGGCTGAGTACATTGCATTGGGAAGCTGCTGCACACAGCTTATATGGATGAGACAGATGTCAGCCGATTATGGGATGGAGTCTGGACCCTTCTTGGTCTACTGTGACAACAAAAGCGCCATCGACATATCAAAGAATCCGGTGCAGCACTCAAGGACTAAGCACATTGACATAAGACACCACTTTGTTCGTGAATTGGTGGAAGAAAAACAGGTAGTACTTGAACATGTTGTCACAGATTTACAGCTCGCTGATTTATTCACAAAACCATTGGACTTTAACCGTTTTGTCACCTTAAGAAATTCCATTGGAATTTGCACAAGTGGTTTTGAATGATGCAGGGGCTGACACAGGCACTGGCTCGGGGTGTATAACAAGTTCAGATTTTGTTTGGAGTCAAAGGTGCCAATGAGGATCAGCTACTTTGTCATGCCGTCATGTCACCTCAACATAAGAAAAGTGAAAAGTAAGTGATTCTAAAAGCATGTTCAAGGTCAAAAAGCAGCTGAGCCAACTCCAAATGAATGCAATATGATGGAGATGGCTTGCTGCTTCAAGAACCAAAAAGTGATTCAATGAGCATAACAGGAAATGTGATGAACTGACAACAATAGCTCACAAGGCTAAGTTGGTTCATGTGATTTCTCGAAAGACAATGTTTCACAAGAACAAAGTCTGACGATAGAAATAAGAGCTTAATTGGAAAGGGGATGGACTGACAACAATAGCTCACAAGGCTGAGTTGGTCCATGAGCTTTCTCGAAGGGTAATGTTTCACAAGAACAACATCCAACGACAGAGAATGATCACATGTTCTGCCTTGAACAAAATAAAGAGTTTCACTTTGCACATCATTGGAATTAGAGGTGGTGATATGATCTGGGTATGACAAAGTGAAAGCTGCAGGTTGGAATCAGGATGGCCAAGCGCTATGAATCTGTTGAGAATTTGTAATACATCCTGATGCAAGTGCCGACTCAGTCAATGTCTCCTTCACTAAAATGAAAGGTATTTAATTTGAGATAAACTGAGTAAAAATGTTTTTAAGCTGAAAAGATGTGACACATGGGATGGTATTGCTTGTTTGGATTCTACTTGAATCGAATTTATGTGGATGTCACAATTTTATCCTAAGTGTGTACTGCTGATATTGGTGCTGAATGTTGCAGGAAGTCAAACAGGAGCTCTGGATTCTAAACCAATTAATCCGGCTGATTTATGTTGATTCCGATTAAATGGTGTTTTGAAACAGCCGTCAGATCTACAAGCCAGCAATCTCCAAGCACTGCCGTCGACGAGCGACTGAAGTAGCGACCACTACATCTCTGGTAGTGACCACCGATGGTGTTTCTGAACCAGCAGAGCCGGAGGTACAACAGACCGACGCATCAATGTCTCTGTCAGATCCAAACCAGCCGTTTCACCCTCTCGACGAAAGCTCGCGAAACAGAGTCTCTTGATGAACTTCAACTAGGTCAACCGTTTCGAACTACAACGAAGTAGTCTTCTCAAATCGAGAAGCAGCCATCGATTGATCCGCCATCTGACACAGAGCCAGAGGTTTCGTCAAATCAGAGATGCAGTGTTCTCTCGGAAGGAACAAGAGAGTTCTTCAGGAAACAGGTCCCTTCGGAGTTTCACTGACATAGTTCAATCTGCAAGGTAAGTTGTCCTTCTGCACAATCTATTTCAATCTGTTTATCCATCTTGTGTTTTTAACTTGTGTGTGCTCACAAGCAGGGGGAGAATAGGATGTATCAGAGAACGAAAACTAGGATCTAAGCTAGAATTGTGGGGGAGCAAGACTTTTGATCTTGTTTGCTTGTTTTGAGTAGTTTTCGATCTAGAATTCTGGGGGAGTTGAGAGTTGAAAGTTCTTTGATCTTTTGGATTTAACTCTTGTTCTGAATCATGTTTAATATTTCTATGACTAATGTTGAAGTATTCAGATCATCCCAGTATTCTGGTCATCTCTGGTATATGCATTGTGGTTTTGAGTTTTACAGGTGCTTGAGAGACACAAAGCTAAAAAGGGGGAGATTGAAGATGCAACTGGTTTGACGCAGATCGTGAATCAGTCAGGAAGTGCATCAGGACGTATGGACGGACTTGTAGCGGAGCTAAGTGGAGCTTAACGGAGCTAAAGGAATGTTGCTGAGCTGGATGCGAGCTTGTAGCGGTTAAGGACGAATCCAGAAGAGGCGGTAGCTGAGCTGGATGAGGAGATTTGGAATTATCAAGACAAAAGAATATTTCCTATTCTTAGAGAAAAATAAGGAAAGGAAATATTCCCTTGGAGATTTGGAGTAATCACCAAGACCGAAACCTTGTAGGGTTTCTGGCTCGTCTATTGAGGATAAATAGAGGCCTTGGCTGCTTGGAAGCGGCTATCACAAACTTGAGAGCTTTAGCATATTTGGGTTTAGATTTCTTGTAAGAAAGCTAGGACAATGGGGGCTAGGGTTTGAGAGGTTCAAAGATCGTGGATAGATCTGAGAACGTGAGAGTTATACAACAACAAAGATCGTGGATAGATCGTGATTGTTGAATTCGTTTAAGCATATACTTGTAAGTTATCTTAAAGAAGTTTCTAGTAATATATTTCTTTGTAGAGAAAACCCCGTCCCAGTTTGTGATCTACTACTGCATCAGTAGCCCTTGGTTTTTAAATAAATGACTCGGTGTTCTTCTTCCAAGCCGTGGAGAGAGTGCGATGTAACTACTTGACTCGTAGAAGGGTATTCTGGTCGTTTACACTCATTGGCGGTTTCTTCTTGGTCTCGAGCCTTGTTTATGTGAAGATGGTGAGATGGTGGAGACGATTACAGGAAGAGAAGCTGAGATTTCTGCTCCTTCTGCTCAGAGAGAAAGATCGGGTTTGTGTATATTTATTTATTAATCACTTAAATTTTCTGAGTTTTCAGAAGTTTATGGTTCGGTATTTAATTGGAATTTTCGCGATTTGTAGAAAATAAAGGAACTTATGGTAGAAATTGGGAGATTGAACGAGTTGTTAGCATCAAGACGCAGAGTTCGAGTGGTTCGAATTGTGTGACGAGACGCATATGTATATTTATGTACCATAAGTATATTTTGTATCCAAGGTCCAAAAAAAAAAAAAGGAACATTTTGTATCCGTTGTTTGATTATGTATACAAGACATGTTTTCACGTGTATATAAGAGCATATTTATTGGTGAGACTCAAAATGTCTCTTAGCTATTATAATACCAATAAACTTAATTTTAGAGACATTGGTAAGAGACATTTGTTTTGGCATCATTATTGGTGAGACTCAAAATGTCTCTTAGCTCCTTTTTGTTTTTGTGAATACAAAGTGTGTTGATGAATACATGATATAAATACACATTTGAGGAGTCTCAAATCCTCCGGCATAGTGAAAGTATGATCCGACAATGTGAGCATGATCTACCTCCCCAATTGATGTCCATATTGAGATTGCTTTAGTAAAAAAGCAATGGTTCGAAAAGCTGAGAGAATATATAAGACATGAGAAGAATTGTGATTTGATACTATGGTTTCACAAGATACAAATACAAGACACAGCAACACGATGATCATGACATTATTATCTCTTACCGTTATTATAACAATGATATTGGTAAATCAAAGACACCATCACCAGATTGCATTGTAAACAGAGATAATTGCTAGAACTAGCACGCACATACATTTGAATCTACTACAACAAAATTTTCAGTATAATTGCTCAAAATTAATCAAGCATACTCTCGTAAGTTAACGAACAAACATATAATCAAGTTTACGAACCGACATATAATGTGTGCCGAATCATCATCACAAAAACACAAAGCTTAAAGACCCAATTCAGAATCAATTACGCTGGGCTTTTGCAAAACACAAGTCATAAAACCCTAATTAGACACTAGATACAACCGATTGGAAGAAAACATACCATGCAAAAGGATCGTCCAATCTCTGCATCAAAATTTTTTATTTTCGTTTTGCTTCTTAGCCGAGTTCCAGCAACCACTTGATGATTAGGAAAAAAAAGTTCTTGGAGAAGAGATTTCGAAGTGATTTCTCAGGCGGAAATCAATTTTATTGATCATGATTTCCGAATCGATTTTATGGCATTCCAATCGCAGACACGGAGAAGAAGGGAGAGAGAGAAGGAAAGAGATGAATTAGGAAAAGAAAAAAATGTTTTCTCTTCACAATAACTCGGCCCAATTAGCAGCTGACATGTGGCACGAACAAACGTCCCTTAAAATTACTCAACTTCCCTTATATAAGCGACGTTTTATGCGAAATTAGACATTTTTGATTTATTTAAATGCCCATTTATACTAAGAGATGGGTCAAAGTAACACCAATAAACATGCTCTAAGGGGATATACGAACAGTAAGGAAAAACACGAGTAAGTTACAGTTTATGTTATCTTGTTTTTTTTTTTAATGTTAAAGGCATCACTTGAAACAGAGGATCCAAGATCATAAAACAGGACTTATTTTACATATCCTTTAATTTGTTATGTCAGCAATTTTAATTACTTTGGCCATATAAAATCAGTCTTAACGAGTAACGAAATAATATTTAAGATACCTTAAAACTTGTTAAATGTTAGAGGAGAAATTAACATATTTCCCTGAGCCCGTCATCATTAGTAAAGTCACAAGGCCCAATCCGACTTAAGTCCTAGCCTTCTCAGCAAAAAGGCAAGACTTGAGAAGAAAGACACAATTCATGGAGAAATGTAAATAAATCTTCATGCCGACTTAAGGAATGGAAAGAGATCAAAGACAAAAGGAAATTTTCCATATCACAAAAGAGGAAGTTTTCCATCTCGCCCGAATAAGATATTCATCGGTCGGCCGAGTTATCAACACTATATATTGAAGACCCCCCCATTGGGAAAGATGGATCCGAAATCATCTAGAATCACTAGGCCTTTACACCAGCTTTTACTCTCTCCTCTTGTTCATCACTATAATCTCGCCAAGCTTGTTAGCGAGATTACTTCTTTGTAACTTTCTTGATAATCTAAGAGTCGAATTAAGCATTCCAGTTTCCTAAACTCACATCTTTAATAGCCCGTCTTGACGAGTGCTATCTCGGATCTAACATTAAATCACTTGATTACGACTCTGCTAAAGTGAGTCTGATTGTGAAGATGGATTCATGGAAAGGAAGCAACATGAATCTCCGTATGCAAATGAGAGCAATTCTTTTTCGTCAGAAGATTTTGGTTTCTTTAGCTTTAATAAATATCTTATGATGAAATTACGTGTATGAGTGTGTAATGCGGTTAGAGAAATCGGTGATCCGATAATGATGCAGATCGAAGAAGGTTTCCAATTTTAAGACTCGGTTTCGGATTTACTTATTGAAATATGTTAGAGGTTAACGGGCCATAAAACTTTAATCTCTAAAAGGTGTGCAAGATAAGTCTCATATAAGAAGTTGTAAAGTATCTTAAATAAAATATAAGGGATCAAAACCTTTCAATCTATTGCCATGATATCAGAGTCACTCAATATTAAGTTATTATTCTTGTATCCAAACCATTTTTTCTATTTATTTTTCTATCCAAATAGCTTTTTCTCTTATTCTTTTATCTAAACATTACAATATATTAAATTAACCCTCATTAAATATGTGGTCAAACACTTTCTCTTCATAATTAAATTGATTTTTTTGTCAGAAAATTTTCATGTACATATAGAGATTATGTGGTGATAGTTTTTGCTCCCAAACACTTTCTTTGGGTTCTTTCGATATTTACGGCATCTCTTATGGTTATGGGTATTTATTTATGGATAAGCCACATATCTTCAGGTATTTACGAATAAGACACAAGTCTTTTGGTATTTATCGAGAAGCCTCAAGTCTTTCGATATTAAGTCATTAGGCCTTAGATATGAATTCAAAAATTAATTGCTAACTTGTTTTTTTTGGTTCATAGTGAAGGAGAGCATGAGGATCTCAACTTCCAAAAACTTAAAGACAAAGTTGTTAGGTTTAAAAAGGCATTACTGGTTGTGGGTGGAGACCCAATCTGCAAGAGTACAAAAAGTGCACTATGGAAGAGGACAATGTTAAACCAGGCACCACCCTATGTTGACGATTCTAGTTATAAAGTAATAATGCTACTATTTTTGTAAAATTAATATATTTGAGATACATTTTGGATGGGGTTCTCTCTTTTTGAGATATCATAACATTTTTTAATAATAACTAGATTAGTATCTGTTCTCCGCTGCGGGATTATTTTGTAAATGTAAATCTTTGCTTTGACAAAAGAGGCAATCAACATTAACAAGATGTCGTTTACGCAAAATTGGGATCGACTGCAATTTTTTACTCTAGTTCCCTGCAAAGGATTTAACATTGACCAGAGATTATAAAAGCAGTCTGATCACAAAAACTTTCGCCAATTCTTTCGGTAACACTTCAAAACCTGTAATAAACATTAACGTTTTGAAGAAACAACAAAGAATCAGACTTTCATTAAAAATTCTTTAAGAATAGTAATTTATTGTAGTTGTGATTTAAAAATAGTAATTTCTGTTTATAAATTATTATTATTATTGATTTTTATCCGAATATGAAAATATTGGAAACAATAGGAAAACTTCGGGATGTGTTCATTCGGTCATTCCTTCAAATCCGAAATCATTTCTTCTACCTTCATCTTAAATACACAACAACTTATATACGGCATTTTATTTGCTCAATCATTCCCATATCTTTCCAAGTGTTCTTGATGTTCATAGAAGAAAGAATGAGATACATAATTGATGCAATTAAAGTCCAGTTTCTTCTGCTCGGATTTAAAAGCCACATAAGAAGTCTTCTGTCCCTATGCTCTTTTCTCTACTTCTTCTTTTTTTCTCTTTCTTTGGCCTTCCCTAACTTCTCTTTAGTTTCAACAGACTTTGGCTGAGACTGGATTTCTTCAGTATAGATGATGATGAGTCTTTTGGTTTTGTCACAGGAGGACCAGCTGTATCTCATATTTCATTGTTGCTACTCTTTTTGCGCCCTAGCTTGTAGGAGAAGTAGTTGGTATCTGCAACATTTTCATAGACCACAACAACAAATTAGGACAAGTATAATCACATAGGGAAGAGAAAAAGCAAACCTTCTTCAA